TGTAGTTAAAGAGGTGTAGTTATAGAGGTGTAGTTATAGAGGTGTAGTTATAGAGGTGTATTTATAGAGGTGTAGTTATAGAGGTGTAGTTATAGAGGTGTAGTTATAGAGGTGTAGTTAAAGATCAGAGTGGTGTAGTTAAAGAGGTGTAGTTCAAGATCAGAGTGGTGTAGTTAAAGAGGTGTAGTTAAAGATCAGAGTGGTGTAGTTAAAGAGGTGTAGTTAAAGAGGTGTAGTTATAGAGGTGTAGTTATAGAGGTGTATTTATAGAGGTGTAGTTATAGAGGTGTAGTTATAGAGGTGTAGTTATAGAGGTGTAGTTATAGAGGTGTATTTATAGAGGTGTATTTATAGAGGTGTAGTTATAGAGGTGTAGTTATAGAGGTGTAGTTATAGAGGTGTAGTTAAAGATCAGTGAGGATTGAGGTTTCGGACTCTTCTGCTTCTGTCTCGGTGAAAACAAGGCCAATTTTTGTTGTTGATAAAAAGCAACGTGACTGAATCTCGACCTGTGGCTCGGGAGCTACCAGTAGCTCTCCAACACCTTTGAGGTAGCTCCCCAAGGCTCAGGAATGTGACGTGATCCTGAATGAGTACGTTCTGAGACACATCTAATTCATCTGTTCTCATCGTGTTCCCTGATGTCGGACGTCACAGAAATGTTCCGATCTCTGCTGTATGACTGCACACAGAGGAGCAATGCTAACCTGCTAGCTCAGGGAAGTGCCCATGGACAAAGTTTGGCTCCTTCTCTCTCTGGCTCCTATTGACCTTAACTGATGCTACCGTATCAGTTAAGGTCTGTGCACAAGGCAAGAAACACACACAACGCACACACAAGTCTGTACACAAGGCGAGAAACACACACAACGCACACACAAGTCTGTACACAAGGCGAGAAACACACACAACGCACACACAAGTCTGTACAGAGCAGGAGAGAGGCCTCTGAATGAGCTTCACATTCTACACAATGTTCTACAGCAGCATCAACATGTTTTGTTTTCAATCCTGAGCATGGTGCGCACACACACACACACACACACACACACACACACACACACACACACACACACACAGACACACGCACACACACACACAGACACACACACACAGACACACACACACACAGACACGCACACACACACACACACACAGACACACACAGACACACACAGACACACGCACACACACACACACACAGACACACACACACACACACACTGTCAGTTCAATTAGATTCAAAGGATGAAAACGGAATCTTTACTTCTAAATGTCACAGTCTGTTGTGCCAGAACAAAGGACAATCCATTAAAGCTAGGGTACCTATTTTAAAGAGATATCAACACTTGACTTATTATTAACACATGCATGAATGTTTCGTTACGTTCTTAGATCAGCTAGTCATAGTCTCTCTCTGGTCTCTGTCTGGTCTCTCTCTGGTCTCTCTCTGGTCTCTCTGGTCTCTCTCTGGTCTCTCTCTGGTCTCTCTCTGGTCTCTCTCTGGTCTCTCTCTGTTCTCTCTCTCTGGTCTCTCTCTGGTCTCTCTCTGTTCTCTCTCTCTGGTCTCTGTCTGGTCTCTCTCTGGTCTCTCTCTGGTCTCTCTCTGTTCTCTCTCTCTGGTCTCTCTCTGGTCTCTCTCTGGTCTCTCTCTGGTCTCTCTCTGGTCTCTCTCTGTTCTCTCTCTCTGGTCTCTGTCTGGTGGTCCCTTTCTGTTGGGACAAACCACAACAGAAAAGTTAGGTACCCGAGCTTTAAACTGTTGGAGTTAGAACCATTTGAGATGTAGAAAAATGTATAAAATCAAACCCTTTATAATGTAATAAAGTGCTGCGTACCCCTTTATAGTCTTTGCAAAACAAAAGCCACAGAACAACAACAGTTTCATGCGATTTCTGAGATAAAACCATAACATTATAAACATTTACAGATTTAAACTCTTTTTTAAATATATAACTTTTCAATAAATAGAATAGATAAATATATGACATTTTCTTTCATTTTCAGACAAAAAACACAAAAGTAAAAACGATAAATGTGGCTGTGGACGTGTGGAGGTCGGTCACAGCCACCAAGGACCTGAGGCTGGTTTTTACCCTCTCCTGGTTCACGCTGACCCTCCTCGTTGGGGCCTGTCTCCTGATTTTAGGCACTTTTACAAAACAACGACCAATAAAAACAATACATCAAATGATTAGACCTTGATCTAAATTAAAAAATTAATATTATTATATTTGTGTTATTAATGATCCTACATCTTAGAGAATCAAAAAGAAACAAATTGTCGTTGCTGTCTTCAAAGAGAAAACATTAAAGGGGAAATAATCAGAGCTGACCCAGAATCCTGTGCTGCAGCAGCGCATTATGTTCACTTAAAATATGAGAAAACATGTTTTATTTGTGTCAGAAAGATCCCTGTGAGTCACTATTTGACTCTTTGGGCTGAGAGCTGATTGGCTGAGAGCTGATTGGCTGAGAGCTGATTGGCTGAGAGATAAACACAGCCACAGGTCTTTGGCTGAAGAGAGACCATTCATTTTGAAAAACACACAAAACATGTTTGTTTAAGTAGAGTAGAGTAGAGTAGAGTAGAGTAGGGTAGAGTAGAGTAGAGTAGAGTAGAGTAGAGTAGAGTAGGGTAGAGTAGAGTAGAGTAGAGTAGAGTAGGGTAGAGTAGGGTAGAGTAGAGTAGGGTAGAGTAGGGTAGAGTAGAGTAGAGTAGGGTAGAGTAGGGTAGAGTAGGGTAGAGTAGAGTAGAGTAGGGTAGAGTGGGGTAGAGTAGAGTAGGGTAGAGTAGAGTAGAGTAGCGTAGAGTAGAGTAGAGTAGAGTAGAGTAGGGTAGAGTAGGGTAGAGTAGAGTAGAGTAGGGTAGAGTGGGGTAGAGTAGAGTAGAGTAGCGTAGAGTAGAGTAGAGTAGAGTAGAGTAGGGTAGAGTAGGGTAGAGTAGAGTAGGGTAGAGTAGGGTAGAGTAGAGTAGGGTAGAGTAGGGTAGAGTAGAGTAGGGTAGAGTAGGGTAGAGTAGGGTAGAGTAGAGTAGAGTAGGGTAGAGTGGGGTAGAGTAGAGTAGGGTAGAGTAGAGTAGAGTAGCGTAGAGTAGAGTAGAGTAGAGTAGGGTAGAGTAGGGTAGGGTAGAGTAGAGTAGAGTAGGGTAGAGTGGGGTAGAGTAGAGTAGAGTAGCGTAGAGTAGAGTAGAGTAGAGTAGGGTAGAGTAGGGTAGAGTAGAGTAGAGTATATAATTTTAATTAGTAGAGAATACTTTTGAAAAATCCAATTGAATACCATAAAAGTGTGAGGTTCACATTAAAGTCATGATCGACTCAGAGCCGTCGTCACGGTTTTGGTTTTTCCTCCAAAGAAATTGGCAAGAACTGCACATTCTTAAAGCCGACTTAAAGCTGAGGTACCTGAATATTTTGTTTATATAAACAATGTATCACAGACAGAGAGAGGAAAGTGTTGCACATCAGACCACAACATGCGGTCTCGTTCTGGTCTCTCTCTGGTCTCTCTCTGGTCTCACTCTGGTCTCTCTCTAGTCTCTCTCTGATCTCTCTCTGGTCTCTCTCTGGTCTCTCTCTGGTCTCTCTCTGGTCTCTCTCTCTGGTCTCTCTGATGACATAGTTTTGATTTTAAAGTTACGTACCTCAGCTTTACAGACATGGCTCAGATCCAACATCAGCAAAGTTGGTCCAAGAGTTCATCACATTTTTGTACAAAGTTGTTTATCTTCAACTGAGCTTTTGTGTCAGACGCACACTTCAGTGTTCACATCCAGATGAGCCCTGTTTCCACCAGCCCCTCTCCAGTCCATTCCACTCCACTCCAGTCCACTCCAGTCCACTCCAGTCCACTCCAGTCCATTCCAGTCCACTCTACTCTACTCCACTCTAGGGTTTAGGGTGGGGACGGTTACTCTGAAAATATGCCAGATCCTAAAGCGTAATGGTGGAGGAAAGTGCAGAGTAGAGAAGAGTGGGACTGGTGGAAACAGGGTGGTACTGGGCTGTTCTGGGCTCTACTGGGCTGGATCAGGTCCTTTGCAGGTTTTCCACGTCGTAATCCTGTTTTTGAATTATTTATTTTAAACCAGATGTCTTTGAAAAAGTCCTGTTGTATTTGTCTTTATTCCAGTACCAGAAACAACTCGATCCAGGACCTCAGGGTGTCCTTTTCCACCATTTTGTTTTTCGACTTGATTTAAAAACGTTTTTCAACAACATAGTTGCGTTGGATCTGAAAGACGGTCGTCTTAAGACGATCTGAAAGTAGTCCCAGCACACTCACAAGAGGCGGATCTAATACGGCCCGTCCAGGTTTCCACCACAGCAAGACCAGGACTCACTAAAGTCATGGTATTTCATCTTGGGCTAAAATTTTCACTTTTATTTCTAAATTCAAATTTTCATCTAATAATTTCAATCTGGTTATGGTGTGGATTAGGGTTGGGATAAAGCAAAGGTTAGCTAGCAGTTGGATGAAATACCAACATTATAGGGAGTGGTACGGTCCCGGACAGGACCGGTGCCTGTCGCCATAGCAACAGACTGTGTACTAGCAGTCGCTATTTTAGCTGTTTTTCATTACAGACTGACTTTATTTTAGTATGGATATGATTGGATAGAGATAAGGTGTTACTATGGCCTGATTTGATTTTTTAGGACATTTTTAGAAACATTAAGACGCTTCTGCTAGCTTATAGCGGTTAGCTTTTGGCTGTTAGCGTTGGAATAAAACAGATGTTAGGAGTATAGGAGTCACCTTTGGAGCCATATACTTTTACTTTCACTGGTACACGCTCGCTCCAAGCGTGTGACCGCGTGAGCGCATTGACCAAGCCGCCATTTTGAGACTTTTGCAAAAGCAGGTCTCTGTCACTGGGACGGAGGGGGCGGGGTTTAGCGTGACCAAGGTCAATAACATCAAGGCAAAACATTTTGATTGTGGCACAACAGATTCTGCCGTAGTGTCGTTGTTCAAACCAAAAAATGGCTTCCGTCGCTCTAACATCGATTATAGGCACAAAATGCATGTGAGCAGAAGAAAATCTCCTTGAAGGTTTTTCGCATTTCTTGGCTGCGAAAGGCGTAGATGATGGGGTCGATGACGGAGTTGCACATGATCAGGATGAGGTACATGTTGAAGTGCGACATGAAGCAGGTGCAGTAGGGGTTCCGGGGGCAGGTTATCATCAGGATCAGGTGGAGGAAAAAGGGCGCCCAGCAGACGACAAACACCCCCAACAGAATGGTGAGGGTTATGGCTCCTTTCATGTTGGCGCGCTGCTGGATCGGCGCGTTCCCCGGTAACGCCGCGATGCGCTTCATGTGCAGCCTCGCTAACAGGAACATGTGCACGTAAAGAGAAGCCATGAGCACTAGCATGGTGAAAAACATGGTGATGAGACAGATAAGAACGGTCGTGCTTTCAGAGTAGATTATAAACAAGATCCCGGACACCGTACACGCCGACCAGATGACGCCGATGACCAGCAACGCCCTGCGGATGGTCACAATGTTGTGGTAGCGCAGCGCATAGAAGATGGTGATGTACCGGTCCACGGCGATGGCGAGGAGGCTGCAAATTGAAGCCAGAAGGGAGCTACAAATTAGCGAATCGAAAACGTTGTCCATGTTTCGAATAACTGTCCCGGGAATGACGACGCTGCCGCCATTTATGAGCGCAATCACGATGGTCTCGGACGCATTGGAGACGCTAACTAGCATGTCGGCTACGGCTAAGCTACAGATGAAAAAGTACATAGGCGAATGCAGGTTTTTGTTCTTGATGATGGCGGCCACGACCAGTATGTTTTCGAGCAGGCTGATGATTCCCAGCGTGAGGAAGACTTCGGTGGAGATCAGGAGCTGCTCGTAGCATCCCGTCGACGTCTCGTTTTCGTCGGAGTCCAGGGAGAAATCGGCGTGGCTGCTGTTGTAGCTGCTCGCCGTCGGTGCACGCCGATGTGTCACGTTCATTTTTGATCGGTAGATTTCACAGTTTCACATTTCTGATGTCGTCCTTTTTGTTTTTTTTAGTGGTCTGCGTTATGTCCCGGCACGATGGCGTACGACTTCCGACAGCGGTAACTCTGTAGAAATGTGTGTTTTTGGTGTTTTTTATCCATCTGGCATTTCTCAAATAACATGAACAAGTACAAAAGATTTTCCGGTGATTTTTCAATCCATTTATCTCTAGATTATTCAGTTCTTTTGCCTCTGCACAGATGAAGCTGGAAATGCAGTACTCCACAAACTACAGAGGAAATGGATTTCTATCTAACCCTTCATCTACGAACATTCCAGCCTTTGGTATGAGGCGCCCGTGCTTCATCAGTCAGGCCGAAGTCACCGAACTTTCAAAGGAGGATGATGACCGTGACTTTGTTAAGCAAATTAAACCGTTATTGTCACTGAGATAGAAGTGAGTCATGTTTGTTCAGCGGCTTCAGAACATGAATTGTTCCAAGGCCACGCAGCAGTCCAGATGTTGCCGCTTCAAAAGAAAGCCATTTTTGTCAAGCCATGACTCATTTGCGATATTTAGCCATTTATGTGCTTGTTTTGATGTTTTTCAGCCGAAGAATCTTTCAAAACATCTTTTCAATATCCTGAAGCTCGAGAGGTTTGGTCACCTCATGTTTTTCAATGTATTTTATTTAGAGCTGAGACAAAAGAAATGAGTGTAGAAAAGAAATGAGTTGAAATCATCCTTAATTCTTTTGTATCCATAGCGACCTGTCCTTCTCTCACTGTTTTTAGGATCTGCAGGTTCCAACAAAACCGTTTTAGGCAGAACAGACTTTGGCTTCAGAACTTCATCAATATTTGTGATTCTGCAGTTTTTGACAGTCTCTCAAAGTCTTTGCTGAAACCTCTTCTGAAGAATTTACTTTGTTCTTATTTCAAACAGTAAAATCCACAACGCTGAGTCCAGTCTTTCTCCTGATTGTGTTGATGGAGAAGCGCATCAATCTTTTGCAAATCATTAAAGAATGTGGGAGAGATCGGGTCTCTGCTCCTTCTGGTCTCTGCTCCTTCTGGTCTCTGCTCCCTCTGGTCTCTGCTCCCTCTGGTCTCTGCTCCCTCTGGTCTCTGCTCCCTCTGGTCTCTGCTCCCTCTGGTCTCTGCTCCCTCTGATCTCTGCTCCTTCTGGTCTCTGCTCCCTCTGGTCTCTGCTCCCTCTGGTCTCTGCTCCCTGGGTCCTTTTCGCTGGTTTCAGAGCCGGCAGAGTGAAGCCCGGTGCTGGAGTAGCTTTGATATGATTGCGCTCTGAAGGAGAGAGAGGGAGAGAGAGGGAGGAGAGAGAGAGAGAGAGAGAGAGGGAGGAGAGAGGAGAGAGGGAGAGGAAAAGAGAGAGAGGAGAGAGAGTGAGAGAGGGAGGAGAGAGGAGAGAGGGAGAGAAGAGAGAGAGAGGGAGAGGAAAAGAGAGAGAGGAGAGAGAGGGAGAGAGGAGAGAGGGAGGAGAGAGAGAGAGAGAGAGTGGGGATAGAGTCATGAATGAATGAAGAATGTGAGAGCGTGGGAAAGTCATATACAGTGATCAGAGTTCCCTAAAATAGATGTGTACATAAGTTCATCTATACATTCTTACATATTCTGTAAAAACACAGTGAGACCAGAGAGAGAGACCAGAGAGAGAACAGAGAGAGACCAGAGAGAGACCAGAGAGAGAGACCACAGAGAGAGACCACAGAGAGACCACAGAGAGAGACCACAGAGAGCGACCACAGAGAGACCAGAGAGAGAGACCACAGAGAGACCAGAGAGAGACCAGAGAGAGACCAGAGAGAGACCAGAAAGAGACCAGAGAGAGACCAGAGAGAGACCAGAGAGAGACCAGAGAGAGACCAGAGAGAGACCAGAGAGAGACCAGAAAGAGAGACCAGAGAGAGAGACCAGAGAGAGACCAGAGAGAGAGACATGAGAGAGACCAGAGAGGGACCAGAGAGAGAGACCACATATCAGTGCTCAGTAGGAGCCGTACGAGGGCCCTTAGAGCCGCTCTCATCTGCAGCTCTAATGGAGAGCCCTGGTTCAGCCTGGATCCAGTGTTGCCAACTCCTCAGTAAGGAAAGTAGCTATTGGCTGTCCCAAAAGTCGCTAGAAGTCGCTAAATGACGTCATCGCCTAATTTGCATAATTTGCCATTTGCAAATAACTGTAACGGACGCTGTAGGAGAGAGGAATAAGGTCGTGGGAGAGACAAAAGTGAGTAAAAACACCCTAAATATGTTTAGAACTACAAATGTACAAAAATAATTTCAACATTAACAACATTTAATGATTTTAATGCTTTGTCTAGATCCACATTACACACATCAGTTTTGTCCTGTATTGTTAAATGTTATAACAGCAAATGTAATCAAAAGATTGTTATGTAGGGTGAAATTGCTAGCTCTACAACCAACCCTCCTCCTTTATCCGGGCTTGGGACCGGCAAAGTGACCCAAAAGACACACTCTGGCAGAGTTACTTAGGTTTATTTTTGTAAGTTTTTTTTTTTTTTCATAGTTTGGCATAACAAATGATTTAATGTGACCCACTACTGAGAGAAAACAGAGTCACGGACAGAGCTGCCGCGGATGGAGTGGTGGTAGTGGGGGGTGGCGGTGGTAGGAGTGGCCGGGGAGCTTTGGATGTGTGGTGGTGGTGGAGCTGAAGTTCAGTCTGCAGCAGCCTGAAAACTCCCTGTGCTTTTGAGTCTCCTCTCTCTCTGCTCCGCCCATAGACTGTAGCTGGGACTGCTGCGCAAGGCTACTGTGAGACTGGCCGCCTGTAAGTGCTTTGGGACGGGGGAGGGGCTCACGTTGAGGACAGCAGAACAATACGTGCTTCACGAGTCTCCAAAACACCAGATAAGTCGCCAAAACACCAGATAAGTCGCCAATAACACCAGAAAAAGTCGCTAGATTGGTCGCTAGTCGCTTTTTTGAAAAAAAGTTGCTATAGGGGTCTGAAAAGTCGCTAAATCTAGCGACAAAGTCGCTAAGTTGGCAACACTGCCTGGATCAGCCTGGCTCAGCCTGGTTCTCGGGTCTGTCCCCAGGACCACACAGCTCCTATAGTTCATCAATATTTGTCTAAAAGGTTCAGATTAATGTATTTTTTTCTAACATCAAATGTTTGAACAAACTGTGGCCAAACAGTGAATATTAATAACAGTAAAATAATAACAACGCGAATAATGTTTGTACAGAGCGCGTGGAGAGGGCGGGCACATGTACATGAGGTATATACATGTTAGAGAGGTATGTACATGTTAGAGGGGTATGTACATGTTAGAGGGGTATGTACATGTTAGAGAGGTATGTACATGTTAGAGAGGTATGTACATGTTAGAGAGGTATGTACATGTTAGAGAGGTATGTACATGTTAGAGAGGTATGTACATGTTAGAGAGGTATGTACATGTTAGAGAGGTATGTACATGTTAGAGAGGTATGTACATGTTAGAGATATACATGTTAGAGAGGTATGTACATGTTAGAGAGGTACAAGTATGTACATGTTAGAGAGGTATATACATGTTAGAGAGGTACAGGTATGTACATGTTAGAGAGGTATGTACATGTTAGATATATACATGTTAGAGAGGTATGTACATGTTAGAGAGGTATGTACATGTTAGACAGGTATGTACATGTTAGAGAGGTATATACATGTTAGAGAGGTATATACATGTTAGATATATACATGTTAGAGAGGTATATACATGTTAGAGAGGTATGTACATGTTAGATATATACATGTTAGAGAGGTATATACATGTTAGAGAGGTATGTACATGTTAGAGAGGTAGGTACATGTTGGAGAGGTATATACATGTTAGAGAGGTATGTACATGTTAGATATATACATCTTAGAGAGGTATGTACATGTTAGAGAGGTATGTACATGTTAGAGAGGTATATACATGTTAGAGGGGTATGTACATGTTAGAGATATACATGTTAGAGAGGTATGTACATGTTAGATATATACATGTTAGAGAGGTATATACATGTTAGAGAGGTATGTACATGTTAGAGAGGTATATACATGTTAGAGAGGTATGTACATGTTAGAGAGGTATATACATGTTAGAGGGGTATGTACATGTTAGAGATATACATGTTAGAGAGGTATGTACATGTTAGATATATACATGTTAGAGAGGTATATACATGTTAGAGAGGTATGTACATGTTAGAGAGGTATATACATGTTAGAGAGGTATGTACATGTTAGAGAGGTATTGTTATAGAATTATATACCCCAAAGCAAGGAGAAAGCTCAAAAGTATTTGTCTTAAATCAGGAGCGTAAGTTTATTGTAACACACGTGCGGAGAGCTAGCATATCCAAGAGGCAGCATACCCAGCTCTGGCTCGCAGAGCTCAGGCTTCCTGTTTACATAGAAAGACCGTCACGCCCACAACAGATGGGAGGGGGCCACCGGTGAAGGAGGCGCATAGGGAGCGCAGGCGCCATGCCCCTGTGGTGAGGCAATCAGACACAGGGCATGGAGGTGCGAACAGACAGACAATGGTAGAAATGCAAGCATACAGATGCGAGATACGAAAGACACAAGGGTGTGACAGACAGCAGGGACCTTCACAAAGCTCAGCATGGCGTCAGAAGGTCGTCTCTGCATTGATAAAAGGCCTTTGACGTCCGTGTATTTGCTGCGGCTGGTTTTAATGTAATTACTCTAAAAACTGTCATTACAGTATGTACATGTTAGAGAGGTATATACATGTTAGAGAGGTATGTACATGTTAGAGAGGTATGTACATGTTAGAGAGGTATATACATGCTAGAGAGGTATGTACATGTTAGAGAGGTATGTACATGTTAGAGAGATATGTACATGTTAGAGATATACATGTTAGAGAGGTATGTACATGTTAGAGAGATATGTACATGTTAGAGAGGTATGTACATGTTAGAGAGGTATATACATGTTAGAGAGGTATGTACATGTTAGAGAGGTATGTACATGTTAGAGAGGTATGTACATGTTAGAGAGGTACAGGTATGTACATGTTAGAGAGGTATGTACATGTTAGAGATATACATGTTAGAGAGGTATGTACATGTTAGAGAGGTACAGGTATGTACATGTTAGAGAGGTATATACATGTTAGAGAGGTACAGGTATGTACATGTTAGAGAGGTATGTACATGTTAGAGAGGTATGTACATGTTAGATATATACATGTTAGAGAGGTATGTACATGTTAGATATATACATGTTAGAGAGGTATATACATGTTAGAGAGGTATATACATGTTAGAGAGGTATGTACATGTTAGAGAGGTATATACATGTTAGAGAGGTATGTACATGTTAGAGAGGTATGTACATGTTAGAGAGGTATATACATGTTAGACAGGTATGTACATGTTAGAGAGGTATATACATGTTAGAGAGGTATATACATGTTAGATATATACATGTTAGAGAGGTATATACATGTTAGCGAGGTATGTACATGTTAGATATATACATGTTAGAGAGGTATATACATGTTAGAGAGGTATATACATGTTAGAGAGGTATGTACATGTTAGAGAGGTATATACATGTTAGAGAGGTATATACATGTTAGAGAGGTACAGGTATGTACATGTTAGAGAGGTATGTACATGTTAGATATATACATCTTAGAGAGGTATGTACATGTTAGAGAGGTATGTACATGTTAGAGAGGTATATACATGTTAGAGGGGTATGTACATGTTAGAGATATACATGTTAGAGAGGTATGTACATGTTAGATATATACATGTTAGAGAGGTATATACATGTTAGAGAGGTATGTACATGTTAGAGAGGTATATACATGTTAGAGAGGTATGTACATGTTAGAGAGGTATGTACATGTTAGAGAGGTATATACATGTTAGAGAGGTATGTACATGTTAGAGAGGTATATACATGTTAGAGAGGTACATACATGTTAGAGAGGTATGTACATGTTAGAGAGGTATATACATGTTAGAGAGGTACAGGTATGTACATGTTAGAGAGGTATGCACATGTTAGAGAGGTATGTACAAGTTAGATACATACATCTTAGAGAGGTATGTACATGTTAGAGAGGTATGAACATGTTAGAGAGGTATGTACATGTTAGAGAGGTATATACATGTTAGAGAGATATGTACATGTTAGAGAGATATGTACATGTTAGAGATATACATGTTAGAGAGGTATGTACATGTTAGAGAGGTATGTACATGTTAGAGAGATATGTACATGTTAGAGATATACATGTTAGAGAGGTACAGGTATGTACATGTTAGAGAGGTATATGTTAGAGAGGTATGTACATGTTAGAGAGGTATGTACATGTTAGAGAGATATGTACATGTTAGAGATATACATGTTAGAGAGGTACAGGTATGTACATGTTAGAGAGGTATATGTTAGAGATATACATGTTAGAGAGGTATGTACATGTTAGAGAGGTATATACATGTTAGAGAGGTACGTACATGTTAGAGAGGTATGTACATGTTAGAGAGGTATATACATGTTAGAGAGGTACAGGTATGTACATGTTAGAGAGGTATGTACATGTTAGAGAGGTATGAACATGTTAGAGAGGTATGTACATGTTAGAGAGGTATGAACATGTTAGAGAGGTATGTACATGTTAGAGAGATATGTACATGTTAGAGAGGTATGTACATGTTAGAGAGGTATGTACATGTTAGAGAGGTATATACATGTTAGAGAGGTATGTACATGTTAGAGAGGTATATACATGTTAGAGAGGTACGTACATGTTAGAGAGGTATGTACATGTTAGAGAGGTATATACATGTTAGAGAGGTACAGGTATGTACATGTTAGAGAGGTATGTACATGTTAGAGAGGTATGAACATGTTAGAGAGGTATGTACATGTTAGAGAGATATGTACATGTTAGAGAGATATGTACATGTTAGAGAGATATGTACATGTTAGAGAGATATGTACATGTTAGAGAGATATGTACATGTTAGAGATATACATGTTAGAGAGGTACAGGTATGTACATGTTAGAGAGGTATGTACATGTTAGAGAGGTATGTACATGTTAGAGAGGTACGTACATGTTAGAGAGGTATGTACATGTTAGAGAGGTATGTACATGTTCATAAACACGTGTGTCGTATGGACCAGGCCATGACCGTCTCCTGGCCCTACACCGTTTTTATTGTGTCTAAATGAAAGTGAAACAAAGTGGAAAGGCGGGTCCAGAACTGAGTCTGTCTCTGAGGAGGATCCTGCGGGTCCAGAACTGAGTCTGTCTCTGAGGAGGATCCTGCGGGTCCAGAACTGAGTCTGTCTCTGAGGAGGATCCTGCGGGTCCAGAACTGACTCTGTCTCTGAGGAGGATCCTGCGGGTCCAGATTCTGCTCATGTTCTAATGACTTTGGTACTGGTTTGTCTTCAGCTTTGGACCCAGAGGTTTTCCTGGAGCTCAGAGGCAGCGTGTGGACCGGTCTTAGGTCCATTTCACTGACGGTGAGGTCCTCGGTCCCGGACACAGACCCTTTGTTGGAGGTGATGTAGAAACGGTCTTTGTCTCTCTGCCTCATAATGAGCTCATCGTATTCACTGCAGGCCTCATCAGTCTCTCCACGTCACTGAAGCTCGTACAACGGCCCCTGCTCCCCCTCCCCTCCCCCCCTCCCCCTGGGCCCCGGCTCCAGCCCCTCCCCCTTGGGCCTGGGGGAGTGTTGTGTTTAAAGCTGGGGTACCTGACACCTGTTTCATGAATAATAAATGAATGATACATAATGCTGTGAACAAATGGGAACTTTGTCAGCAGTGATTCAGCAGGTTTGGGTTTGATTCTACTGCTCATATTTACTCTCTCAATTTACAATTTAAGTTGCTCATATGATATGAGAGAGACCAGAGAGAGACCAAAGAGAGAGACCAGAGGGAGATACCAGAGGGAGAGACCAGAGAGAGACCAAAGAGAGAGACCAGAGGATGAGACCAGAGGGAGAGACCAGAGGGAGAGACCAGAGAGAGAGACCAGAGGGAGAGACCAGAGAGAGAGACCAAAGAGAGAGACCAGAGGGAGAGAGAGAGATAGACCAGAGGGAGAGACCAGAGAGAGAGGCTAGAGAGAGACTAGAGGGAGAGACCAGAGCGAGACAAGAGGGAGAGACCAGAGCGAGACCAGAGAGAGACCAGAGAGAAATACCAGAGGGAGAGACCAGAGAGAGAGGCCAGATAGAGAGGCCAGAGAGAGAGACCAGAGAGAGAGACCAGAGAGACAAGAGAGGGGCCAGAGAGGGAGACCAGAGAGAAACCACTCCTAATGTACGGTCTATGTTTGTACCACTCTAGCAGGTGGATTGCATCAGTAATCAGTGTCTCTGAAGGAAGATTCGACTTCACACCTCCCCTTTAATCAAACGAGCAGAGGAATCGTCTAAATGCAAAATGCTGCATCTGCCACCTCTGAGTACCAGGTGTAAGGACTATGGAGGAAGCAATTTTCCTCTGACAACTGCAGCCGGAGGAAAGAAAGGTGGAAAGAATGTTTCTCACAAAGACGAGCTTGGCCTGAATGCAAATCAACAAGAGGAGGTGAAAGACGAACCAGGACAAAGACACAGAAAGGCTTTGTCTCGAAGGGTGTCAAGGCCTCGGGAATGGATCTGACATGTTTGTATTGTACTATGTGGAAAAACCTGTCTCCACGTGGACTAGAGGCCACCCGCGGTACTGCAACTTTAGGAACTGAGGAGTTTGTGGAACCTGGTCTCTCTCTGGTCTCTCTCTGGTCTCTCTCTGGTCTCTCTTTGCTCTATCTCTGGTCCCTCTCTGGTCAATCTCTGGTCTCTCTCTGGTCTTTGTCTGGTCTCTCTGTCTGGCCTCACTCTGGTCTCTCTCTGGTCTCTCTCTGGTCTCTCTCTGGTCTCTTTGGTCTCTCTCTGGTCTCTCTCTGGTCTCTGTTTGGTCTCTCTCTGGTCTCTTTGGTCTCTTTCTGGTCTCTCTCTGATCCCTCTCTGGTCTCTTTGGTCTCTCTCTGGTCGCTCTGGTCTCTCTCTGGTCGCTCTGGTCTCTCTGTGGTCTCTTTGGTCTCTCTTTGGTCTCTCTCTGGTCTCTTTGGTCTCTCTCTGATCCCTCTCTGGTCTCTCTGGTCTCTTTGATCTCTCTCTGGTCGCTCTGGTCTCTCTCTGGTCTCTTTGGTCTCTCTCTGGTCGCTCTGGTCTCTCTGTGGTCTCTTTGGTCTCTCTCTGGTCGCTCTGGTCTCTCTCTGGTCTGGTTCACAATGCCATGGCGTGCTTCTCTCTCTGTCCTTGTAGTGACTCAAACTAAATTTCAGGATTGAAAAATAACATTTTTTTTCTCTAATGAAGCCCTCGAGGTTAAAGCAAATCAGAAAATGCCATTCTCCAACTGGAGCTTTTCTTCTTTTAAATTTTAAACCATTTTGCTTCAGTGGTTCTGTTCAACACTGTGGTCCTAGTCCTGGTCCTAGTCCTAGTCCTGGTCTTATTTATAATAAGATAAAGGCAAATCAAGTTAGGCTGGTGATGGGGAGGAGGAGAGTCGTGGCACAAGCTAAACCTAACCATGCACACACTTTGGGCCTCTGCCACATCTTTGGATCAACTTTTTAGACAAAAAAGTGAAAAAGAGCCAATCAGCTTTCAGAAAAGTTACAGAGAAACGACAAAACAATACCAAGCCAAAAATACATGATGTGAAAACTGTTTTAGGGACCAGAGGCATGGGTTTCTTTCCAGAGGTTTCGGTTTGGTTTGTCCCCACACCCTTCTGTCTTAATGCTCTGTTTTCAAACCCATTACTTGAGGATGTACTGTATGACCAAACTCTGACATGGAACAGAGAGAGTTGGAGTCAGATTACTTCCTGATTCAGATTTCAAACATATTCAGTTACATCACAGCAGCTTTGTTTTTCAGAACAAGAGGTGAAGCAGTTTCATCTTAATTTCACATTGGCCCAAAACATGGTCTCGACCCTTTGATGGTGGACCTTCTGAGTCAATACATATAAACCTGTGTCTCACTTTTACATCAAACTGCATCTGAAGGCCTATGAGAGAAAATAGGGGTTAAAGAATGCTCCTAGATCTTAGAAAATCCTAAAAAGAAAAAAAAATGACACTGTTTTTTTCAAGGAGTGAAAAATGAATATACTGCATCATCATATGTTCCCAGCAGGAGGCCAGTCCCTGTGCTCCTCAGAGTCCCAGCAGGAGGCCAGTCCCTGTGCTCCTCAGAGTCCCAGCAGGAGGCCAGTCCCTGTGCTCCTCAGTCCCAGCAGGAGGCCAGTCCCTGTGCTCCTCAGTCCCAGCAGGAGGCCAGTCCCTGTGCTCCTCAGTCCCAGCAGGAGGCCAGTCCCTGTGCTCCTCAGTCCCAGCAGGAGGCCAGTCCCTGTGCTCCTCAGAGTTCCAGCAGGAAGGCCAGTCCCTGTGCTCCTCAGAGTCCCAGCAGGAGGCCAGTCCCTGTGCTCCTCAGAGTCCCAGCAGGAGGCCAGTCCCTGTGTAAACCGTGGACAGAGGTGACATTAACCGAGTCCCTGTGCTCACGGTGACCGTGGAAACATGAAAAGACTAATGTGGAAAATGTTCCACTTTAATGTCATGTTGGAAAATCGATGAAAATCTATTGATGATTTGAAATGACATTTGTTTTTTAGAGCAGAGCGAGGTCCTGTGACACAACACCAGCTTTAGTTATTTCTGGCTGAATTATTACGCAACACTATTGTCCTTGAGAGGGTAAATGTAAATAAATGTGAAAAATGAGAATATTTATTTATTTATTTTAATTTAGACTTAAGGACTCACATGCACGCACAGGATCCATAGCTAAGACTAAAGGACAGGACGTAAGTAATCTTTATTTATATACCGCCTTTTCACTGCACATCAGAGTCTCATAGCGGTTTACAATTGTTATTTTTGGGAGTGGGGCCAGTACAGGAGGCACATGCCAGACGTATTGTACATATTTTTTTGTGGTAGGGGAAACCGGAGCACCCAGAGGAAACCTACGCAGACACGGGGAGAACATGCAAACTCCACTCAGAAAGGCCCTGGTCCAACCGGGATTTGAACCCAGGACCTTCTTGCTGAGAGGCGAGAGTGCTATCCACTCAGCCACCGTGCCGAATGGAACAGAATAGAATATAATAGAGGAGAGGAGAGGACTGGTGGAAACAGGGCAAATTATGAGTCACGGATCTTGACTCCAAAGAAAGAAACTTCTTTATTTGTCTGAGTAGAAAGTAGTGATTTGCTCAGCGTGGGTTTGAGGTACACTCAGGTCAGAGCCAGCAGCACTAACGCCGTTGACAACACAACTCTGCAAAGACATACTGCTCACCATCTACAACTACACTTCACCGAGGACCTCAGGGGTCACATGAGACTGACTCACCTGTAATGAGTGCGTATTTCTCATTAAAAAGACCCTCCTGGCACTTGTTGGGGCCATGAGTTCAGCTGCAGAGGAATAAATGATGTTAATACAAGACCAAGAGAGAACCAGGGAGCAGTTGTGTTCGGATTAGAACAGCAAATAATGTTCTGGTCGGCTTAGCTTAGTTTCATCCGAATATTCAATGCATTTGTCTGGTCTCTCTCTCTTGTCTCTCTCTGGTCTCTCTTTGGTCTCTCTGTGGTCTCTCTGTGATGTCTCTCTGGTCTCTTTCTGGTCTCTCTCGGGTCTCTCGGTGGTCTCTCTTTGGTCTCTTTCTGGTCTCTCTGTGGTCTCTCTGTGGTATCTTTCCGGTCTCTCTGTGGTCTCTCTCTCTGGTCTCTTTCTGGTCTCTCTGTTGTCTCTCTGTGGTCTCTTTCTGGTCTCTCTGTGGTCTCACTTTGGTCTTTCTCTGGTCTCTCTGTGGTTTCTCTCTGGTCTCTCTCTGGTCTCTCTCTGGTCTCTCTCTGGTCTCTCTGTTGTCTCTCTGTGGTGTCTCTCTGGTCTCTCTCTGTGGTCTCTTTGGTCTCTCTCTGTGGTCACTCTTTGGTGTTTCTCTAGTGGTTCTCTCTGGTCTCTCTAGTGTCTCTCTGATCTTTCTCTATGGCCTCTCTCTGGTCTCTCTCTCTGATCCCTGTCTTTGATTTCTCTCTTTGGTGGGTCTCTGGTCAATAATATATAATATACAGCTTTAACTATTCACATATTTTATCCTAATCTTTAGCCTTTATCCCAAATGAGCAATGAATGAACGTCATATTATTGGTGATTTTCCCAAACTAAGTTCTCATAATGTATTGTTATTGCTCGTTTACTTTGCATTTTTACTTAAAACAATGTCAATGTCATATTATTCACATTTTCTTCCAGAAGCGTTCCCGTGGTAACTCAACATCCATTTTGTGTTCCGCTGTCGCTCTCTAGTGGACAGACTCAGGCGTTGCCCTTTTATATGTGGTTACTCTAACTTTTAATGCACACGTACGGTTTACAACAACATCCACCGGAATAGATATACATATATACATATATTTTTTATGTATTTTTTTTCAGACGTAGAGATTTGTATGCCTAAAACCTGCCAGTTATTCCCCAAATCAGCACATTGAAACCTCATCCAAATTAAAAAAAGATTCTCCTTTTTTGCGCTTTATTCCAATTTTCCTTTTAAGTAACTTTCTTATTTGCATTAAAAAGTTATTTTAAAGGTTTAAATGTCGAAAATTTCACTTGAGGGGATTTAAAGCTGCTCTGTCTCTTAAAAGTAACATTTAGGAAGCTATTTCTTATAGTTTTGGATGCAACCTGTATGCAGTCTGTCATGCTAACCCGTTTGCATGACGCTATTTTATTTATTTTTCATAAACAGAAATCAGTAAATGTGTTATCTATCACGCGTAGACTTGGTTCTACATTCATTAAAGTCAAAACGTAATTGCAAAATACATTCGATCCATTTATAATATGAACTTTTGTGTAATAGAAATGCGAAGCTAAAGCTAAAACAGTGCTGTGTCTACCAAAATCCGTCCGTCTAGAAACACTCGCGATGGTGTGAGTTCCTAGTGACAGCAGCATCAGTAGCAGCACATTGGAGCTGTTAGCATTTCCCCATTTCTTCATGAGCTAACAACAACACGACTACTATAAAGTTCTCAAAATCAGACGTAGAAGAAATGAGTAAGGAGTTTGTCCAAAGCACGCATTTTCCACAGGTAAGAAGTTTCACGGCTTTGGGCTGACTTTAGCCCGTCGGAATAATTAGCATCGTGTGCTAACTCATTCATTCAGATTATTTTTGTGGATAGAGGCTTTTTGAATCTCTGCGTCTTCTGTGCTGTCGTTGTTCTTTCCACTACGTAAGAATGTTTTTAGGTTATGTTAATATTAAGACATTTCTCTGAGGAAGAAGAATATTTTTTATAATATCAATTCAAAACAAATGTAAGTTCCAGGCAAGAGGAAGATTTAGCTCAGTAAATACAATGGTTTAATAAAGAAGTGACCATTACATACCGTTTAGAATGTAGTCTTCATCTGGTTTTATTATTGACCTTTTATTGTTGTGTCTTTATTGTAATATCAAATAGTTAGCTTTGCAATAGTCTAGTTTATTTGTGGAGCTAAGCAGGGAAGGGCCTGGTTAGTGCTATGATGGGAGCTCATAAAATGATAAACTGTTGTTGAATCCTTAAGCAAGACACTTCTCCCACATTAGAATGATTCTGGTGGTGGTTGCTTCCGTCACTGTGCCCCAGGGCAGCTGTGGGCGGCACGGTGGCTGAGTGGATAGCACTCTCGCCTCTCAGCAAGAAGGTCCTGTGTTCGAATCCCGGTCGGACCAGGGCCTTTCTGAGTGGACTTTGCATGTTATCCCCGTGTCTGCGTAGGTTTCCTCCGGGTACTCCGGTTTCCCCTACCACTAAAAATATGTCCAATAGTTCTGGCATGCGCCTCCTATACTGGTGACCGTGCTCCCATCTCTGTGTGGAGTGAGAGAAAAATGCCCAAAAAAAAAAAATTTACAATTGTAAACCGCTTTGAGACTCAAATCTGCAGTGAAAAGGTGGTATATAAATAAAGATTACTTACTAATAAAGATTACTGTGGCTACAGTAGCAGATTATCACCACTGTGTACGGAGTGAAATAATGTCAAAAAGTGCATTAATATTATTATTAATATTAATAATTGGGACACACAGGTTTGGTTATGTTGTTCTGTGGTGTCCATTGGCAAGACACTTGTTGCTTGTTAGATTTTCAGAACAGGTTTTTAAGATAATATAAACCTCTATTGATCTCACAATGGAGAAATTAACATGTTACATTTGGCATAAATAAAGTTCAGACCGGTTCATGCATTGTCCAGTTTCAATCCAAAGTCTATGCTGACGTCCATTCATGCGTGGCATGTGGGTACAGAGGAGGTGGGTACAGAGGAGGTGGGTACAGAGAGGTGGGTGCAGAGGAGGTGGGTGCAGAGGAGGTGGGTGCAGAGGAGGTGTGTACAGAGGAGGTGGGTGCAGAGGAGGTGTGTACAGAGAGGTGGGTACAGAGGAGGTGTGTACAGAGGAGGTGGGTACAGAGGAGTTGGGTGCAGAGGAGGTGTGTACAGAGGAGGTGGGTACAGAGGAGGTGTGTACAGAGGAGGTGGGTGCAGAGGAGTTGGGTGCAGAGGAGGTGTGTACAGAGGAGGTGGGTGCAGAGGAGTTGGGTGCAGAGGAGGTGTGTACAGAGGAGGTGGGTACAGAGGAGGTGGGTGCAGAGGAGGTGGGTGCAGAGGAGGTGTGTACAGAGGAGGTGTGTACAGAGGAGGTGGGTACAGAGGAGGTGGGTGCAGAGGAGGTGGGTGCAGAGGAGGTGTGTACAGAGGAGGTGGGTACAGAGGAGGTGGGTACAGAGGAGGTGGGTACAGAGGAGGTGCGTACAGAGGAGGTGGGTACAGAGAGGTGGGTACAGAGAGGTGGGTACAGAGGAGGTGTGTACAGAGGAGGTGGGTACAGAGGAGGTGGGTGCAGAGGAGGTGTGTACAGAGGAGGTGGGTACAGAGGAGGTGGGTACAGAGGAGGTGGGTACAGAGGAGGTGCGTACAGAGGAGGTGGGTACAGAGAGGTGGGTACAGAGAGGTGGGTACAGAGGAGGTGGGTACAGAGGAGGTGGGTACAGAGGAGGTGGGTACAGAGGAGGTGGGTACAGAGGAGGTGGGTGCAGAGGAGGTGGGTGCAGAGGAGGTGGGTGCAGAGGAGGTGTGTACAGAGGAGGTGGGTGCAGAGGAGGTGTGTACAGAGAGGTGGGTACAGAGGAGGTGTGTACAGAGGAGGTGGGTGCAGAGGAGGTGGGTGCAGAGGAGGTGGGTGCAGAGGAGGTGTGTACAGAGGAGGTGGGTGCAGAGGAGGTGTGTACAGAGAGGTGGGTACAGAGGAGGTGTGTACAGAGGAGGTGGGTGCAGAGGAGGTGGGTGCAGAGGAGGTGTGTACAGAGGAGGTGGGTACAGAGGAGGTGGGTGCAGAGGAGGTGGGTGCAGAGGAGGTGTGTACAGAGGAGGTGTGTACAGAGGAGGTGTGTACAGAGGAGGTGTGTACAGAGGAGGTGGGTACAGAGGAGGTGGGTGCAGAGGAGGTGTGTACAGAGGAGGTGGGTGCAGAGGAGGTGTGTACAGAGAGGTGGGTACAGAGGAGATATGAACAGAGGAGGTGGGTACAGAGGAGGTGGGTACAGAGGAGGTGGTTACAGAGGAGGTGGGTACAGAGGAGGTGGGTACAGAGGAGGTGCGTACAGAGGAGGTGGGTACAGAGAGGTGGGTACAGAGGAGGTGGGTACAGAGGAGGTGGGTACAGAGGAGGTGGGTACAGAGGAGGTGGGTACAGAGGAGGTGGGTACAGAGGAGGAGGAGGTGTGTACAGAGGAGGTGGGTGCAGAGGAGGTGGGTGCAGAGGAGGTGTGTACAGAGGAGGTGGGTACAGAGGAGGTGGGTGCAGAGGAGGTGTGTACAGAGGAGGTGTGTACAGAGGAGGTGTGTACAGAGGAGGTGGGTACAGAGGAGGTGGGTACAGAGGAGGTGGGTACAGAGGAGGTGGGTGCAGAGGAGGTGTGTACAGAGGAGGTGTGTACAGAGGAGGTGGGTACAGAGGAGGTGGGTGCAGAGGAGGTGTGTACAGAGGAGGTGGGTGCAGAGGAGGTGTGTACAGAGAGGTGGGTACAGAGAGGTGGGTACAGAGGAGATATGAACAGAGGAGGTGTGTACAGAGGAGGTGTGTACAGAGGAGGTGGGTACAGAGGAGGTGGGTACAGAGGAGGTGGGTACAGAGGAGGTGGGTACAGAGAGGTGGGTACAGAGGAGGTGGGTACAGAGGAGGTGGGTACAGAGGAGGTGGGTACAGAGGAGGTGGGTACAGAGGAGGTGGGTACAGAGGAGGTGGGTACAGAGGAGGAGGAGGTGGGTACAGAGGAGGTGGGTACAGAGGAGGTGGGTACAGAGGAGGAGGAGGTGGGTACAGAGGAGGTGGGTGCAGAGGAGGTGGGTGCAGAGGAGGTGGGTACAGAGGAGGAGGAGGTGGGTACAGAGGAGGTGGGTGCAGAGGAGGTGGGTGCAGAGGAGGTGGGTACAGAGGAGGAGGAGGTGGGTACAGAGGAGGTGGGTGCAGAGGAGGTGGGTAGCAGACTCGATGCATGCGGCAAAAGCAGGAGATAAACTGTGTTGAACTTTTACTGCCAGCCACACAGAAAAACACTAGTGGTCAGAAGGAGAAGACTGAAGATACTTGTAAACAGCAAAAACAGGAGCTAAACCAGGAGCTAAACCAGGACTAAAGTGCTGCTAACGTGACTGTAAACAAGTGCTGCTAAAGTTTCTGTAAACAAGTGCTGCTAACGTGACTGTAAACAAGTGCTGCTAACGTGACTGTAAACAAGTGCTGCTAACGTGACTGTAAACAAGTGCTGCTAACGTGACTGTAAACAAGTGCTGCTAACGTGACTGTAAACAAGTGCTGCTAACGTGACTGTAAACAAGTGCTGCTAACGTGACTGTAAAGAAGTGCTGCTAACGTGACTGTAAACAAGTGCTGCTAACGTGACTGTAAACAAGTGCTGCTAACGTGACTGTAAACAAGTGCTGCTAACGTGACTGTAAACAAGTGCTGCTAACGTGACTGTAAAGAAGTGCTGCTAACGTGACTGTAAACAAGTGTTGCTAACGTGACTGTAAACAAGTGCTGCTAACGTGACTGTAAACAAGTGTTGCTAACGTGACTGTAAACAAGTGCTGCTAACGTGACTGTAAACAAGTGCTGCTAACGTGACTGTAAACAAGTGTTGCTAACGTGACTGTAAACAAGTGCTGCTAACGTGACTGTAAACAAGTGCTGCTAACGTGACTGTAAACAAGTGCTGCTAACGTGACTGTAAACAAGTGCTGCTAACGTGACTGTAAACAAGTGGGTGATTCTCACGAAATCCAGATTTAAAACAATTCCAACTTCAAAATTTTCAAAAGGCATTTGAAGACTAATTTTCTTTTAAGCACTTTAGATGAATGTCTGAACTTACTAAACACATTATTTTTCAACATAGTTTTTGATTTTTTTAGTTGAATTACAGGTATTTTAGATATTGAGTGCCAAAAAAATCTCATTACCGCAACATGAAATCACATCAGATTTATTGTTAAAATAAAAACAATTGGGAAATTTTAAAAGTAGCTCATTAACACTTATGCCAAGAGGAATGTATCAGTCAGGAAAGATTACTTCGTTATATTTCTAAATTTGAAAATATTTATTATTTGTCTCATTACCGCAACACACTTAATGATTTACATCTAGTTTTTTTAGGATATTCCTTTGAAAACTGACATAAATATATATTTTTTGTGATTGGGATATAAAAAGTAGTACTACAAATTGTGTCAACACAATTGCTAAAAAAAAACAAAAAAAATAATTATTAAATTATTTGCAAATGAACACGTTACGGTAATGAGAATAGTGTTTCGGAAATGAAATTCAATGTTTCGGAAATGAGATTTAGTGCAACATAGGTTAGAAATGATTCACATTTAACACCCAATGATATTTTAATGGTCAAAAGCATTTCATTTCATCATAGTAGTAGTAACAAAAGAATTCATTTATAACAAATAACAGTATTCATTTATTACATAGTAAGGTGGATGACAAATATAGCCTGACTCTCGCCAGACCCATGTAGTTCGCTGCACTTCACACATGAGTCTGGTACTGAGCCATAGTGGTTGGATTTCAGAAGGCAGGGCCTTGTAAAAAAAATCCTTGTATGTGATTGGATAGACCACTTGTCCGTTATCTTGAATAAAGTCTGCTTTCAACCACTCACATCGAAGCACAAGGCTCCCATAGGTTGCCATTTCCCAGCAAGATTTTCCAACCCAAAATCTGCGAGAATACCCACACAAAAAAACACTTGGCTAAAATCTTAATGTAATGAACTTGGGCTATCATGATTCTGTTTATTGTCTTTCTGTTTATTTAATACCTACAAGTCTCTTGGAAAAAAATATGCGGGAACCACCTGCAGAGTGTGTAAACAGGAACACTGAACCAGTGCTTCAACCAAACTTTACAGGAACATTTGACTCTTAAAACACACATATATCAACATAGAACCATCTACATCTCGCCTCAAATTGCATTAAAAGTGACATCCGTGTCTTAATTCGATCGTATTTACTCTTTTAAAAAGATTTGCGGACTTTACGTCCGCCATCTTGGATTCCTCTCGCTGCTGCATGAGAGAAGCTTGAGAAGGCAGTGCAAACCCCACGTAACACCGGCCATCCTGATTGGTCGATTAAAACATAATCTGGGGAATGCGTTCGCTATGGCGTCGATACCAGACCCATGTGGTTCAGCCAAACGCCTCTGGTGGAGCATGGCGGAACTACAAGGGTCTGGCAGAGCCAGGTTATGACAAATAAGCCCTGAAAACACCTTTTTTTTATAATTCTAAACTGCATTAAGGAAATTTAGCAGAAATTAATATTAGTGTAAGAGGTACACATAAGTATCATTTATGGATGGCCCTCAGCAGAGGACCCTGTACTCCCGGAGAATCCCCCAAAGGACACCCCGGGGAACACGGTCGAACGCCTTCTCCAAGTCCACAAAGCACATGTGGACAGGTTGGGCGAACTCCCATAAACCCTCGAGTATCCGATGGAGAGTATAGAGCTGGTCCAGTGTTCCACGGCCGGGACGAAAACCACACTGCTCCTCCTGAATCCGAGATTCAACCATCGGTCGTAGTCTCCTCTCCAGTACCTTGGAGTAGACCTTACCAGGGAGGCTGAGGAGTGTGATCCCACGATAATTGGAACACACCCTCCGGTCCCCCTTCTTGTAGAGAGGGACCACCACCCCGGTCTGCCACCCCCGATTGCCTTGCGATATTGCAGAGACGTGTCAGCCAAGACACTCCTACAACATCCAGAGACTTTAGATTGTCAGGGCGGATCTCATCCACTCCCGGAGCCTTGCCACTAAGGAGGCTGCCAACCACCTTGGTGACCTCAGCCAGGGAGATGGAAGAATCCGCCCCGACATCCTCAGCCTCTGCCCCCAATTCAATACAATTTATTCTTGTATAGCCCTAAATCACAACAGAAGTAATCTCAGAGGACTTAATAAAAATAGAACACATGTTGAAAAATGTCCATACTTGTTCTAGAATGTTAAAGTCGTCACGTCCTGGATCATCACCACAGTCCTTCTAGTTGGACACTAACTGCCCAACAGACCCTCCTGCATTGGCAAGGAAAAACTCATAAGAAAACCCCCCTCCGGTCCAGAGGACGTGACGAGGCACCTCTTTACTCTCCGAACTCCTCCCAGTCCCGGGTTTTTGCCTCTGCAACAGCCCGGGCCGCAGCACACTTGGCCAGCCGGTACTGGACAGCTGCCTCAGGAGTCCCACGGACCATCATGGCTTGATAGGACTCCTTCTTCATCCTGACGCATCCCTTACTGCCGGTGTCCACCACCGGGTTCGGGGTCTGCTGCCGGGACCAGCACCAGAGACCTTGAGAACACAGCTGCGAGCTGCAGCATCGGTGATAGATGCGGAGAACATAGTCCACTCAGACTCAATGTCCCCCTCCTCCGCCGGGACCTGGGAGAAGCTCTCCCAGTGAGTTGTGTGAGTTAAAAGTCCGTCTGACAGGGGGCTCAGCGAAACGTTCCCAGCAGACCCTCACTACACGCTTGGGTCTGCTAGGTCTGACCGGCTTCCTCCTCTGCCAGCGGATCCAACTCACGACCAGGTGGTGATCGGTTGACAGCTCCGCCCCTCTCTTCACCCGAGTGTCCGAGACACGCGGTCGAAGGTCAGATGATACGAAAACAAAGTCGACCATCGACCTCCGGCCTAGGGTGTCCTGGTGCCACGTGCACTGGTGGACACCCTTGTGCGAACATGGTGTTTGTGATGGACAAACTGTAACTAGCACAGAAGTCCAACAACTGAACACCGCTCGGGTTCAGATCAGGGGGGCCGTTCTTCCCAATCACCCCTTCTCCAAGTGTCACTGGCGTTTCCTACATGGGTGTTGAAGTCCCCCAGGAGAATCCCCGGGCGGTACACCGTCCAGTACACCTCCCAAGGACTTCAAGAAGGGCGGGTACTCTGCACTGCTGTTAGGCCCGTAGGCCGTCACAACAATGAGAGACTTGTCCCCCACCCGGAGGCGGAGGGACGCGACCCTCTCATTAACCGGGGAGAACTCCAACACGTGGAGCTGAGATGGGGGGGGGCAATGAGAATGGCCACCCCAGCTCGCCGCCTCTCCCCGCGAGAAACACCAGAAAAGTGGAGCGTCCAACCCCTCTCGAGGAGCTGTGTGTCACCCCCAGTGAGGTGACGTTCCACGTCCCAAGAGCCATATGCTGTGTGCGTGGACTGGGTCGTTGAGGTCACCGCCTTCGACTGCTGCCCAGTCCTCTCAGCACCACTCCACCACGGATCCCTCTGTAGGTGGTGGGTCCAAAGGAGGGCCTGCCCATGTCATCCCTTTGGGCTGAGCCCGGCCGGGCCCCGTGGGCTAAGGTCCACCAGACTCTCGCTTACAAGCCCCAACCCCAGGCCTGGCTCCAGGGTGGGGCCCCGGCTGCGCCATACCGGGCGACGTCACGGTTCTCAATAACATGCTATACATGGTGGGTTTTGGACTGCGCTTCGTCTGACTCATCAGCTGAGACCTGTTTGCCATGGGAGACCCTACCATGAAGCCCCAGACAACATAGCTCCCAGGATCATCAGAGTACTCAAACTCCCTTACCACGTTAAGGTGGTAGTCCAGGGGGGCATAATATTCTGTAAAATATCCATCCATCCATTTTCTTCCCCTTAATCCATTTCTGGGTCGGGGGGGTGGCAGTCAGAGCTGCACCCAGTCACAAAGCACCAGCCCCTCACTGATCCTCCTGCAGGTGGTGAGTCCACAGGAGCTGAGATCTTTCAGTGGGGGCTTCAGGCAAAGTGGGGTTAAGTGTCTTGCCCAAGGACACAACGACAGCAGTCATCAGTGGGAGTCGTGAAGTAGGTCTTGAGGTGGGCTCGAACCCACGACCTTCAGGCTCAAAGGCCAATGCTCTACCAACTGAGCCAACTGAAACTAATGACTTCTGCTGGAAGGTTTACAGGTATACTTAATAATTAAAAGCTATATTATTTTGTTATTTAAGTGTTTTTCATAAATGTGTTAAAAATATCTGTGTTAATTCCTGGTATAACATATCAATTTCTCATTACCGAAACAGTGAATCTCTCTACCGCAACATGCCTTTAACTGTTGCAATGTATGATAATGCTGTTGCGGAGTATGAGTGACCTTGAAATTTTCCGCTGTCTGCGAAGGCACCAGAAGGCTTAGCTAAACTTTAGCTAGCTGTTTATTTTTGGACCATAATGAAGTATATAATAAACAAGAATTTTTAAATAAAAAAAATATATCAATGTTAAAAACGTTGCGTATCGGTAATGAGAAATTAAAAGTCGTGTAGCTGCTGTAATGAACAAACTTTTAACTTTTATCTGGAGAGAAATAAAATGAGGTGCTTACCTGGTAGCTATTTTGAGTGTCACTGGAAATGATGTTCCTCCCTTCAGAATTCTTTGATTTTGTAAGTCCCTTGTGGACTTAAACGATTATTGAAAATTGTTGCGGAGGATGAGAAAAATGGTTGTGGACAAAGTTATTTTCCTTAAAACTTTAAATTATTTTATACAAGAATACCCAATATCACATGTTTATTTATTGTAACTGTTTATAGTATAACATGCACTGATGCTTTATACATTTCATTTTTTTTTTGGTTTAAAAAATTGTATTTCAAAGTTCTCAAATTCAGTAATGGACGCGTTGCGGTAATGAGAAATTTACTATTAAATATGGAAAAAACAATAAAAATATTTTTATAATGTTCACTTTAAATCATGTGCAACATAGCCTGTGATGACATGTTTATAAATGTATCATTATAATTTCCATTGCATTTACTTTGTTCATCTTATTCTTCATGCCACCTTGTAAGTCTGATTTCGCGAGAATCACCCAAGTGCTGCTAACGTGACTGTAAACAAGTGCTGCTAACGTGACTGTAAACAAGTGCTGCTAACGTGACTGTAAACAAGTGCTGCTAACGTGACTGTAAACAAGTGCTGCTAACGTGACTGTAAACAAGTGCTGCTAACGTGACTGTAAACAAGTGCTGCTAACGTGACTGTAAACAAGTGCTGCTAACGTGACTGTAAACAAGTGCTGCTAACGTGACTGTAAACAAGTGCTGCTAACGTGACTGTAAACAAGTGCTGCTAACGTGACTGTAAACAAGTGCTGCTAACGTGACTGTAAACAAGTGCAGTCCCTAAAACAGACCAGAGAATTACAGTGACCTTTCTGTCTTTTCTTTCGTCCGCAGTGATGTCTTTCCACCCGGATCGAAACAGCGGCGGTGGGACTCCGCAGCAGCACGGCGCGTCCCAACACTTCCACACTCCTCCACCTCAGCCCCCAAACCTCCCGCCTGCCATCCCTCCCCCTTTTCACCCTTACGACCCCCAATGCTCCTCCACACCACCTCCCTTCCACTACGGCATTCCTCCTCCACATGGCGACTTCATGCAGTATCCTCCTCCTCCCATTCCTCCTCCTTCCAACTCCCAAAACCCTTTCCCCAAAGCGCCTAACTTCCCTCCTCCCCCCCTCCCTCACGGCTCTTACAACCCGTACATGATGCCGCCTCCGCCCATGCCGCCTCCGCCCATGTCTGTGTACCCTCCTCCATATTACCAGCCTTTCCCACCGCCACAGTTCAACCAGGGCTACGCACAGACCCAGCCCAAGCCCGAGCCAGGGTTCAGGCACTTCAAGCCGCAGGAGGCCGGCAGAAGGTCGCCGGATCGAGGCTACAGCGCCAGGCAAGACGAGCACAAAGGTTTCCGAGGTTACGGAGCAGCGGACAGGCGGAAAATGGAGTGTGGAAGAGTGGAGAGTAAGGAGAGAGTGGAGGTGAGAATGTATTTATAAACCCACCGCAGGGACTGTTGCACTCTCAGTAGCCCTATTCACATAAACATATCAGCAGGAATCAGGAATCAGTGCTCCATCATTGCTTTGCTCAAGCAGCTAATCCACATCTGATCTCGCAATCAAACTGAACTGTCAAAACCCAGTCCAGTGACAGTGTGGCCCAGCGCTCCTGGTTCCCAAGAGTCTGAAGTGGGCAGGATCTAGAGGAGCGAGAGAGAGGCAGGATCTAGAGGAGCGAGAGAGAGGCAGGATCTAGAGGAGCGAGAGAGAGGCAGGATCTAGAGGAGCGAGAGAGAGGCAGGATCTAGAGGAGCGAGAGAGAGGCAGGATCTAGAGGAGCGAGAGAGAGGCAGGATCTAGACGAGCGAGAGAGAGGCAGGATCTAGACAAGCGAGAGAGAGGCAGGATCTAGACGAGCGAGAGAGAGGCAGGATCTAGAGGAGCGAGCGAGAGGCAGGATCTAGAGGAGCGAGCGAGAGGCAGGATCTAGAGGAGCGAGCGAGAGGCATGATCTAGAGGAGCGAGAGAGAGGCAGGATCTAGAGGAGCGAGAGAGAGGCAGGATCTAGAGGTGCGAGCGAGAGGCATGATCTAGAGGAGCGAGGGAGAGGCAGGATCTAGAGGAGCGACAGAGAGGCAGGATCTAGAGGAGCGAGCGAGAGGCATGATCTAGAGGAGCGAGAGAGGCAGGATCTAGAGGTGCGAGAGAGAGGCAGGATCTAGAGGAGCGAGAGAGAGGCAGGATCTAGAGGAGCGAGAGAGAGGCAGGATCTAGAGGAGCGAGAGAGAGGCAGGATCTAGAGGAGCGAGAGAGGCAGGATCTAGACGAGCGAGAGAGAGGCAGGATCTAGACGAGCGAGAGAGAGGCAGGATCTAGAGGAGCGAGCGAGAGGCAGGATCTAGAGGAGCGAGCGAGAGGCAGGATCTAGAGGAGCGAGCGAGAGGCATGATCTAGAGGAGCGAGAGAGAGGCAGGATCTAGAGGCGCGAGAGAGAGGCAGGATCTAGAGGTGCGAGCGAGAGGCATGATCTAGAGGAGCGAGGGAGAGGCAGGATCTAGAGGAGCGACAGAGAGGCAGGATCTAGAGGAGCGAGCGAGAGGCATGATCTAGAGGAGCGAGAGAGGCAGGATCTAGAGGTGCGAGAGAGAGGCAGGATCTAGAGGAGCGAGCGAGAGGCAGGATCTAGACGAGAGAGAGAGAGGCAGGATCTAGAGGAGCGAGAGAGAGGCAGGATCTAGAGGCGCGAGAGAGAGGCAGGATCTAGAGGAGCGAGAGAGAGGCATGATCTAGAGGAGCGAGAGAGAGGCAGGATCTAGAGGAGCGAGAGAGAGGCAGGATCTAGAGGAGCGAGAGAGAGGCAGGATCTAGACGAGCGAGAGAGAGGCAGGATCTAGACGAGCGAGAGAGAGGCAGGATCTAGAGGAGCGAGCGAGAGGCAGGATCTAGAGGAGCGAGCGAGAGGCAGGATCTAGAGGAGCGAGCGAGAGGCATGATCTAGAGGAGCGAGCGAGAGGCATGATCTAGAGGAGCGAGAGAGAGGCATGATCTATAGGAGCGAGAGAGAGGCATGATCTAGAGGAGCGAGAGAGAGGCATGATCTAGAGGAGCGAGAGAGAGGCAGGATCTAGAGGAGCGAGAAAGGCAGGATCTAGAGGAGCGAGAGAGGCAGGATCTAGAGGAGCGAGAGAGAGGCATGATCTAGAGGAGCGAGAGAGAGGCAGGATCTAGAGGAGCGAGAGAGAGGCAGGATCTAGAGGTGCGAGCGAGAGGCATGATCTAGAGGAGCGAGAGAGAGGCATGATCTAGAGGAGCGAGGGAGAGGCAGGATCTAGAGGAGCGACAGAGAGGCAGGATCTAGAGGAGCGAGCGAGAGGCATGATCTAGAGGAGCGAGAGAGGCAGGATCTAGAGGTGCGAGAGAGAGGCAGGATCTAGAGGAGCGAGCGAGAGGCAGGATCTAGACAAGAGAGAGAGAGGCAGGATCTAGAGGGGCGAGCGAGAGGCAGGATCTAGACAAGAGAGAGAGAGGCAGGATCTAGAGGGGCGAGAGAGAGGCAGGATCTAGAGGAGCGAGAGAGAGGCATGATCTAGAGGAGCGAGAGAGAGGCATGATCTAGAGGAGCGAGAGAGAGGCAGGATCTAGAGGAGCGAGAGCGAGGCAGGATCTAGAGGAGCGAGAGAGAGGCAGGATCTAGAGGAGCGAGAGAGAGAGAGAGAGAGAGAGCATTAGTCCCTTCCCCATGTTTAAGGCAATATTAAAGAAGAGAAAATTAATAATATCATGTTTATGTGAATGGGGCTCATGGTTTATTAATAATAATAATAATAATGCATCAAACTTATATAGCGTTTTTTTGGACACTCAAAGACGCTTTACAAAACACGTAGAAATAAACATTGAAAAACAAAATTAAGGAAAGGCTGAAACAGGTGGGTTTTTAGGAGAGATTTAAAGTTCTGTAGTGCAGTGTTTTTCAACCTTTTTTGAGCCAAGGCACACTTTTTTCACTGAAAAAATCTTGCGGCACACCTCCAGGAGAAAATGTAAAAATGTATACAGTACTAATGTAAAAAAATATATACTGTACATACTCTGTGTGATATATAAAGTATATCTTATCTTATAATGTATACAGTATACTCTGTAGCCTATATTCACAATATACAGTTATTCTCATCAAAATGCTTAAGTCCAGGCCTTGACATTAAGCTTTATTTAATATTTCTCGATACAAATAACAAGAGTTTGGGAATAAAGTGGCACTAACTGTGTGGAAAAAAACTAAGAAAATCCACTCTCTGCCCAAATAGTCAAATAATAACTCACACAAAGAACATGCATTGTTAGTGCATGGGAAACATTTTGGTATCCGAGCTTTAAATTCAGGAGTTTTGGATGAGGGACACGGGAGGTCCTGAACGCGAGTTTATGGTTCTGTCCGGTCCGCATGTCTGTGGTTCTGTCCACTCGACTACGGTCTGCGCTCGGTACCCAGTTCAGAAGTGCGTTCGCGAGAGCTGTTGTACAAAAATCGTACATTTCATAGTTAAACCACTACAACGCGGCCACACCTGCCCCGGGGCAGAGCGGAGGATGTTAATCCTGTTCAGAAACGGCATAATTCATTTTCAAAAACGTCTCTATCACTTTTACTTCTCACTCGCCACAAAGCTCTTGTCTCGCTCCCTCACACATTTGTTGGTCGCATCCAATTTTACCTTTCTCGCCACAATGCTGACCTGTTACAGCCAGTGGTCGCATCCAATTTTTCAGTATCAAAGTACTTAGCTATCTGCTGCCATCTATTGATTTGAAAAAGTATTACATGGTTACTCACAGTTCAAAACAAGTCACCGCTCGTCAACAGCGAATGCAGCTATTTTTAGACAAAGTAGACGAATTTCTCACGGCACACCAGACAATATCATACGGCACACTAGTGTGCCGCGGCACAGTGGTTGAAAAACACTGCTGTAGTGAGTTGTTGAAGCCATCTACTTTTCTCAGACCTAGTTATAGTTGTCTCCTCTGGTCCTTTTCTCATTCTCTAATCCCTGCTTCAGGACAGAGGCAGGAGTCCGGACAGACGAGGGAGATACAGACAGGAATACGACCGTCGGAGCTCCCCGCGACACCGCAGCAGAGACCGCAGCAGGTGAGGAGCGAAAACACACAAACACTGATATGAGAGAGAGAGAGAGAGAGAGAGAGAGAGAGAGAGAGAGAGAGAGAGAGAGAGAGAGAGAGAGAGAGAGAGAGAGAGAGAGAGAGAGAGAGAGAGAGAGAGAGAGAGAGAGAGAGAGAGAGAGAGAGAGAGAGAGAGAGAGAGAGAGAGAGAGAGAGAGAGAGAGAGAGAGAGAGAGAGAGAGAGAGAGAGAGAGAGAGAGAGAGAGAGAGAGAGAGAGAGAGAGAGAGAGAGAGAGAGAGAGAGAGAGAGAGAGAGAGAGTAAAGGGAGGTGCGAGTAAAGGGAGGTGCGAGTAAAGGGAGGTGCGAGTAAAGGGAGGTGCGAGTAAAGGGAGGTGCGAGTAAAGGGAGGTGAGAGAGAGAGAGAGAGAGGTGCGAGTAAAGGGAGGTGAGAGAGAGAGAGAGAGAGAGGTGCGAGTAAAGGGAGGTGAGAGAGAGAGAGAGAGAGAGAGAGAGAGAGAGGTGCGAGTAAAGGGAGGTGAGAGAGAGGTGCGAGTAAAGGGAGGTGAGAGAGAGAGAGAGAGGTGCGAGTAAAGGGAGGTGAGAGAGGTGCGAGTAAAGGGAGGTGAGAGAGGTGCGAGTAAAGGGAGGTGAGAGAGGGTGCGAGTAAAGGGAGGTGAGAGAGGTGCGAGAAGAGAGGTGAGAGGAGCGAGTAAAGGGAGGTGAGAGAAGAGAGAGGTGCGAGAAGAGAGGTGAGAGGAGCGAGTAAAGGGAGGTGAGAGAAGAGAGAGGTGCGAGAAGAGAGGTGAGAGGAAGCGAGTAAAGGGAGGTGAGAGAAGAGAGAGGTGCGAGAAGAGAGGTGAGAGGAGCGAGTAAAGGAGGGGAGAGAGAGAGAGGGAGAGAGAGGAGGGGAGAGAGGAGAGAGAGGAGGGAGAGGAGAGAGAGGGAGAGAGAGAGGGGAGAGGAGGAGAGAGGGAGAGGGAGAGAGGAGAGAGGGCGAGAGAGAGGGAGAGGGAGCGAGAGAGGGAGGAGAGAGAGAGGAGGAGAGGGAGAGAGAGAGGGGAGAGGAGGAGAGAGAGGAGGGAGAGAGAGAGAGGAGGAGAGAGAGGAGAGAGGAGGAGAGAGGGAGAGAGAGAGGAGAGAGAGGAGGAGAGAGAGAGGGAGAGGAGAGAGAGAGGGAGAGGGAGAGAGAGGAGGGAGAGGAGAGAGAGGAGAGAGGAGGAGAGAGAGAGGGAGAGAGAGGAGAGAGGGAGAGGAGAGAGAGAGGGAGGAGAGAGAGGAGAGAGGAGAGAGAGGGAGAGGAGAGAGAGAGGGAGAGAGAGGAGAGAGAGGAGGGAGAGGAGAGAGAGGAGAGAGGGAGAGAGAGGAGAGGAGAGGAGAGAGAGGAGGAGAGAGAGAGAGGGAGAGAGGAGAGAGGGAGGAGAGAGGAGGGAGAGAGAGGAGGGAGAGGAGAGAGAGAGGAGAGAGAGGAGAGAGGAGAGAGGGGAGAGGAGAGAGGAGGCGAGAGAGAGGAGGGAGAGAGAGAGAGAGGGAGAGAGAGGAGGGAGAGAGAGAGAGGGAGAGAGAGAGAGGGAGAGGAGAGAGAGAGGGAGAGAGAGAGAGGAGGAGAGAGAGAGGGAGAGAGGAGAGAGAGAGGGAGAGGAGGAGAGAGAGGAGGGAGAGGAGAGGGAGGAGAGAGAGGAGAGGAGAGAGAGAGAGAGGGAGAGAGAGAGAGGAGAGAGAGGAGAGAGGGAGAGAGAGAGGAGAGAGAGGGAGAGAGAGAGAGGGAGAGAGAGGAGAGAGGGAGAGAGGGAGAGGAGAGAGAGAGAGAGGGAGAGAGGAGGAGAGAGGAGAGGAGAGAGGAGAGAGAGGAGAGAGAGGGAGAGAGAGAGAGGGCGTGAGAGAGGGAGAGAGACAGAGGGCGAGAGAGAGGGAGAGAGAGAGGGAGAGAGAGAGAGAGAGAGAGAGAGAGGAGGTGCGAGAAGAGAGAGGTCGAGAAGAGAGAGGTGCGAGAAGAGAGAGGTGCAGAGAAGAGAGAGGAGGCGAGAAGAGAGGAGCGAGTAAAGAGAGGAGCGAGTAAAGGGAGGTGAGAGAGAGATGTGCGAGAAAAGAGAGGAGAGAGAAGAGAGAGGTGAGAGAAGAGAGAGGTGAGAGAAGGAGAGAGAGGTGCGAGAAGAGAGAGGTGCGAGAAGAGAGAGGTGCGAGAAGAGAGGTGAGAGAAGAGAGAGGTGAGAGGAGCGAGTAAAGGGAGGTGAGAGAGGTGAGCGAAGAGAGAGGTGCGAGAAGAGAGAGGTGCGAGAAGAGAGAGGTGAGAGAGTACAGTACATAAATAAAGATTACTTACTTATACTTACTTAGAGAGGAGAGGGAGGAGAGAGGAGAGAGGAGGAGAGAGAGAGGGAGAGAGGAGAGAGGGAGAGAGAGGAGAGAGAGAGAGGGAGAGAGGAGAGAGAGGAGGGAGAGAGGAGAGAGAGGGAGAGAAGAGAGAGGTGAGAGAAGAGAGAGGTGAGAGAGGTGAGAGGAGCGAGTAAAGGGAGGTGAGAGAAGAGAGGTGCGAGAAGAGAGAGGGTCGAGAAGAGAGAGGTGCGAGAAGAGAGAGGTGCGAGAAGAGAGAGGTGAGACAAGAGAGAGGTGCGAGAAGAGAGAGGTGCGAGAAGAGAGAGGTGAGAGAGGTGAGAGGAGCGAGTAAAGGGAGGTGAGAGAAGAGAGGTGCGAGAAGAGAGAGGTGCGAGAAGAGAGAGGTGCGAGAAGAGAGAGGTGTGAGAAGAGAGAGGTGTGAGAAGAGAGAGGTGCGAGAAGAGAGAGGTGGAGGAGTAGAAGGGAGAGGAGCGAGTAAGAGAGGTGAGAGAAAGAGAGGTGCGAGAAGAGAGAGGTGCGAGAAGAGAGGGTGCGAGAAGAGAGAGGTGCGAGAAGAGAGAGGTGCGAGAAGAGAGGAGCGAGTAAAGAGAGGTGAGAGCGAGTAAAGGGAGGTGAGAGAGAAGAGAGAGGAGAGTGCGAGAAAGAGAGAGGTGAGAGAGAAGAGAGAGGAGAGGGAGAGAGAGGAGGAGAGAGAGGAGAGAGGAGGGAGAGAGAGAGAGGGAGAGGAGAGAGGGAGAGAGAGGAGAGAGGGAGAGAGAGGAGGGAGAGAGAGAGAGGGAGGAGAGGAGAGAGAGAGGAGAGAGAGGAGGGAGAGGAGAGAGAGGAGGAGAGAGGAGAGAGGGAGGAGGAGAGGAGAGAGAGAGAGGAGGGGAGAGAGAGGGAGAGAGAGAGAGGGAGAGAGAGAGAGGGAGAGGAGAGAGAGGAGGAGAGAGAGGGAGAGAGGAGAGGGAGAGAGGAGGAGAGGAGAGAGAGGAGAGAGGAGAGGGAGGAGAGAGGGGAGAGAGAGAGAGGAGGAGAGAGAGGAGAGAGAGAGGAGGAGAGAGGAGAGAGAGGAGAGGAGAGAGAGGAGAGAGAGGAGAGGAGAGAGAGGAGAGGAGAGAGGAGAGGGAGAGAGAGAGAGGAGAGAGAGAGGAGGGAGAGAGAGAGAGGAGAGAGAGAGAGAGAGAGAGGGTGCGAGAAGAGAGAGGTGCGAGAGAGGGGCGAGTAGAGGGTGAGAGGAGAGAGAGGTTGCGAGAAGAGAGGAGCGAGTGCGAGAAGAGAGGTGAGAGAGAGAGAGGTGCGAGAAGAGAGAGAGAGGTGCGAGAGAGAGAGAGGTGAGAGAAGAGAGAGGTGAGAGGTGAGAGGAGCGAGTAAAGGGAGGTGCGAGAAGAGAGAGGTGCGAGAAGAGAGAGGTGCGAGAAGAGAGAGGTGCGAGAAGAGAGAGAGAGTGCGAGAAGAGAGGTGCGAGAGAGAGAGGTGCGAGAAGAGAGAGGTGAGAGGTGAGAGAGGTGAGAGAGGAGCGAGTAAAGGGAGGTGAGAGAAGAGAGAGGTGCGAGAAGAGAGAGGTGCGAGAAGAGAGTGCGAGAGAGAGAGGTGCGAGAGAGAGGTGCGAGAAGAGAGAGGTGCGAGAAGAGAGAGGTGCGAGAAGAGAGAGGTGCGAGAAGAGAGAGGTGCGAGAAGAGAGAGAAGAGAGAGGTGCGAGAAGAGAGAGGTGCGAGAAAGAGAGGTAGCGAGAAAGAAGTAGAGAGAGAGAGTAGCGAGAAGAGAGAGGAGCGAGAAGAGAGAGGTGAGAGAAGAGAGAGGAGCGAGTAAAGAGAGGAGCGAGTAAAGGAGGTGAGAGAAGAGAGAGGTGCGAGAAAAGAGAGGTGCGAGAAGAGAGAGGTGCGAGAAGAGAGAGGTGCGAGAAAAGAGAGGAGCGAGAAGAGAGAGGAGCAAGAAGAGAGAGGAGCGAGAAGAGAGAAGAGGGAGGAGCGAGAAGAGGGAGGAGCGAGTAAAGAGAGGAGCGAGTAAAGGGAGGTGAGAGAAGAGAGAGGTGCGAGAAGAGAGAGGAGCGAGAAGAGAGAGGTGCGAGAAAAGAGAGGAGCGAGAAGAGAGAGGTGCGAGAAAAGAGAGGAGCGAGAAAAGAGAGGAGCGAGAAAAGAGAGGAGCGAGAAAAGAGAGGAGCGAGAAAAGAGAGGAGCGAGAAGAGGGAGGAGCGAGAAGAGAGGAGCGAGAAGAGGGAGGAGCGAGAAGAGAGAGGAGCGAGAAAAGAGAGGAGCGAGAAGAGGGAGGAGCGAGAAAAGAGAGGAGCGAGAAAAGAGAGGAGCGAGAAGAGAGAGGCGCGAGAAGAGAGAGGAGCGAGAAGAGAGAGGAGCGAGAAGAGAGAGGAGCGAGAAGAGAGAGGAGCGAGAAGAGAGAGGAGCGAGAAGAGAGAGGAGCGAGAAGAGAGAGGAGCGAGAAGAGAGAGGAGCGAGAGGAGCGAGAGGAGCGAGAAGAGAGAGGAGAGAGAAAGGAGAGGAGCGAGAGGAGCGATAGGAGAGAAGAGAGGGGAGAGGGGGGAGAGAGAGAGAAGAGAGGGGAGAGAGAGAGGAGTGTCATGTTTAACACAAAATCATATGAAAAACAATAGTCCCTTGCATGTGAATGGATCCAGTCTCCCATCACAGTACTCACCAGGGCGCACCCTGCTTACCCTCTGAGGCTTGTTAAGCAGGTGTGGTGTTGTGTGACTTCTTGCAGAGAGCGGTATCGCCACAGCCGGAGGTCCCAGTCTCCAGACCGACAAAGGAAAAGAGCCCGGAGGTAAAACCACAGAGTGTGTGTGAGGAGTGGACAGAGTGTGACATCACCTACTGTTGGCCTTAATGCAGAAGAGCCGCATTTCAACATGAACTAAACGTTACACACATGATCGAGCTAGCACGTTAGCATTGTCCATCTGTGTCCAGTCTATTCTCAGTCTATTCTCAGTCCAGTCTATTCAACATCAAGTTTTGAACATTCTCTCCACTTCTAGACACCTTTCTGGTCTCTCACCATAGTCCCTCCCTCTGGTCTCTCTCTGGTCTCCCTCTGGTCTCCCTCTGGTCTCCCTCTGGTCTCTCTCTGGTCTCTCTCTGGTCTCTCTCTCTGGTCTCTCTCTCTGGTCTCCCTCTGGTGTCCCTCTGGTCTCTCTCTGGTCTCTCTCTGGTCTCTCCCTCTGGTTTCTCTCTCTGGTCTCTCTCTCTGGTCTCCTTCTGGTCCCTCCCTCTGATCTCCCTCTGTTCCCCTCTCCTCAGCCGCTCCTCCAGCCGTGAGCGTAAACGTGGGTGCTGGGAGGAGGAGCGTGACAAAAGGTCGGACAGTTCCTCCTCCAGGGACAGGGGGCGCTGTTCCTCCGTCCGCAGCAGCAGAGAGTCAGAGGACGCGCCCGCCGACCGGGAGCGAGAGAAGGAGCGAGAGAAGGAGCGAGATAAGGAGAGAGAGAAGGAGAGAGAGGAGGCCAAAGAGGAGGAGTTTCTGAAACCGGCCTGGATCCGCTGCACTCACGCCGAGAACTACTACTCCAACGACCCCATGGACCAAGTGGTATGACCTAAAGCAGGAACATACAAACCACGCCCATATTTGGGCATTGTCTGGTCCTCCCGGCTCTGTGTAGGGGACAAGCTCCCATGATGCTTTGTGCATATCAGGGGGTAGCGTTCTGACCAATCAGAGGGCAGCGTTCTGACCAATTAGAGTTGATCAGAGCAGAGTTTGTTTCACTAAAGTCTGGATTTATAGACATTTTAACGATAAAAAAATTCAGGACAACAAGAGACACATCCACAGAATGCACCATTATGAAAGCTGTAGGTTCTCTGTCAGGTTCTCAGTCAGGTTCTCTTTCAGGTTCTCTGTAGGTTCTCTGTCAGGTTCTCTGTAGGTTCTCTGTCAGGTTCTCTGTCAGGTTCTCTGTCAGGTTCTCTGTCAGGTTCTCTGTCAGGTTCTTTGTCAGGTTCTCTGTCAGGTTCTCTGTCAGGTTCTCTGTCAGGTTCTCTGTCAGGTTCTCTGTCAGGTTCTCTGTCAGGTTCTCAGTCAGGTTCTCTGTAGGTTCTCTGTAGGTTCTTTGTAGGTTCTCTGTAGGTTCTCTGTCAGGTTCTCAGCTGAGGTCTGTTTTTGTGAGTAACATGTTTGTGCAGCCCACGTGAATTTAGTCTGGTTTAGTCTGCTTTAGTCTGCTTTAGTCTACAGTACCCTGAGAATCCCCCGAGCACATGGTCCTTCAGCTCAAAGATGTAACACTCTATACAGATATTATAGGTCCATGCTCTCAGCCCAAAGGGTCAAATAGTGACTCTCAGGGCTCTCACACAAAAGAAGATGAAGATGTGGTCTGGCCTGTGTCTGTGGGGCCCATAGCGTTAGTAGCTGTAGCTAGTTTCTTCATATGAGCATTTGTTCCAACAGTGTTAGCGCCGTAACGGGGCAGATGTGTGGCTAAAACAGTTGCTAGCTGAAGAGAATGAAGGCCTTTGATTGGTCCGTCCTTATACGGCTCATGTAACTACAAAGACAGCATCACATTTAAACATCAGGACCACGGACAGCGATAAACCACAGATGCTTGTGATGTCACACAAAGTCACTGAGAGTCTGTTTCAGGGCGACTCGACGGTCGTGGGCACCAGTAAACTCAAGAAGCTTTACGAGCGCTTTGAGGAGGAGCTCGGGAGGCGTCAGGAGCGAGCGAAGCAGGTGCGCCCGAAGTGGGACCCCCCCAAAACCAAACTGGACGAGGACCACGGTGAGTCCTGTGAGGGAGACCTGGGATCAACAAGTGCTCTGTAAGGTTTGATCTACTACAAAACTGCATCAATAATTATCATTGTGTGAGGTTTTTCCCCAAACGTTTGCCTTGAAGCTGTCGAACGTTTCAAATCACAGACACAGCATTTTATAAAATTCAGGTTTTTCTGTCACATATTAAGGTCAGCTTTATCAGACCGAAAAGTGAAACTAAGAGGGCCGCCCTCTCTCAGCCAATCAGCTCTCAGCCAATCAGCTCTCAGCCAATCAGTTCTCAGCCAATCAGCTCTCATCCAATCAGTTCTCATCCAATCAGCTCTCATCCAATCAGCTCTCAGCCAATCAGCTCTCAGCCAATCAGCTCTCAGCCAATCAGCTCTCAGCCAATCAGCTCTCAGCCTATCAGCTCTCAGCCAATGAGTTCTCATCCAATCAGCTTTCAGCCAATCAGCTCTCAGCCCAAAGAGTCCAATAGTGACTCACAGGGATCTTCCTAAGTATCCATAAGTTCAGTGTAGTTCAGCTCAGAGCGACAAACAAAGAAGACATTGTTTGTGTAAGTGCTTTATAGAGCTAAAGGTTTTATAATAAGTATAATAAGTATTTTTATTTATGGAACAAATACGTTTCTGTTTCATAAATGAATAAAATGATGTGTTCTATATAGTTAAATTGGACTAAAGTGCTTTTTGTTTTTTTCAGATGGCAGCAGCAGTGAGTCCGAGTGTGAGTCTGACGCTGAGGGAAGCTCCTGCTCCTCCTCAGACTCAGACGTGTTCGATGTGATCGCTGAAATCAAGAGGAAGAAGGCTCATCCAGACCGACTGCATGAGGAGCTGTGGTACAACGACCCAGGGCAGGTGCGGCTGCGAAGAGAGACCAGAGAGAGACCAGAGAGAGACCAGAGAGAGACCAGAGAGAGACCAGAGAGAGACCAGAGAGAGACCAGAGAGAGACCAGAGAGAGACCAGAGAGAGACCAGAGAGAGACCAGAGAGAGACCAGAGAGAGACCAGAGAGAGACCAGAGAGAGACCAGAGAGAGACCAGAGAGAGACCAGAGAGAGACCAGAGAGAGACCAGAGAGAGACCAGAGAGAGACCAGAGAGAGACCAGAGAGAGACCAGAGAGAGACCAGAGAGAGGCCAGAGAGAGGCCAGAGAGAGGCCAGAGAGAGGCCAGAGAGAGGCCAGAGAGAGGCCAGAGAGAGGCCAGAGAGAGGCCAGAGAGAGGCCAGAGAGAGGCCAGAGAGAGGCCAGAGAGAGGCCAGAGAGAGGCCAGAGAGAGGCCAGAGAGAGGCCAGAGAGAGGCCAGAGAGAGGCCAGAGAGAGGCCAGAGAGAGGCCAGAGAGAGGCCAGAGAGAGGCCAGAGAGAGGCCAGAGAGAGGCCAGAGAGAGGCCAGAGAGAGGCCAGAGAGAGGCCAGAGAGAGGCCAGAGAGAGGCCAGAGAGAGGCCAGAGAGAGGCCAGAGAGAGGCCAGAGAGAGGCCAGAGAGAGGCCAGAGAGAGGCCAGAGAGAGGCCAGAGAGAGGCCAGAGAGAGGCCAGAGAGAGGCCAGAGAGAGGCCAGAGAGAGGCCAGAGAGAGGCCAGAGAGAGTGGCCAGAGAGAGTGGCCAGAGAGAGTGGCCAGAGCAAGGTGTCTTGGAGAGCTGTTCTCTGATATTAAACTACTCTATTATGACCTGTATCTTTTGTACCCTTCCGTTTCTATGTGTTTTTACCGTCTCGTCTGTCTGAGATGAAGACAAAATGGCTTCTGGATTCACCTCTCGTGTATTTGCTGTTGTGTGTCTGTGCTCAGATGAATGATGGGCCCCTGTGTAAGTGCAGCGCTAAGGCCAGACGTACGGGGATCCGCCACAGCATCTACCCGGGAGAGGAGGTGAGAGAGACGGCCATAAATCACACCCTTAACACCTTCAAAAAGACAAGGACAGACCCTCACCTCCACCTGAAGAGGGCGCCACCACCAATTACTGATGACGAGGAGAAAACACAGAGAGCTGTGGACTAGATATGTCACAGTGTCATAGGGATGGAACTCTCTGTTCATTAGACTAGAAATGGGAAGAAGAGAGACCAGAGGGAGAGAGACCAGAGGGAGAGAGACCAGAGAGAGGGAGACCAGAGAGAGGGAGACTAGAGAGAGGGAGACTAGAGAGAGGGAGACTAGAGAGAGGGAGACTAGAGAGAGGGAGACCAGAGAGAGGGAGACTAGAGAGGGAGACTAGAGAGAGGGAGACTAGAGAGAGGGAGACTAGAGAGAGGGAGACTAGAGAGAGGGAGACTAGAGAGAGGGAGACTAGAGAGAGGGAGACTAGAGAGAGGGAGACTAGAGAGAGGGAGACCAGAGAGAGACACCAGAGGGAGGGAGACCAGAGAGAGGGAGACTAGAGAGAGGGAGACTAGAGAGAGGGAGACCAGAGAGAGGGAGACTAGAGAGAGGGAGACTAGAGAGAGGGAGACTAGAGAGAGGGAGACTAGAGAGAGGGAGACTAGAGAGAGGGAGACTAGAGAGAGGGAGACTAGAGAGAGGGAGACTAGAGAGAGGGAGACTAGAGAGAGGGAGACTAGAGAGAGGGAGACTAGAGAGAGGGAGACTAGAGAGAGGGAGACTAGAGAGAGGGAGACTAGAGAGAGGGAGACTAGAGAGAGGGAGACTAGAGAGAGGGAGACTAGAGAGAGGGAGACTAGAGAGAGGGAGACTAGAGAGAGGGAGACTAGAGAGAGGGAGACCAGAGAGAGGGAGACCAGAGAGAGGGAGACTAGAGAGAGGGAGACTAGAGAGAGGGAGACCAGAGAGAGGGAGACTAGAGAGAGGGAGACTAGAGAGAGGGAGACTAGAGAGAGGGAGACTAGAGAGAGGGAGACTAGAGAGAGGGAGACTAGAGAGAGGGAGACTAGAGAGAGGGAGACTAGAGAGAGGGAGACTAGAGAGAGGGAGACCAGAGAGAGGGAGACCAGAGAGAGGGAGACTAGAGAGAGGGAGACTAGAGAGAGGGAGACTAGAGAGAGGGAGACCAGAGAGAGAGAGACCAGAGAGAGGGAGACTAGAGAGAGGGAGACTAGAGAGAGGGAGACCAGAGAGAGGGAGACTATAGAGAGGGAGACTATAGAGAGGGAGACTAGAGAGAGGGAGACTAGAGAGAGGGAGACTAGAGAGAGGGAGACTAGAGAGAGGGAGACTAGAGAGAGGGAGACCAGTGAGAGGGAGACCAGTGAGAGGGAGACCAGTGAGAGGGAGACCAGTGAGAGGGAGACACCAGAGAGAGGGAGACACCAGTGAGAGGGAGACACCAGAGAGAGGGAGACACCAGAGAGAGGGAGACACCAGAGAGAGGGAGACACCAGAGAGAGGGAGACACCAGAGAGAGGGAGACACCAGAGAGAGGGAGACACCAGAGAGAGGGAGACACCAGAGAGAGGGAGACACCAGAGAGAGGGAGACACCAGAGGGAGACACCAGAGGGAGAGAGCAGAGGGAGAGACCAGAGAGAGAGAGAGACACCAGAGGGAGAGAGAACAGAGGGAGAGAGACCAGAGGGAGAGAGAACAGAGGGAGAGAGAACAGAGGGAGAGAGACCAGAGGGAGAGAGACCAGAGGGAGAGAGACCAGAGGGAGAGAGACCAGAGGGAGAGAGAGACCAGAGGGAGAGAGAGACCAGAGGGAGAGAGAGACCAGAGGGAGAGAGAGACCAGAGGGAGAGAGAGACCAGAGGGAGAGAGAGACCAGAGGGAGAGAGAGACCAGAGGGAGAGAGAGACCAGAGGGAGAGAGAGACCAGAGGGAGAGAGACACCAGAGGGAGAGAGACACCAGAGGGAGAGAGACACCAGAGGGAGAGAGACCAGAGGGAGAGAGAGAGAGACCAGAGAGAGAGAGAGAGAGAGAGACCAGAGTGAGACAGATACAAAAATACATGATCATTCTAAAAGTATCTAACAGTAGTAATGGTAACAACAGTCCTTCAGGTCACAGCAGCTGAGGCGGAGTTTGGTTCAGACCATTTCCTCTGCTCTGGTCCAAAGTAAAATGCTAAATGATCCACTTGGTACGGACCATGAATCCTTTAACCCCCGCTGCAGCCGAGCGTCCTCCTGTGGACTCGCCACCTGCTGGAGGATTAGTTTTTAAAGCATTTTCTTGAGATTTGACCTTTGCTTTTATTTCTTCAAAGTTGCTGCGACATCTGTGTTTTCTGTTTTTCAGCCTGTCAAACTCTGTCGCTTAATGAACAACAACTCTGGAAAACTCTTCCACTACCGGATCACCGTGTCTCCTCCCACCAACTTCCTGGTATGTTCATCCATCTCTCTTTATTATTATTATTATTATTAGACTCTTCTACCTAAAGCTGGGGTACCTAATTTACACAACCATGGAACAAAGTCATAACATCTATCTAGTTCTTTGCTCTCAAAACAGGTTTCTCTGGTCTCTCTCTCTGTTCTTTCTCTCTGCTCTCTCTCTGCTCTTTCTCTCTGTTTTTCTCTTTCTCTGGTCTCTCTCTTTCTGACCTCTCGCTCTGGTCTCTCTCTCTGCTCTTTCTCTCTGTTTTTCTCTTCCTGGTCTCTCTTTCGGACCTCTCTCTCTGCTCTCTCTCTCTGCTCTTTCTCTCTGTTTTTCTCTTCCTGGTCTCTCTTTCGGACCTCTCTCTCTGCTCTCTCTCTCTGCTCTTTCTCTCTGTTTTTCTCTTCCTGGTCTCTCTTTCGGACCTCTCTCTCTGGTCTCTCTCGGATATCCTCTTTGATAGTAAAACTGCTAATTTTTTATCTAGTTCCTACCAGTGTTTTCCTGGGCTGCCTTGCATTTGGGATCTCCTCATTTGACTCTTCACAGAGCCACTAACAATGACAGATTGAATTGTAAACTTAACCTGGTTCTCCATAAATATTCTCAGGATCTTTTTGTTGTATTTTACAGACGGATCGACCGACTGTGATTGAGTACGACGACCACGAGTACCTGTTCGAAGGCTTCTCGCTCTTCTCTCACGCTCCTCTCACTAATGTAAGCCACAGACTGTACACAGATGGACATTGCTAACCCGCTAGCTCTAACAAGGTCAATAGGGAAGTGCTCATGGTGAAGTTTGGCTCCACTGGTTCCACTTCAAATGAAATGGTGACCACATGATCCACAATGTAGCGCTCTCCGAGTCTGGCCTTATCTCCTACATGCACGTCTGGTCTTACCATGTGTAAACTCTGGTCCATGATCATTTCCTACATGTACATCTGGTCTTACCATGTGTAAAGTCTGGTCCATGATCATCTCCTACATGTACGTCTGGTCTTACCATGTGTAAACTCTGGTCCATGATCATTTCCTACATGTACATCTGGTCTTACCATGTGTAAACTCTGGTCCATGATCATTTCCTACATGTACGTCTGGGTCTGATCCTAGTGGCTGCAGTTTCCTCGGTTGAATCCGCTCCGACCAATCAGAGAGCGGGGGAGGCGGGTGTTGTAGGTCGGTGTCTGTGACGTCAAGAGTCACCGACACAAATATCAAGAAACTGAAGCCGGAGCAAGAGGAATGTTTAGTAAATGTCATTGAAGCAAAGATGTTGTGGCTCTGCTCCCCACGGTCTCTGTTAGCGGCAAAGGAGATGGCTAAAGCTAGGCTACATGCTAAAGCTAGGCTAAATGCTAAATGCCTCACTCACTCGGGCTCATTACATACGTCATGGTAAACTCAGATCCAATGGTTTCAATCTGCAAAAGGAGTTAGCCCCTCCCACCTGTTCACGGAGTCAATGGAGCAAATCCAGACCTTAGTATGAAATGAAATGAGTACCATGGTGCGGTAAGACCAGGCTAGTTCTATCCAATTGTGACCCCAGGATCTCAGGGAGCGACAGGGGGCACACATTGGTGGTGGTGGTGGCACAGTGTTTGCTCTGAGCTGTGCTTCTAAAAGTTACAAATGCTGCTAAAAATATGTTTTTATGTCCTCCTCTCTGCAGTTTAAGCCGACATTCCCTCTGCGGCTTTTACTCTCTCACTTCTCTTTACTCTCCTGTCCTCCTTCTCTCTTTTGTCTGTGTAATTTAGGTCACTGGACAAAGCAGACTGAGCACACGGACGAGAGGCCTTTTTCATATTTTTTTTATCTTGGAGGAAAATAATGTGCTCTTTAACTTGAATCAGGAATATATATAATTGTCTAAAAAGTCCTCTCAGTGTTTGCAGAATGTGGTTTTGATGCAAAGATAGCTCTGTGTCTCTTCAGTGGCTCATTCTGTCTGTTGTTATAGTGTTATGTCGAGTTAAAAGCATTGGGGCTCTGTGGTTTCTTCTGCTCTGACATTTGGGCCGGTTATAAAAGGAAAGACAAGGTTTACTTGTATAGCACAGGTCATACACAAGGCAATGTTATAAAATCATTAATAATCACAGTACATTAAAAGAGTGCAGATACAATCCTTCAGTTTTATGCACGGCTAAACAAACCTGGATTTGAACATAGAGTAGAAGCCTGTTTCACATTTTCCAGATTGTAGCTAGAGTTGTGTCTCGTTCCTGGCTCTAAAACAGTTTCTATCACTAGTTTTCACATATTTTAAAAGCTTTTACGGACAGAAAAGTGAAACTGAGAGGACCACCCTCTCTCAGCCAATCAGCTCTCAGCCAATCAGCTCTCAGCCAATCAGCTCTCAGCCAATCAGCTCTCAACCCAAAGAGTCACAAAGTGACTCACAGTGATCTTTCTGTCGGTGACAAACCTGTGATTTCTGTGGTACCACAGCCTTAGTCCACATTCTTAGGATCTGGCTTTGAGCTTCAAACTTATCAGACTTCTGAAGCTAAGCAGGACAGGGCCTGGTTAGTGCTGTGATGGTTGTGTCCTTAGGCAAGACACTTCCCCCACATTAGAATGAGTGGTGTGTGTGTGTGAATGGTAGAGCTTTGGACCTAATGGTTGTGGGTTCGATCCCCCTACGACCCATGTCACCTGCTCCCAGTGTTGTTGTGTCCCTGGGCAAGACACATAACCCCACTTTGCCCAAAGTCCCCGCTGAAAAATCAAGGCCGTATCTGCATTGATGGAGCAGCCATGTTCCTGCGGACCCACCTCCTGCAGGAGGATCAGACGGACTGGTGCTTTGAGCATTGGGTGCAGCTCTGACTGTCACCTCCCGACCCATACTACTACTACTACTGCTGCTGCTGCTGCTGCTGCTGCTGCTGCTGCTGCTGCTGCTGCTGCTGCTGCTATTTCCACTTGTAGTTTTTCTACACGTGAATCTCCCTTTGGCGTGGAACATTTCTGAGGTCACGAGTCCAAACGCTCGTGTCAGACTTCCTTTCATCTTTAAGAGAAGGTGCGATCGATGTGGCGCCCCCTTGAATAATGTTTCGTATTTTCTCCCTCACCTCGTGCTCCTGGAATAATAAAAACACCCGGTCAATATCCACGCCGCTTTGTGAAGTGGCACCCGTGGGATCAGCCGCCATTTGAACCGGATAATTCAGCCCGGCTCTCCTGTTAGACGCCAACGAGCTAAGCAGTTTGGAGGATTAGCACACAGTAAAAATGCTAAATTAGCTTCTTGCTAGTTAGCTGCGGCTACGAGGTGAAACGAGTGAAGCTTTCGGGGTTAATAGGCGACAAAAAAATGGAGACAAAGGCCCGTAAGTGGGAGATTAGCAACAGGAGAGACCGGATTAACAGAGAGCTGCTGCGTGACTGTGCATCGGAAAAGCTGGAGCGTTTGATTGGAGTGTAAATTGGTGGGATTTACTGATTAGATCTGATAGATTAAGATCTAAGACGTCCTGTAGCAATTAGTTAATTTGCAGCAGTCGAAGCTTAAGGCCCTCGTCACACAAAGTCAAATTCAGGCTCAATTTCAAACTCAAAAATACTTAATCTATTTAGGGGGTCTGAGAGAGACCAGAGAGAGAGAGAGAGACCAGAGAGAGAGAGAGACCAGAGAGAGAGAGAGACCAGAGAGAGAGAGAGACCAGAGAGAGAGAGACCAGAGAGAGAGAGAGAGAGAGACCAGAGAGAGAGAGACCAGAGAGAGAGAGACCAGAGAGAGAGAGACCAGAGAGAGAGAGACCAGAGAGAGAGAGACCAGAGAGAGAGACCAGAGAGAGAGACCAGAGAGAGAGACCAGAGAGAGAGACCAGAGAGAGAGACCAGAGAGAGAGACCACAGAGAGAGACCACAGAGAGAGACCAGAGAGAGAGACCAGAGAGAGAGACCAGAGAGAGAGACCAGAGAGAGAGACCAGAGAGAGAGACCAGAGAGAGAGACCAGAGAGAGAGAGACCAGAGATCCATATGAAGCTGGCTTTTTGGCTGTGTGAAAACTCTTTTCTTGGGAGGTCACTGGTTGCTCCAGCTGCAGCTGTCTGCACATGGTACTTTCACCCTTTTTTTCTTCATAAATGATAATGTGGTGAATATATCGTGTTTCTGGTTCTGCTTTTTCCTCTCGTCCTTATGACATCACTCTTTTTTTAAATCCTAAAGTCATAAAAAGTGTTTTCTCGTTCCAGATCCCGCTCTGTCGTGTGATCCGCTTCAACATCGACTACACCATCCACTTCATCGAAGAGATGGCTCCAGAGGTCAGTGTCACAGGTCCTGGTCCTCTCCTGGTACAGAAGTCCTGGTCATCTCCTGGTCCTCTCCTGGTGCAGAGGTCCTGGTCATCTCCTGGTCCTCTCCTGGTGCAGAGGTCCTGGTCATCTCCGTGTACAGAGGTCCTGGTCCTCTCCTGGTACAGAGGTCCTGGTCCTCTCCTGGTACAGAGGTCCTGGTCCTCTCCTGGTACAGAGGTCCTGGTCCTCTCCTGGTGCAGAGGTCCTGGTCCTCTCCTGGTCCTCTCCTGGTGCAGAGGTCCTGGTCCTCTCCTGGTGCAGAGGTCCTGGTCCTCTCCTGGTCCTCTCCTGGTGCAGAGGTCCTGGTCCTCTCCTGGTACAGAGGTCCTGGTCCTCTCCTGGTCCTCTCCTGGTGCAGAGGTCCTGGTCCTCTCCTGGTCCTGGTCCCGGTCCTCTCCTGGTCCAGCTCAGTTCACAGTTGCTGTATAAAACTGTAGTGAAGAGGGAGCAGCGTCTGCAGTCAAAGCTCAGTGTATGTTCAGATGTCATGAGCATGATCTTTGTGCAACAACCCACAAAATTAAATCATTAGTTTCAGATTTGATTCAGCAAAAATATGGACATAACGTTTATGTTGCAAACTACAAAACAAAGGGAGGTGGAAACATAACCCCTGGTGAAGCTAACGTATGACTTCCAGATCAGTCACGGAGGGGGAGCTCAGAGTAGAGCCGCTGTTCCTCGTGCATTGCAGGGAAGTACTCGGACTGCTTCAGAATAAAGACATAGAAGTGGATCATATCTAACCTCCTGAACCTGGAGCTTTGTGAGCCTCTGCAGATCCCCTCCGTCTCTGAGCGCTTCACCCCTGGACCTCCGCAGCTCTCCTTAATCCTTCCAGAGAAAGCGGTTTGAGCTCCGATAACGCGGCTCACTGCGGGCGATGAAGTTACAAACCGGATTTGCTTATCGCTTGTATCTACATAGAGACATATTCACACAGATAAGACCAGAGCGCGTCGTTTGGAAGAGAACAGGAGACTGGATTAAAACCTTCAGGGATTATAATCTGCTCCGGTCTAAAGTCGTATCCATTCTTTCTCTGCGGCGACCAAGAAGAGAGCACACAATGAACTATTGAACAGTCGCGACGAGGATGTATTCAGAGCCTGTCGAAAGTACTTATACCCCTTGATAGTGGTAGTTTAATGAAGACACATCAAGGCAGCGTAAAATTACTTCTGCGCTCTTCATGGGTCAAGTAAGGTAAAGTGTCTTGCTCAAGGACGGCAGACATCAGTGGGAGTTGGTGGCGAAGGTCTTGCAGTGGGCTCGAACCCACTACAGTAATTAATCACAGTATTTTTCTCATAAACAGCCCATATGTGTCGTCTATAGACCATATGTTAGCCAGCCGTTTAGCATTACCCATCTTTCTCTGTTATCTCCCCCTCCTATCAAAAATCCTAGAACATGCCAAAGTCCAACAATACCTCCACACCTTCTCCCCCTTTGAAATTTTCCAATCCGGTGTCCGTCCCCATCACAGCACCGAAACAGCCCTCCTAAAAGTATCCAACGACCTTCTCCTTGCTGCTGACTCCGGTTCCCTTTCCATCCTCCTCCTCCTCCACCTCTCCGCAGCATTTGACACCATCGACCATTGAATAATCCTCCACCGTCTTCAATCTATTGGCATCTCCAACACGGTTCTATCCTGGTTTTCTTCATACCTCTCTGACCGTCATCATTATGTTCCATTAACATTCCCTCCATTCCCTCTCTCGATCCACTGCTTAAATACTCCTCCACGCCTTCATCACCTCTAGACTGGACTCTTCGGTCTCCCCTCCACTCATCTTCAAAAGCTACAATACATCCAGAACTCCGCCGCCCGCCTTCTCACCCACACCCCCGTCCTCAAACAACTCCACTGGCTCCCTATTCCATCCAGTCCAAGGTCCTCCTCCTCCAGTCCCTCCATAACCTCCCCCCCTCTTACTTCACTGACCTCCTCAATCATCACTGTCCCTCCCGCTGCCTCAGATCCCCAGACTCCAACCTCCTCACTCCCATCAGAACTACCAACCGAACCTTGGGGGACTGAGCCTTCGCTGCAGCCGCCCCCACTCTCTGGAACTCACTCCCTCAACCAATCAGAAACTCAGACTCACTACAGAACTTTAAATCTCTTCTCAAAACCCACCTGTTTCAGCCTTTCCTTAATTTTTGTTATTCAATGTTTATTTCTATGTGTTTTATAAAGGGTCTTTAGGCGCTATATAAGTTTGATGCATTATTGTTTTTGCTCGAGAGATGTCAAATTCTGCACTTTGAGCCTTAATTTCACCCCCTGAACATGCATGAAAAGTTGTAAAATTTTGCCCAAACATCAGACCTGGTGAAAAATTTGATATTTGGGTGTTTATTTTTATGGGACTCCAAAAATGCCAGAACAACGCCACCTACAACAGCCAATGGGAGTTTCAGAGGTCAAGTTTGTCGTAGAGCCATGAAATTCGGTACACATGTTCCTCAAGTCAAGATACGAGAAAAATGTTACCATGGCTCCGCCCTCTGACAAACAGGAGGCCCATACATTTCACTGCAAAATGGAAAAATGAGCAGCAATAATTTTCATACATGTCGGTTGGAAAGCGACTCCTCCTCGGCCGTTTCACCGATTGGCCTCCATATCACTCTCCACATTGTCTAAACACATGTACCATCAAAATGACCCCAGGGATTTTTGATCAGTGAAACGTTGTTTGAGCAGCGGAGCGGCAAAATTTGAGTGTTTATTGGCCGTTTTTCACAACATTCTATTTGCTCCCGTTTACACATACAAATTCCGATTTGCAAAAAATTTGAATCCTATGTTTAACTCCAGGGTCTAGGTCAGGTGAAAGTGAAATATTTGAACTTGGCTCATTAACGCCCCCTACAGACTATTTCAAAGTTTATATGGGCATTTTCAAATTTAGTTTTTTCAAAATGTTTGAAATTTGTTCTGTTTTGCCCTCTTGATTCAAAATGTCAATAGGGCCCAAGGCTTATTTTTTACCCTGTTGCCGTGGCAACGACAAACGCTCCCCATTCATTGTCTATGGCAAATGCACACCTCGCACAAACATCAAACCAGCCTCGGCCGTTTCACAGATTTGGCCAAAAATTGCTCCACATCATCTCAACACATGTACCATCAAAGTGACCAAAGGGATTTTTGATCAGTGAAACATTGTTTGAGCAGCGGAGCGGCAAATTGTGACCTTTTTTCCCCATTTTGACGATAGAAACATAGCTCCCTTTTGGACAAACCAAGTCCGATTCGCAACAAATTTGATTCGGTTGTTAAAGTTTTGGGTTTGGGCAAACTGAAAGTGTGAAGCCTAGCGTACATCGACAGAGAAACTGGAGTTGCAAGGCGGCTTTTGGCAACTGAGAGGAGAGGATGGAGATGATCAGTAGCCGAAATCGGTCGATGTGAGCGCTCTTAAGATAAGAATTCCTTTATTCGTCCCACAGTGGGGAAATTTCGAACAACTGGAGATGAACAGTCGGTCTCCAGTTTCAGTCAGTTGCCCGCGTTCTACTTTTCGGCAACTAGTTGTCCTCAGTTTCGGAGATATGACCCGATGTGCGCACTCCATGCGCTGCTCCGACAACGTGTGTGTATTGCGAGCCCGCAACAGTTTATGTCAGAAAACACACTGTGGTTGAGGCCAGTTGCTGTCGATGTACGCGCTGTTATTCCCGAGACTGGTCTGATACTGGGAGTTGCACGTTTTCATCAGGTTGTCGATGTGTGCGGGGCAGCAACTCATATGCGACGGATATAATCAGTTGCCAGTCCGATGTACGCTAGGCTTAAAACATTACATTTCAGCATTAGCGCCCCCTACAGACTGAGTCAAGTTTTACATGGGTGAGAATGGCATTTACTAAGTCTGATTTGCACTAAACTTGACTCGGTTGTTCAACTCCTGGGCCTAGGTCGCCTGAAAGTGTGAGCAATGACATTGTCCCATTAGCGCCCCCTACAGGCGGAGTAAAACTTTTACATAGGGCACACAGCGCATTTAGTTTCTCTGTTGTTTGATCTCACACAGTATTTGACCCACTGGAGTGGGAGTTGCGCGGGGCGGGGAGGTACCATCTCCTTTGCGCTATGGCGCGGTACGGTGTGGTGTGGGCCGGTGTGGTGTGGGCCGGTGCGGTGCAGTGCGACGCTGTGCGGCGAGTCGCGCGGGGCGGCGAGGGCCGTTCGACGCCGCTTGCGGCTTTAACTATTATCATTATCTGAACTGATCCCCGTGAGTCACTTCTTGACTCTTTGGGCTGAGAGCTGAAGGAGCAGATGTAAAGATGTGACCTCTTACTGTCGTTGGCACAAATGTTGTTTTTGAAGCTCTGGAAGATCCATCTTTCACCCCTTTAATGGTTCAAAATGCCTTGTTGGATTTCCAGAACCTCTGCTAATGGGGCCTGCTGATTATTTGGTTTTGCTGCAGATGTTTCTCGACTGCTTCGTCTGGGGACAAGCGGCAGATGCACCTCACTAATGGCTCTGATTAATCTGAAGCATATTAACAATGAGAGAAGACATAATACTGCACAGAGAGAGACCAGAGAGAGAGACCAGAGAGAGAGACCAGAGAGAGAGACCAGAGAGAGAGACCAGAGAGAGAGACCAGAGAGAGAGACCAGAGGCAAGGCAAGGCAAGGCAAGTTTATTTGTATAGCACAATTCATACACAAGGCAATTCAAAGTGCTGAACAGAACAAGAAAGCATTAAAATCATAAATAATCACAGTACATTAAAAAAAAAAAAAAAAAAAAAAAAAAATATATAAAATCCCTCAGTTGTATGCACAGCTAAACAGAACTGTTTTCAACCTTGTCTTAAACATTGTCAGAGAGGAGGCCTGTCTCACATCTTCAGGAAGACTGTTCCAGATTTTAGCAGCATGAATTTGAAAAGCAGCCTCCCCATGTTTAGTTCTGACTCTGGGCACTAACAGGAGACCAGAGAGATCACCGTTTTTCTTTTTCTCCTCAGAACTACTGCCTTCAGGGCCTGGAGCTGTTTGCATCGTATCTGTTCAAAGACATTCTGGAGCTTTACGACTGGAACCTCACAGGTACAAAACTAATATAGAGAGACCAGAGAGAGAGAGAGACCAGAGAGAGAAAGAGACCAGAGAGAGAAAGAGACCAGAGAGAGAAAGAGACCAGAGAGAGAAAGAGACCAGAGAGCCAGAGAGCGAGAGACCAGAGAGCGAGAGACCAGAGAGCGAGAGACCAGAGAGCGAGAGACCAGAGAGCGAGAGACCAGAGAGCGAGAGACCAGAGAGCGAGAGACCAGAGAGAGAAAGAGACCAGAGAGAGAAAGAGACCAGAGAGCGAGAGACCAGAGAGCGAGAGACCAGAGAGCGAGAGACCAGAGAGCGAGAGACCAGAGAGCGAGAGACCAGAGAGCGAGAGACCAGAGAGCGAGAGACCAGAGAGCGAGAGACCAGAGAGCGAGAGACCAGAGAGCGAGAGACCAGAGAGCGAGAGACCAGAGAGCGAGAGACCAGAGAGCGAGAGACCAGAGAGCGAGAGACCAGAGAGCGAGAGAGAGACCAGAGAGCGAGAGAGAGACCAGAGAGCGAGAGAGAGAGACCAGAGAGCGAGAGAGAGAGACCAGAGAGCGAGAGAGAGAGACCAGAGAGCGAGAGAGAGAGACCAGAGAGCGAGAGAGAGAGACCAGAGAGCGAGAGAGAGAGACCAGAGAGCGAGAGAGAGAGACCAGAGAGCGAGAGAGAGAGACCAGAGAGAGAGAGAGAGAGAGAGAGAGAGACTAGAGAGAGAGAGTCTTCACACTGAGACTTTCAAGGACGTATAAGTAGGAAGTTTAGTTTTGACTGACACGGGTCCAAACAACACGGCTCCGCAGCCCTCAGTTTTTGATGTGTGTGTCTCAGGATCAGAGGAGGAGAAGGACACGCCCCAATGTCAGCGCTTTCACTTCATGCCACGATTCGTCAGATTTCTTCCCGGTGAGTTTCTCATGTTTGTGTTTTTCTGCAGCGACGGGACCAAGGCCTCGCACAAAATATTAAAGCTCAGGGACTTCACAACATTTCACTTTTGAAAGACAAAAAAGTGAATAGACCAGACCAAAACATGCTATTTTCTACATGAGCCCTGGGAGTCACTCTTTGACTCTTAGGGCTGATTGGCTGAGAGCTGATTGGCTGAGAGCTGATTGGCTGAGAGCTGATTGACTGAGAGCTGATTGGCTGAGAGCTGATTGGCTGACAGTTGATTGGCTGACAGTTGATTGGCTGAGAGCTGATTGGCTGAGAGCTGATTGGCTGAGAGCTGATTGGCTGAGAGAGGGTGGTCCTTTTTCCACTTTTCTGTCTGAAGGGGGTGAAAAATTAGCAGTCCTAGTTTACTCCTGCTTTAGTTCTTATTTAGTTGTGGTTTAGCCCTGGTTTAGACCTGGTTTAGACCTGGTTTAGTCCTGGTTTAGTCCTGGTTAAGACCTGCTTTAAGATAAGATAAGATAAACCTTTATTAGTCTCGCAGTGGAGAAATGCCAGTGTCATCGTTGCACATTACAGCAGAGAAAGAAGTAAATAAGACTCGGACGCACACATCAGATTGAGTATTATTTATGATAATAGACAATAAAATTGAAACACTTGGCTCAGAAGTATTTACAGATGTGTATATTGTACTTTAGCTGCGGTGGAGAATATGAGAATATGAATATGAGCAGAATAAACATCAGAAATAATATCAAGTCATGTAAAGTGACTGATGAAATATCAGATGGATGTGTTATATTGCAGTAATACTAATAACAGGTAAAGTGACTCGTGAATTATCAGTGACACTTGTACAGACTCAGCAGTTCCTGTTACACATTCTCATTGTACAATCTGACAGCAGCAGGAAGGAAGGACCTACGGAACCTCTCCTTCACACAGCGAGGATGAATTAGTCTGTCACTGAAGCTGCTCTCCAGAGCAGAGAGTGTCCTGCAGGGGGCGACAGTCATGGTCCAGATGTTAGTTTGTCCAGGACCCTCCTGTCCCCCACCTGCTGCACTGTGTTTTAATTGAGTCCTGGTTGAGTCCTGCTTTAGTCCTGGTTTAGACCTGCTTTAGTCCTGGTCTGGACCTGGTTTAGTTCTGGTTTGGACCTGCTTAAGTCCTGGTCTGGACCTGGTTTAGTTCTGGTCTAGGCCTTGTTTAGTCCTGGTCTAGACCTGGTATAGTCCCGGTCTAGAACTGGTTTAGTCCTGGTCTAGACTTGGTTTAGTCCTGGTCAAGACCTGGTTTAGTCCTGCAGGTCTAGACCTGGTTGAGTCCTGGTCCAGACCTATACAAATACTTGTTCTCTACCGACTTCATGTAAACCATGTAATTTAAGATTGTACATGATGGTTTTAAGACGTCTTGCTGCATGCTGTTCCGACTCCGTCCTCCGGGTGGCGCTGTGGCTCCATGGTTTGGCCTGGTTTGTTATGACAGCTTGTGCCTCCCACCTTCCCTCCATCAAAACAGCATTTCTGTTGAAGTGGAGGAGTTCTGGGCTCCGACTCTTTACGCCTGCGGAGGCTGTGTCCACTCGTGTGTCAGCTCCAGAGACTGCGGCAACAACACGGATATAGACCTGGTCAAGTCCTGGCTCAGTCCTGAGGCAGTCCTGCTCTAGACCTGCCTGAGACCTGCTTTAGTCCTGTTTTAGTCTTGCTATAGACCTGCTTTAGTCCTGGGTTAGACCTGCCTGTGACCTGCTTAAGTCTTGCTTTAAACCTGCTTTAGACCTGCTTTAGTCCTGTTTTAGTCCTGTTTTAGTCGTGTTTTAGTCCTGCTTTAGACCTGCTTTAGACCTGCTTTAGACCTGCTTTAGACCTGTTTTAGACCTGCTTTAGACCTGCTTTAGACCTGCTTTAGTCCTGCTTTATTCCTGCTTTAGTCCTGCTTTAGACCTGCTTTAGACCTGCTTTAGACCTGCTTTAGACCTGCTGTAGTCCTGCTTTAGACCTGCTGTAGTCCTGCTGTAGTCCTGGTTTGGATCTGTTTCAGTCCCGGTTAAGTCCTGGTTTGGACCTAGTTTGGATCTGTCTTAGTCCAGGTTTAGTCCCTGCTTGGACCTAGTTTAGTCCTATTTTAGTCCTGGTTTAGTTCTGGTTTGGATCAGTTTTAGTCCAGGTTTTAGTCCTGGTTTAGATATAGATTTGACCGGTTTTGGACTTTGTTTAGTCCTTGTTTAGTCCTCAAATAGTCTTTGTGAACTCCTGGTTCAGACCTGGTTCAGACCTGGTTCAGACCTGGTTCAGACATGAACACTGTTCACTGCATTGGTCCAAAGTTAAGTACCTCAGCTTTAACTCTCTGATAGATCCATAACATTGTCCTGAGTTCAGCTGGTTCTGGACCTCAAGGACCTCAGAGGGACCTCCATGGACCTCATAGGGACCTCCATGGACCTCAGAGGGACCTCCATGGACCTCAGAGGGACCTCCATGGACCTCAGAGGGACCTCATGGACCTCAGAGGGACCTCCATGGACCTCAGAGGGACCTCATGGACCTCAGAGGGACCTCCATGGTGTTTCCAGACTTGTGTTTGGACCAAGGTCTTCAGCTCCGGTGATGGGAGCATTTTCACTGTTAATAAAAGTTTAATTTCTCAAACTCGAGCAGCGAGAACCTTTGTGTTTGAAATCATTTTTCTGCAGCGAAAGGTTTTTTTTATTTCAAATGTGTCCAGTTTTTAACAATATTCTTTAAATAAAGTGTCCTTCAAACGTCCTTCACATTTTTATGGGTTAGTTTCATTATTATCAGCCTCAGTCCTGGATCTACAGCCTCAGTCCTGGGTCTACAGCCTCAGTCCTGGGTCTACAGCCTCAGTCCTGGGTCTACAGCCTCAGTCCTGGGTCTACAGCCTCAGTCCTGGGTCTACAGCCTCAGTCCTGGGTCTACAGCCTCTGTCCTGGGTCTACAGCCTCTGTCCTGTGTCTACAGCCTCTGTCTTGGGTCTACAGCCTCAGTCCTGGGTATACAGCCTCAGTCCTGTGTCTACAGCCTCTGTCTTGGGTCTACAGCCTCAGTCCTGGGTCTACAGCCTCTGTCTTGGGTCTACAGCCTCAGTCCTGGGTCTACAGCCTCTGTCCTGTGTCTACAGCCTCTGTCTTGGGTCTACAGCCTCAGTCCTGGGTCTACAGCCTCAGTCCTGGGTCTACAGCCTCAGTCTAACCTGTTGTGTTTCCTCAGATGGGGGTAAGGAGGTCCTGTCCATGCATCAGGTCCTGCTGTACGTGCTCCGCAGCAGTAAACCTCTGGTCCCAGCCGAGGACATCGCCGACATGCTGCAGTGGGAGGAGCTGGAGTGGCAGAAGTACGCAGAGGAGTGCAAAGGCATGATCGTGACCAACCCAGGCATGGTGAGAGAGTACCCTCCTACCAGAGAGAGAGACCAGAGAGAGAGACCAGAGAGAGAGAGACCAGAGAGAGAGAGACCAGAGAGAGAGAGACCAGAGAGAGAGAGACCAGAGAGAGAGACCAGAGAGAGAGACCAGAGAGAGAGACCAGAGAGAGACCAGAGAGAGAGCAGGAATTATTGTAAGTGTCTAATTTTTTGTGTTGTCTGGACTTTGGTACTTCCTGAGTCCTGAGTCCTGAGTCCTGAGTCCTGAGTCCTGAGTCCTGAGTCCTGAGTCCTGAGTCCTGAGTCCTGAGTCCTGAGTCCTGAGTCCTGAGTCCTGAGTCCTGAGTGTCTGTTCAATCAGAGGCTTCCCAGAGTCTTGCACCATGTGGTAGAAAAACATTGATGACTTTGATGACTTCAGTCCTGGTCAGAACAGTCGGACAAATCGCTGCTAATGACAATAATGAGACCAGCAGCCGACTGTCATTTCATTTCAATATTTACTTTACAAAGATGGCACAGTGGCTGAGTGGTTAGCACTCTCGCGTCTGAGCAAGAAGGCCCTGGAGCCGTGTTCCTTTATGAAAAAGGTGTTTGAAAAAGTTTGTATTTCTCCACATGGTAAAAGTCTATAGTTAGTCTAATTAATATGCAACTCTCCCTGGTCTCTCTCTCTCTGATCTATCTCTGGTCTCTCTTGTCTCTTGTCTATATTTGGTCTCTCTCTGATCCAACCTCAATTCTTCCTCTTGTTTCTGCATGGTCTCTCTCTGGTCTCTCTATAGTCCCTCTCTCTGTCTCTCTATGGTCTCTCTCTCTGGTCTCTCTCTCTGGTCTCTCTCTCTGGTCTCTCTCTCTAGTCTCTCTCTGGTCTCTCTCTCTGGTCTCTCTCTGATCTCACCCACTCTGATCTCTGATTATCCACCCACACCACACTCCAGCACAGACTGAACATGTTACGTGCATGTACACGTATGTGTATGTCTCCTCTTTTCAAACCGTAACTTCATTTAGCTGCTCTGGGGGATCTCCAACCTGTTTTTCATGTAAGCTAGCCCTGGAATTTACAGGAACTGGGAGCTTTCTGCAGAGTAGAATGGGAGTCAGAGAGGAGAGCAGAGAGAGACTGAAGAGAAGGAGCAGAGAGTGCAAGCAGAGAGCAGAGAAAGACTCGAGACCAACGAGAGAGTAGAGAGAGACCAGAATGAAACGAGAGAGACAAGAGTGAGAGAGTAGAGAGACCAGCGATAGATAACAGAGAGAGAGAGACCACAGAGAGATCGGAGAGAGAAACCAGAAAGAGACCAAAGAAAAACCAGAGAAAGAGACCAGAACACTAAGTCTCTCTCTCTAATCCTAAATCGGTTCAGAACCTATCTTTCTTTTCCAGCGTGTGAGAGGTTTGTTTCTCTTCCACTGCTGCAGGTTTGTAGATGTCGCTGAGTGTTTGGACCCAAATGAGCGGTTACAGTCCGCACTGATTATTCCACAAACACGCACATGTATGTTCCCTTCAATCAATGTAGAAATTAGCATCTGCCGCAACAATCACACAGGCCAAGCGGACTTTGATTATGGAGTGGTGGCTAAAGAGAGAGGGAGAGATCAGGGAGAGAGGGGGAGAGGGGGAGAAAGAGCAGAAAGAGGGAGCAGGGTGAGAGACCAGAGAGCGAGAGGCCAGAGAGCGAGAGGCCAGAGAGCGAGAGGCCAGAGAGCGAGAGACCAGAGAGCGAGAGACCAGAGAGCGAGAGACCAGAGAGCGAGAGACCAGAGAGCGAGAGACCAGAGAGCGAGAGACCAGAGAGCGAGAGACCAGAGAGCGAGAGACCAGAGAGCGAGAGACCAGAGAGCGAGAGACCAGAGAGCGAGAGACCAGAGAGCGAGAGACCAGAGAGCGAGAGACCAGAGAGCGAGAGACCAGAGAGCGAGAGACCAGAGAGCGAGAGACCAGAGAGCGAGAGACCAGAGAGCGAGAGACCAGAGAGCGAGAGACCAAAGAGCGAGAGACCAGAGAGCGAGAGACCAGAGAGCGAGAGACCAGAGAGCGAGAGACCAGAGAGCGAGAGACCAGAGGGAAGTGAGGCGTCTGTGTCAAAGACCATCTGTGTCTGCTTTACCTGTGCCTTAGGCTTCTGCGCCTCCCAAAACACAGGAGGGAGGAGCCTGGGGATGAGGGAGGAGCCTGGGGATGAGGGAGGAGCCTGGGGATGAGGGAGGGGCCTGGAGGAGGAGCGTGAGGGAGGAGCCTTGGGGATGATGGAGGAGCCTGGGGATGAGGGAGGAGCCTGGGGATGAGGGAGGAGCCTGGGGATGAGGGAGGGGCCTGGAGGAGGAGCGTGAGGGAGGAGCCTTGGGGATGATGGAGGAGCCTGGGGATGAGGGAGGAGCCTGGGGATGAGGGAGGAGCCCGGAGGAGGAGCGTGAGGGAGGAGAGAGAAGAGGGGTAGAGAGTTCTATTTCATCCTTCCTGACCGCCAGAGGCGGTGCTTAAGCACTGGATGATCATCCTCGCGCATGCACAGATCGAGAGTCAAATAACAACAAAGTCACCCGTGACCTCCGGTAGCTCACGCGAGAGTCTATAAAGCCACGTGACACCGGAAGCACAGTCCCTTTTCACTTTCTCGCATGCAGGTTGTATGAGTCTGGCTGAAGCTAACTGATAGCTGTTTGTGCCTGTTGTTCGCGCCGCTTGCTGCCTGTAGCCCCGTGACTGCTCGTCGGTCGGTGCTGCGAGTTTCTCGCCCTCCGTGGGCTGCGCAAGCCGCGCTGCTTGCCTCTGGTGAGTGTTTGTTTTGCTTATTCGCCGTGACTTGTGCTCGGTTGTTTTTCGTTACTTCTTATAATTGAGGGGTTACTAGTGGCGTTTCTGCTCGACCCGACCCTGTTATCTGGCTGTTTACCTGCGCGTATTCAGAGTGTGTTTGGTGGGTTACCAGTGGCGTTCTGCTCGACCTGACCCTGTGTCTTGTTAATTACCTTGTTAATTATTTGTTAATTTCTGTCGGTCACTGGTGGCGTGTCTGCTCGACCTGACCCTGTTGAATTGGCTGTTGCCTGCGCGTGTTCCACGTGTTTCTGCGGGTTGTAAGTGGCGTCTCTGCTCGCACTACCCTACTATATTGGTTGTTCCCTGCACGTGTACGGCGTTCGGTGGGTCACTAGTGGCGTCTCTGCTCGACCTGACCTTGCTGTATTGGTTGTTCCCGGCACGTGTACGGCGTTCGGTGGGTCACTAGTGGCGTCTCTGCTCGACCTGACCCTGCTGTATTGGTTGTTCCCTGAACCTGTGAGGCGTTCGGTGGGTCACTAGTGGCGTCTCTGCTCGACCTGACCCTACCGGGAGTGCCCCTGTACTTGGCGGCGACTGCTCCTGCGCGTTAGCTCGCTGGGATGCTTGAGCCGTTGGCCTGCCAGTCCTGTCTGGCCCCGATGCAGCAGGACGATGGCCATGTGCTGTGTCCCTCCTGTCTGGGTGTGGGCCACCTGCGGGAGGCGCTAACCGAGCGTGCATGTCCCGATTGTGCGGTAATGCCCTGGCCGGTGCGCGTGGCCCGCCTGTCGGCCCTGGACGGACATTTCAGTGGCGATTCTGGGGACTGTGAGTCTGCCCTGTTGGTTGACCGACCCCCTGGTCGCAAACGTGAGGGCGCCCGGGGTGATGACCCTCCGCGGAAGAAGTCGAAGTCCTCTGGTCGCGGGGTTCTGACTTCGAAGGTCGATTCGCTTTCTGTGGAGTTGGCTCAGTTGCGGACCCTCCTTCATGACCTTCAGGCTGGTACTGGCCAGTCGGTGGCCCGACCGGTCTCGGTCCCTTTGTCGGTGTGCGATGAGGATGATGCTCTCTCGGTGGCGGCATCTGACACACATTTTCGGCCGGGCTCTGATGTTCTGAGCTCCAGGGTCTCGGAGTCTGGTTCGGTGGGTTCTGTCGGGTCTCTGTCGGTTTCCGATGAGCCCGTGACTGCGGCGATCCGAACGGCTCTGGCGCATTTGAAGCTGGATGTGCCTCAGTGCGATGCGGGGCCCTCGAGTGCCTTCTTTCGCCGCCAGTCTGCGTCCTCGGGGTTCTCTGTTCCTCCTTCGGCGGAATATGTCAAGGAGCTACATGCCTGTTGGACTGACACGAGGGTTTTTTCTAGGCCCAATTCGGACGGTCGGGCCCTGGCTTCTATGCAGGCGCCTGACAAAGTTGGCCTGGGGCATATGCCGGCGGTGGAGCCTGCCATTGCCTCCTTGATTGTACACCCTGAAGAGGCTCTGCGCACTAATGCCCGGTGCCCTCGGCCGCAGTGTCGGGCCACAGATGACCTGCTCTGCAAGGCCTATGACATGGGGGCCCGCATGGGCCGCATTGGGAACTCCCTGTCTCATCTGCTGCTGGGGCTGTCCGCTTCTCTGGAGGCTGTCACATTGGACCAGTCCACGCAGGGGATGGTGGATGCTTCCTTGCAGGCTTTTGCCTTCATGTCTAGGGAACTGGGGCGTCTCCTCTCTACGCTGGTTCAGACTCGCCGCCAGGTGTGGTTGGCGCAGTCCCCTCTCTCCGAGGCCAGCCGCAGAGTGTTGAGGAGCGTTCCTGTGCTCCCTGGAGAGCTGTTTGGCTCGGCTGCCATTGCGGCTCTGGAGCGCACGGTCCAGGCCACTCAGACCCGGCAGCAGTTGGTGGGACTGCACAGGCATCCCCCGCGTGCGTCCGCTTCTGCTGCCCCTGTGCGCGGGCGGGTGGCCCCGCCCCGGAGTTTTTCTGTGCCCCGGACGGTGGATGGGCCGTCGGCTCATGGGGCTCGGCGGGGGAACTTTCCCCCGGCTCAGGCTCCACTGCGTCCCAGTCGTTGCCCCCCCAGGCCCGCTAAAGGCCGGGGTGCCCTCCGGTGAGGCGCCGGGGCCGGTGGTGGGACGGTTTACCCCGGGACAACTTGGTTACTGGAGGGCCCAATCCCCCGATGCATGGGTTGTGGCCACTTTGTCCGTGGGGTATCGTCTCCAGTTCCGCCGCCGGCCTCCTGTTCCCGGCCGGGTCCTTGTGACTGTCATCCAGGACCCGGTCAGGGCGCAGGCACTTGTCCGGGAGATTCGTACTCTACTGGACAAGGATGCCATCGTGCCTGTCGACCCCCTGCTGGATCCAGGGGGCTTTTATTCCCGTTATTTTCTTGTACCGAAAAAGACCGGCGACTTGCGACCGGTCTTGGACCTGAGGCGTCTGAATGTTTTCTTGAAGGTCCTCCCTTTCAAGATGTTGCGTGTCCGGCAGGTCCTCCAGGCGGTGTCCCCTGGGGACTGGTTCACGTCGATAGACCTGAAGGACGCCTACTTTCACGTCCCGATTGCTCCTCAGCATTGCCGGTTCCTGCGTTTTGCCTTTCAGGGGAGGCACTTCCAGTTCAGGGTGCTTCCCTTCGGCCTCTCGCTCTCTCCTCGGGTCTTTACGAGATGCGTGGCGGCGGCTCTTTCCCCGTTGCAGGCCAGGGGGTTGAGGATCCTGCCCTATCTGGACGATTGGCTGATCTGTGCCCCCACTCGCGAGCAGTCTCTGCGGGATACGCAGGCTGTGATAGAGCACGTGACCAGGTTGGGTCTGCGAGTGAACCTGGCAAAGAGCAATGTGGTGCCGTCTCAGCAGGCTTTGTTCCTGGGCATGGCTCTGGATTCCCTGTCTATGTCCGCCCGCCCCTCGCCTCGACGTGTCGGGGACATTCGGGCGTTGCTCCCGGGCTTCCGTCGAGGACGGTCGCTCCCTTACCTGGCGTTCCTCAGGCTCCTGGGCATGCTGATTGCAGCCTCGTCTGTGGTCCCCCTGGGTCTTTTGTCCTTGCGCCCGCTGCAGATGTGGCTCAATGGCCTGGGGCTGGACCCGGCCAATCCTGTTCACAGACGTCGGCGGTTACTGGTGTCTCCTCGGTGTATGGAGTCACTGTCCCGGTGGCGCGACGAGGCGTTTGTGCTGACGGGCGTCGCGCTGGGTCCCCTGCCGTCCCGCCGGGAGGTGGTGCATACGGACGCGTCCCTGACAGGGTGGGGCGCAACGTGGCAGGGGCGTGCGGTTCAGGGCGTCTGGCCGGTGCGGCAGAGGGGGCTCCATATCAACGTCCTGGAGCTCCTGGCCGTTCAGCTTGCGCTGCGCCATTTCCTGCCGGTCTTGCGGGGGCGGCATGTGTTGGTGCGGTCGGACAACACCAGTGTGGTCTATTTCATCAACCACCAGGGGGGAACTCGGTCGGAGTGCTTGCTGACAGTGGCACGAGGGCTGTTGACTTGGGCCTATCCCCGTCTTGCGGGTTTGACCGCGATGCACATCCCAGGGACTCTGAATGTGTCGGCGGGTTTCCTGTCGCGCCACGTTTCGCTGCCGGGCGAGTGGCGGCTACACCCGGAGGTAGTGGTCTCCATTTGGGGGTTGTTCGGCCGGGCGAGGGTGGATCTCTTTGCCTCTCAGGGAACGACTCATTGCCCGCTGTGGTTCTCCCTGTTGGAGTCCACCGGTCCCCTGGGTCAAGACGCGCTGGCTCACGACTGGCCCAGGGTTCTGCTGTACGCGTTCCCGCCGTTCCCTCTGATCCATCAGACGCTGCTCCGGGTCCTTCAGGAGGGCCACAGGATGATACTGGTGGCCCCGTATTGGCCGGGGAGGACATGGTTTCCCTTGCTGCTCAGGCTCTGCTGCGGCTTGGCGAGACCCCTTCCCTCCAGGCGGGATCTCCTGTCTCAACTGGGGGGCCGGCTTCTCCATCCGGACCCCGGCCGCCTGCGGCTTTGGGTGTGGCACCTCCGGGGACCGGTTTAGCGTTTACAGCCTATACTGGGGAGGTTGGCCGCACCATGTGCAATGCCCGGGCTCTGTCCACACGCCGGCTGTATTCCTGTAAGTGGAACGTGTTCGACGGGTGGTGTCGTGGCAGGGGACTCGACCCGCGTCTCTGCTCGGTGACGTCCATACTGACCTTCCTTCAAGAACTGCTCAGTAAAGGCCGTTCTCCGTCCACCCTGAAGGTATACGTTGCTGCGATTTCGTGTGGGCACGCTGGGTTTGGTGGGACTAGTGTCGGTCGTGTTACTGACGTTTCACTGTTTTTGAAAGGTGCCCGCCGGTTGCACCCGCCCTGTCGTCCTGTGGTGCCGGCTTGGGACCTCTCGGTTGTCCTTGATGCCCTGCGTTCCCCGCCATTTGAGCCTTTGGGGGAGATTGCCCTCAAGTGGCTGTCTATGAAGACAGCGTTTCTCCTGGCTATGGCCTCCGGACGGCGGGTGAGTGAACTCCATGCTCTGTCGGTGACCGAGGCCTGTTGTCGTTGGCATCCTGACGGCTCGGGTGTGTCTATGTGGCCGGATGTGTCCTTTGTCCCGAAGGTGTCTTCTGGTCGGTATGACGGGCCCCTTCAGTTGGCCCGTTTTGGTTCTGGTGAGCCCCCTGACCCTCTGTGCCCTGTTCGTGCACTGGAGGTGTACATTCGCTCCACGGCCTCGATAAGGCGTTCAGACGCCCTGTTTGTCTGCTGCGCCGGCCCTCGCGTTGGTCGGGCTCTGTCCAAGCAGCGTCTCTCCCACTGGGTCGTGGGGGTTGTGACAGAGGCCTATGCCTTGCGGGGGCTGCCGTTACCGCCTGGGGTGAGGTGCCATTCTACGAGGGGCATGTCAACTTCGTGGGCTGCTGTGAGTGGTGTGTCGTTGGACGTCATCTGTGCGGCGGCGTCATGGTCGTCCCCAAGCACCTTCGCCAGGTTTTATCGGGTTAATGTTGCCGCCCCGCACCCCCTGCAGGGGGTTCTGCGGCGCCGCTCATCCGTTTCACAGTAAGGTGAGGTTCTGGTTGGTTTCCTCGTGACCTTGCTGATATTCGTCATCCAGTGCTTAAGCACCGCCTCTGGCGGTCAGGAAGGATGGAATAGAACGAGAGTTACGACTGTAACTACGGTTCTATGAATCCTGGATGACCGCCAGAGCGCCCGGTCCCTCGGAATCCTTGTGCAAGAAAGGTTCTAGGGACTGTGCTTCCGGTGTCACGTGGCTTTATAGACTCTCGCGTGAGCTACCGGAGGTCACGGGTGACTTTGTTGTTATTTGACTCTCGATCTGTGCATGCGCGAGGATGATCATCCAGTGCTTAAGCACCGCCTCTGGCGGTCATCCAGGATTCATAGAACCGTAGTTACAGTTGTAACTCTCGTTTGGATGTTATTGCTGCGGTGAATGAATGCTTCTGACTGGTCAATCCTTTTAACCTGGATTTGCAAAGACACACTGTATAAATAAAAACACCAGGACACAGCTGAGCTCGAGGAGTTTACTGTTACATGTCAACAGGAGCAAAACTCAGTCCATGAGCACTTCCCTATTGAGCTTTATTGCCTTAGATTAAATGATGTGTTTGTTTGTTTGGCAGAAGCCGAGCTCGGTGCGGATCGACCAACTGGACCGAGAGCAGTTCAACCCCGAGGTCATCACGTTCCCCATCATCGTCCACTTCGGGATCAGACCGGCTCAGCTCAGCTATGCAGGGGACCCCCAGTGAGAAACCATAACACACCATAATGCAGGGGACCCCCTCTCTGGTCTCTCTCTGGCTTCTCTCTGGGCTCTCTCTCTGGCTTCTCTCTGGTCTCTCTCTGGTCTCTCACTGGCTTCTCTCTGGTCTCTCTCTGGCTTCTCTCTGGTCTCTCTCTCTGGTCTCTCTCTGGCCTCTCACTGGCCTCTCTCTGGCCTCTCTCTGGTCTCTCTCTCTGGTCTCTCTCTCTGGTCTCTCTCTGGTCTCTCTCTCTGGCATCTCTCTCTGGTCTCTCTCTCTGGCCTCTCTCTCTGGCCTCTCTCTCTGGCCTCTCTCTCTGGCCTCTCTCTCTGGTCTCTCTCTCTGGCCTCTCTCTCTGGTCTCTCTCTCTGGCCTCTCTCTCTGGCCTCTCTCTCTGGTCTCTCTCTCTGGCCTCTCTCTCTGGCCTCTCTCTGGTCTCTCTCTCTGGTCTCTCTCTGGCCTCTCTTTCTGGCCTCTCTCTCTGGTCTCTCTCTCTGGTCTCTCTCTCTGGCCTCTCTCTCTGGCCTCTCTCTCTGGCCTCTCTCTCTGGTCTCTCTCTGGCCTCTCTCTCTGGCCTCTCTCTCTGGCCTCTCTCTCTGGTCTCTCTCTGGCCTCTCTCTCTGGCCTCTCTCTCTGGCCTCTCTCTCTGGTCTCTCTCTCTGGCCTCTCTCTGGCCTCTCTCTGGTCTCTCTCTGGTCCATCTTCAGTCTCTCCAATCTCTCTCTCAGTCTCTCTGGTCACTCTCAGATGTCTCCAGTCTTTTTATACGTGTTTTCCCTTTGCAAATTTTGTGAACATTGGAGAAAACAGATCTGCGCAGCAGAGACACAGCCTCTCGCTATCTCACTTTTAGCAAACTTTGAAACCAAACTGGACAAAAAGCAACAAGGCTTTGTATTGTGGACTGGGTTTAATAATGTTTACTTTGATTCTTGCTAATTGCATTCAGGGTTCAAAGTTCATGGTAAAATAAACTACATGGTTCTTTTCTTGATTTATTTATCTTTGAAACAACGCACAACACGCCACATGTGCACAGACTCTCAGTGGGGGCTGCATTAATGTTTAATGTCCACCAGGGGGCCACAAAACACATTTTCGCTTAAACACATTGTGAGTCTATAGTCTCTTTGGGGCCTTGTGATGTCGCATTGTGATGTCGCATTGTGATGTCGCATTGTGATGTAACATTGTGATGTCGCATTGTGATGTAACATTGTGATGTCGCATTGTGATGTCGCATTGTGATGTCGCATTGTGATGTCGCATTGTGATGTAACATTGTGAAGTCGCATTGTGATGTAACATTGTGAAGTCGCATTGTGATGTCGCATTGTGATGTTGCATTGTGAAGTCGCATTGTGATGTCGCATTGTGATGTCGCATTGTGATGGAGCTTGTAGCCTTCTTTCTGGCTCTCGTGGGACCCTTTGTTTGTCGCTGCGATCGAACGACAGCAGAATCCTCCTGAATCAAACTGCGGCGTAAATGAGCGTGACATTTGAACATGCGGCGCCACGACTCCCCCTGGTCTCCCGCCGCGAGGAGCGAGAGGAAGAACGAGGCTCCGGTGAGACGCTCACGATGTGCACCAGGATAATTAAACAAAGACAGAGACAGGAACGAGATTATCGTCTCCTCTGGTCACACAACAACAAACCAGAAACTATCAAAGTTCATGTACACAAGCTTGTTCTGCGGGAAGAAATAGACTCTCTCTGGTCTCTCTCTGGTCTCTCTCTGGTCTCTCTCTGGTCTCTCTCTGGTCTCTCTCTGGTGTCTCTCTCTGGTCTCTCTCTGGTCTCTCTCCGGTCTCTCTCTGGTCTCTCTCTCTGGTCTCACTCTCTGGTCTCTCTTTGGTCTCTCTTTGGTCTCTCTTTGGTCTCTCTTTCTAGTCTCTCTTTCTGGTGTCCCTCAGTTCTCTCTTTGGTCTGCTTACTTTCTGGTCTCTCTCTGCTCTCTCTCTGTTTACTTTCTGGTCTCTCACTGGTCTCTCTCTGCTTTCTTTCTGCTCTCTGGTCTCTCTCTGGTCTCTCTCTGGTCTCTCTCTGGTCTCTCTCTGGTCTCTTTCTGGTCTCTTTCTGGTCTCTCTGCTTTCTTTCTGCTCTCTGGTCTCTCTCTGGTCTCTCTCTGGTCTCTCTCTCTGAGCCGTGACACATGGTAACGGTCTCTGCTGGTGCATCTTCTGTGGAAAGGTCATGGTGAGGACTAGGGACTCTCTCCTTATGCTCGCTCGCCCCCGCTGTTGTACCGCTGCTCTAATTACTCTCAGTGAACATGTAGACCCAGGACTGAGGCTGTAGATCCAGGACTGAGGCTGTAGATCCAGGACTGAGGCTGTAGATCCAGGACTGAGGCTGTAGATCCAGGACTGAGGCTGTGGACCCAGGACTGAGGCTGTAGATCCAGGACTGAGGCTGTAGATCCAGGACTGAGGCTGTGGACCCAGGACTGAGGCTGTAGATCCAGGACTGAGGCTGTAGATCCAGGACTGAGGCTGTAGATCCAGGACTGAGGCTGTAGATCCAGGACTGAGGCTGTAGATCCAGGACTGAGGCTGTAGATCCAGGACTGAGGCTGTAGACCCAGGACTGAGGCTGTAGATCCAGGACTGAGGCTGTAGACCCAGGACTGAGGCTGTAGACCCAGGACTGAGGCTGTAGACCCAGGACTGAGGCTGTAGATCCAGGACTGAGGCTGTGTATTACAGGTGTGTAATATCAGTAATATAGAACTGCTCCCTCTGGTGGCAGCAGTAGGGAGTCACAGGCACACAGACTTTTTAAAGGTGCACTTTATTGATCCCCGTAGGGCATTTCATCCTCTGCCTTTGACCCTGATGCCCTAAGGCTTACGTCAGGAGCAGTGGTCGCCGTAGTAACAGCGCCCGGGAACCCATCTCCAGATGTTGATGCTCTGCTTGGTCAGGACCGGAGCTGGAGGATTTAACCTAGTGAGCATGTTTTTAGTGGTAGGGGAAACCGGAGCACCCGGAGGAAACCTACGCAAGCACGGGGAGAACATGCAAACTCCACTCAGAAAGACCCCGCTCCGACCGGGATTCGAACCCAGGACCTTCTTGCTGAGAGGCGAGAGTGCTAACTACTCAGCCGCCGTGCCGCCCGTCACCCTTCAGACAATATATTGTTTTTCGTTTAAAAACACAAAATGCCAAAGTATATTGTGTCCTTATCATTTGTAATAGTCAAATCTAATAATATTTCTCTTCAACCTCATCTCAAAGCCGAGTCCTGCTCCTCCAGCCACTTCCTGTCTCCCTCAATGTCTTTCATAAATTCTGTGGCCTTATTTTATCTGTCTGTGCGTTCGGAACCTGCCTCTGCCCTGGCCTCACGCTTCATTACCTCCCCTCTCCCCCCTCCCCCCTCTCCCCCTCTCCCCTCTCCCCCCTCTCCCCCCTCTCCCCTCTCCCCCCCTCTCCCCCCCTCCCCTCAGCCCTGGCCCAAGTCTCTGTGCGTCTCCTAATGATGTCCCCGCTCGTCCATAAATTTGTCCTTGTCTCGGCTGCGGCGTCTTGACAGGATCAAAGCTCTGCTCACCGCGGGAAGAGGACATTAGTGAAAACACAAACTAGATCCAATTCTAATGATGTCGTCTGCGACTTCATCCCAGAGGTTTATCTGCAGAGGTCGGGCAGACTCTGCTCTGCTCTACTCTACTCTACTCTACTCTGCTCTGCTCTACTCTACTCTACTCTACTCTACTCTACTGTGCTCTGCTCTGCTCTGCTCTGCTCTACTCTACTCTACTCTACTCTACTCTACTCTACTGTGCTCTGCTCTACTGTGCTCTGCTCTGCTCTGCTCTACTCTACTCTACTCTACTCTACTCTGCTCTACTCTACTCTACTCTACTCTACTGTGCTCTGCTCTACTCTACTCTACTCTACTCTACTCTACTGTGCTCTGCTCTACTGTGCTCTGCTCTGCTGTGCTCTACTCTACTCTACTCTACTCTACTCTACTGTGCTCTGCTCTGCTCTGCTCTACTCTACTCTACTGTGCTCTGCTCTACTCTACTCTGCTCTGCTCTGCTCTGCTCTACTCTACTCTACTCTACTCTACTCTACTCTACTCTACTCTACTCTACTCTACTCTACTCTACTCTACTCTACTCTACTCTACTCTACTCTGCTCTGCTCTGCTCTGCTCTGCTCTGCTCTGGTGAGTGTGACACAAACGGTTACTGAGAGAGGAGTTTACTTGTGAGTCAACAGGAGCCAAACTTCCTCATTGTGATTAGCATGGAGCTAGTGAGCTAGCATCGTCCATCTATACACAGTCTGTTCTTAGTCTATGTGCTCTGTGTGACTGTGGTGACTCAGGAGGAGACTGATTCCCTTCGACCTGTACGTCCGCACAGAGCGTGGAGTATTTGACCTGTACGTCCGCACAGAGCGTGGAGTATTTGACCTGTACGTCCGCACAGAGCGTGGAGTATTTGACCTGTACGTCCGCACAGAGCGTGGAGTATTTGACCTGTACGTCCGCACAGAGCGTGGAGTATTTGACCTGTACGTCCGCACAGAGCGTGGAGTATTTGTTCTTTTGTGTGAAAGAAAGTGATTCAAACCCACAATGCAATAGTTTTACCCAATCACTCGGACTTCATATGATTCTATCCCAGCCTTCGGTCAATTTTCTGGTCTTATGGCATTACTTGGAAGCTGCCGGCCTCCTCTCTCCTCCGCCTGGTCCAATCATAACTGTGTGTGTGGGTGTGTGTGTCTGTGTGTGGGTGTGTGTGTGTCTGTGTGTGTGTGTCTAAATGGGAGTAGTCACTGTCTGCCCTCAAACATCACTGCAGGACTGGAACTCACACAGGCGCACACACACACAGAGAGGCTCACACACACACAGAGACCCACAGACTCACACACTTGCACACAGACGCTCACACACAGAGACCCCCACACACACAGAGACACACAAAGAGAGGCTCTCACACACACACACACACACAGGGGAGGGGGGTTAGTGGAGGTCGATGTCACCTTGCTCTTGACTCTGCTTTTGAAATGCTAATCTGAGACAAGGCAGTGTGAGAGCGGCGCTAACCCGGGTCTATGTGGTCACAGCGGCGCTAACCCGGGTCTATGTGGTCACAGCGGCGCTAACACGGGTCTATGTGGTCACAGCGGCGCTAACACGAGTCTATGTGGTCACAGCGGCGCTAACACGGGTCTATGTGGTCACAGCGGCGCTAACCCGGGTCTATGTGGTCACAGCGGCACTAACACGGGTCTATGTTGTCACAGCGGCGCTAACCCGGGTCTATGTGGTCACAGCGGCACTAACACGGGTCTATGTGGTCACAGCGGCGCTAACCCGGGTCTGTGTGGTCACAGCGGCGCTAACCCGGGTCTATGTGGTCACAGCGGCGCTAACACGGGTCTATGTGGTCACAGCGGTCTATGTGGTCACAGCGGCGCTAACCCGGGTCTATGTGGTCACAGCGGTGCTAACCCGGGTCTATGTGGTCACAGCGGCACTAACACGGGTCTATGTTGTCACAGCGGCGCTAACCCGGGTCTATGTGGTCACAGCGGCACTAACACGGGTCTATGTGGTCACAGCGGCGCCAACCCGGGTCTATGTGGTCACAGCGGCGCTAACCCGGGTCTATGTGACAGCGGCACTAACACGGGTCTATGTGGTCACAGCGGCGCTAACCCGGGTCTATGTGGTCACAGCGGCACTAACACGGGTCTATGTTGTCACAGCGGCGCTAACCCGGGTCTATGTGGTCACAGCGGCGCTAACACGGGTCTATGTGGTCACAGCGGCGCTAACACGGGTCTATGTGGTCACAGCGGCGCTAACACGAGTCTATGTGGTCACAGCGGCGCTAACACGGGTCTATGTTGTCACAGCGGCGCTAACCCGGGTCTATGTGGTCACAGCGGCGCTAACACGGGTCTATGTGGTCACAGCGGCGCTAACACGGGTCTATGTGGTCACAGCGGCGCTAACACGGGTCTATGTGGTCACAACAGAAGAAGAAGAGACTGTTGTAGAATTACTGCACATAACAAGAGTAAAATAATGTAAACAACCCAGAGCTGTAATTCCAAACAAAGTGTGAGTTTATTCATTAGTAAATGTGCACAATTACAATGAATAACAGAACCGATACCAATACCACCGGGCAGCCGTCCGAAATCGACTGCCCCGATTGAGGAAATGACTGTACATTAAATAGACCAGAGTAAACAAACACATATCTACTCTAGATATTACATAAATGAAGTCAACATTGATATGTGTTGCTCAAGGCTTCTCTTTACGCGTCCTAACGCTGATACAACTCTGATATATGTAACAATCTGCTTTTGAACTGAACATATTGTTCTATGACCCAGGTCAAAGACATGATGCAGCACGTCTCCATCTATCACTGACCTGAGCCAACAGAGCATTATGGCCTGTATCTGAATCCAGAGTTGACTATTAGTTAATAACTTACACTCATAACTATTAGGTGTTAATTCAGATTGCTTTACTAAAATATTTCTATAACAATCCTATCTCTTGATAAATATAAAACCTTGGTTTATCTTAATCAACTTAAAATAATAATAGAAATCACAATGATTATGAATTAACACAAAATCTGAACATTTGAGCAAACACACACAATAGTTAACTAACTTTATTACAATATTAAAACCCACACTTATATACTTGCTTAGATGAATCACCTGACTGGGTCACAGACGTCTGCCCAGGGGAGACGAGGCGTTACTGGACCCGATGGGTCATCAGCCGACCCTCACCTCTCCCAGAATCGACGCTGTGCCCGCACAGTGTTGGGCACGTTACTTTGAAAAAGTAATTAGTTATAGTTACTAGTTACTTCTCCCAAAAAGTAACTGAGTTACTAACGGAGTTACTCCACTATAAAAGTAACTAGTTACCAGTAAAAGTAACTATTGCGTTACTTTTTCGTTTTGTTCTGGAACATAATGTGCACCCGATGTGCGCATTTTTACCTTTAACCTTTAACTTCAGTGAGTCTGAAATAGTGCCAATATTTCCATCTAGAAAAGTCTCTTTTGCTGCTGAAGTCCTGTTCACTCTTCATCTCTCTCTGTGTAAGCACTAAACACCAACACGCTCCACTGTGAATGTGGAAACACCGGTGAAGCACTGACTTCAGACCAATCAGATGAACATATACATCATATAAATCAAGTGGACAATTTGTTTGGCTACAGCAAAATATGTTTCATGGCCGCATTGTTTGTTCATACAAAACGCAAAACTATGAGTTATGGGTCTTACCTTATAAATGACCTGCACAGACCACTTCAGTTCAGACCAGTTCTGTGTTTAAGTCCAGATAATAGTTTGAGCGTAGATATGTAATCCTCCATTTGGAAATGAGTTTTAAAAAGTAAAACAAAACGCGTGTGTCCTCCGTAAACTCCTCTGTTTTGCTGCAGCCGGGTGCCTCCAATTTCTAAAATCAACTGTCTTACACTTCACTTCTCTTTCTTATCATTCCTATAGTAATTGAAAAATTACCGTAAGTGCATTTTAAATTATCTTAAAATGTGTTGTTGTATGTATTTGGCTACAATGTATGTTAGCCAAACTTGTTGCAGCCCTTAGCAGATAAACCAGGAAGAGAAAGGAGCTTTCAGATGGAATTGTATGCAGCCGACTTCTGCGCTCACATGCGCTCCTCTGAGCCCTCACGGTGATACAAGCCGTGGTAGAGTGTGATTAAGACCCATATTTGTTTCAAAAACACAATTTATGACCATCCTCTCAACTGTAGACATGTAGATTGTAAAGGAAATATGTTTTACATCAGCCAATAATTGCTGAGAGGTTTTCTCATCCTCCTTTCTCTCATGACAACACGCGCACGAGTCCTATCACGAAGTAAAAAGAGAAGTTCATTGTGCGTCTTGAGTAACGCGCAGTAACGGGGTGTCGGAAATGATAACGGCGTTATAGTTACAGTCAAAGTAATTAGTTAGATTACTCGTTACTGAAAAAAGTAACGGCGTTAGTAACGCCGTTACTAGTAACGCCGTTATTCCCATCACTGGTGCCCACACAGTAGACACTCCAGCAGTGCTGGGTGCACTCTCTCTCTCCCTGAGAGTAGAACCTGAGTATGTGGATTTAAAATAGACCTGGTCCAAAGATGGTTCCAAGTCCAAGCCAATCTATTGGGTCTAATGCTTTGTCATTAGATCTGTAACACTTAACCTTAAACATGGATGCCTCACACTTTTCTGACCTCCTGTGCTTTCCACATGGGGTCAGAGTGGGTGGGAGCATCAGAGTTAGTGCCCTGATTGTCAATGCTTGAAAACCCTAGCATGTATGTGTACCACAAACCAATGCTAAGTTATGCTAATCCTGAAACGTACACAAAACAGTTTCAAAAGCCCGTTTTGACGCAATGCTGAGATAGCCTCTCTCAGTCCACCCCCATCCTCGGGGTGGGCGTCCCGGCCTCCAGGTCAGACCAGCCGATTGTCCCAGTCTCTGACTCCGCTGCGCGAACAATGTACCTGACCCATGGCTCAGAGCTTCTATTTGTGTAACACCTGGTCAGAAGGCAGACCAGGTTTTGTCGTGGGGACCCTCAAGGTGGTCCCTTCCTTCGGCCGTTGGGGAGCAAGCCTTCCTGCTTCGGCTCCACTTCTGCGTTGGAAGTCGGGCACTGCCGCCCCCACTTCTTTGCTCCATCCTTGCGCTGGAGAAGGTCCTCAGACCCGTCTCGTTGGTCCCCTTTGGCTCTGGCAGCTGGGGTCCACCTGCGGTGGGCTGGACCCATGATGGGGCGTCGACCCTCGCGGTGGGGTGCCCCCGGCACTTCTGGTTAGGGCTCCTCCTGGCATTCGCCGGACTCAGACCCTTCTCTGGCTCGACCCCCGTGGCCAAGGCGTGATGGCGCTCTGTGTCTCCCTCTCGGAGATGTGATCCCTCCTCATGGAGGGGTTGGTCACGTTTCTGAAACAATGTTTTGGCAAAAGGGTTATTTGCCCCCCCCCTGCCTGTCCTCTGGGTCTGTGCTGCCAGGGCTTAGCCTCAGTCTATATAATAATAATAATAATGGTCTCCATATAACTCTACTCATGGGTTATCAGTTTGAGTTTTCAAAACACTCTTCTCTCCGGCCTTGGAGAGCAGATAAGTGCATTCTGCTGCTGTCTGCTCTCCTCTGTGCAGTCTCTCACATAAGTCAGGCCTCACTAACTAATTATTCTCTTATGGTAAAACAACAACCTATATCCTAAAGATCAAATAAACTTAGTGTTTTGATGATTGTGTATCAAGATGAAAACTCCTGGAGACCTTTGTTTTTAAAAAAAACCTAAATATTAAATTGAAAGGAGCACGATCAACTTAGGGCCTGTCCTTAGGTGCAGTGCAGGTGTTCAAACACCAGGCCTGTGGGCCAATTGTGGTCCGCCAGACATTTTAGTCTCTTCTGAAATGATTCTCATTATAATTAAGTTTAAACTGGCAGTCTTAATTGCAAGGTTAATTTGAACCCCAAGGCATTATTCCTAATTTTTTAAAACAAACTCCCTCTGGAAAATTACCATATACCTTCTAATGTGTTGGAAAAACCACCTGAATTGTTAACTTAACAAACTTTGTTAAATCTATTAAACTATTCTAAATACCTTCATAATGTTAAAGAAAATTGTGTATCCACAAAATGGAAATTCAACAAACACAATTCAACACTGTATTACTTTTGGCCTTCGTGTTTGTTTTGTCTGTCAGACCTCTGCTCTTATCACCCTCAAGAGTCACAGCCTTACAGAGCTTTGGCAAAACTCTGAATAATATCCTAATACTCAAAGCTATACTATACACTTGAATTTAAACAAAAAATATTAACAAGTTAAAGTTAAAAAAAAAAAAAAAACTACACTAACCACCTGGTGTATGTGGGGTCTCTACCATTTAACAACTAATAACTATTAAAAACTTATCCAAACATATGGTAAATACTGTTTTATGTGAAACCCATATATGACACAATCCTCATTTATCGACCATGTCCCCCTTACTTTTACTGTAAACATGTGTCTGTAAATACATATATGTGTGTGCTGCTGTATGTGTATGTAAAATACACAAAATGAATGTAACGAGTGGTATGTGTTCATATGTTCTTTGGGTAGCAAACATACTTATAATATTCTTGGTTTTATTACGTGTACTGTAGTATCATCACAGTGTTAAAGACTTACCATTTCCATATTCTTGACCTAGAGAGTGTTCTAGATTTAATTACAGATGTGTAAATACAAGTATACATTTATTTACACTAGAGATACACAATACTTTACCTTGTACATTTACAGAGCCAAATTATTTTAAATTTGTATAGAGTTGTGCTACACTTACTATTCACCTGTCTTGTGTTGTAATGTCCCACTGTGGGACGTCTGAAAATCTCTTAATCTTATCATTACTGACTGTTGCTAAAATGAAAACTGACTAAACAAGTGCAGTCAAAAATCACATAATGCAGCAAAAAAAAAAAAAACCAAAAACTGGGGTCCCCCTTTGGCCTTCGTGCACCTATTGAAGGAAAAATATAAAACCTTAGTATTACAAAAATATACATTTGCCAAGTCTATCACTACAAAAAAAAGTACTTGGCTTTAAACATTTTTGGAGTCCTCATGAGGAAAATAGATAAACGATTTGGACCTATTTTGCTCCTGGTTTATTTTGTTTATTGCAAAGATGGCTTTGTTTACGCCTCTGAAATGTACGATTACTCCAGCCTCTGCCAGAGTTATTTAACATGCCTCATTTTCAGAGCAGTCGCTCTGACGTCTGACACTGTCTCTCTGTGACGTAGAAGTCGAACTCTCCACGTCTCTATGTTTTGGCTGGAAATGTCTTTTCAGCTGTTTTATGCCAATCACACACTTTCACACTTCTGTTCCCAAAACTACAAGCCCCTCCCACTCTGCGGCTCTAGGCTCTAACAGAAACAATGTGTAATGTTGTGTGTGTGCTGTGGGTCACTATTGTCCTTATCTCTCTCATACCATTCTCTCTCTCTCTCTCAGACCAGTTACATTCACACCAAACTCTGTTTTCTACATCACAATCGAGCAATGCATATTTCCAAAGTTATGAAACCTCAGGTCGTCTGACTAAAACATTATATTTACTAAATTGATTGTGGGATTTGGTGACAATTTACATTCAAATACATTATAGACAGACAACTTCTGTCAGAATACTATTATACGAGTATACTACAAGGGATTTTTACCATTTTATTTCTTATTTTTACACACAGACCACAGATTTAGTCTCGGCTGTGGAAAACAACTGGGCAATTTGAAAACACAGAAACTCTGTTTAACTCACAACCTTCGGATTATTCAGAACATTTCAATGGATTTATGAAAAATTCCTTTGTCATGTTTCGCCTCTAAAGAAAAGAATGTGTCCTTCACCCATTCGGGGACATTATGTAATAAATAAAGTCCTTAATCAAGGAGTATGTGGCCCACGGAATTGATTAAAGTAACCTATCCCCCACTCTATTTTTTCTTCTTTTTTTTTTTTTTTTTTCCTCTGACAATAGGGTTTGTCAAGCTACTCTAAACTTTAGAATAGTCTAAATTTGTGCATACGTCAATGATCACATCCATCCCCAAATGAGTGCTTGTGTTTGTGTTGTCCTGACTTCTGGACATGTGTAGATGTGTGTTTGAGTCATGTTTTGTTTACGATACCCGGACCATGGTCTGCCTCGTCCAGATCGTCCGTGGGACCCTCCCAGACCCTCGTCCTCCAGTCAGTCAGTCCCATATCGTTCATGCTGGTTCCTGTGGAACTGTCCGGAAACGTGGTGGGCCTGGGGCCATTTTGTCAAACCAGTTGTGCTTTGTCTCTGTCCACTCTTTGACTGCTGCTGTGGGCGGGGCTTCCCTTGTCAGTGGGAAAGTTTCTTGTGAACTGCCCTATCTCTTCACAGGGTAGAAGCCTGTGGTCCTCTCTCTACACAGGGGTAGAAGCCTGTGGTCCTCTCTCTACACAGGGATAGAAGCCTGTGGTCCTCTCTCTACACAGGGATAGAAGCCTGTGGTCCTCTCTCTACACAGGGATAGAAGCCTGTGGTCCTCTCTCTACACAGGGATAGAAGCCTGTGTTCCTTCTCTGCAGGGATAGAAGCCTGTGGTCCCTCTCTTCACAGGGATAGAAGCCTGTGGTCCTCTCTCTACACAGGGATAGAAGCCTGTGGTCCTCTCTCTACACAGGGATAGAAGCCTGTGGTCCTCTCTCTCCTGCAGGGATAGAAGCCTGTGGTCCCTCTCTTCACAGGGGTAGAAGCCTGTGGTCCTCTCTCTACACAGGGATAGAAGCCTGTGGTCCTCTCTCTACACAGGGATAGAAGCATGTGGTCCTCTCTCTCACAGGGATAGAAGCCTGTGGTCCTCTCTCTACACAGGGATAGAAGCCTGTGTTCCCTCTCTGCAGGGATAGAAGCCTGTGGTCCCTCTCTTCACAGGGATAGAAGCCTGTGGTCCTCTCTCTACACAGGGATAGAAGCCTGTGGTCCTCTCTCTACACAGGGATAGAAGCCTGTGGTCCTCTCTCTACACAGGGATAGAAGCCTGTGGTCCTCTCTCTTCACAGGGATAGAAGCCTGTGGTCCTCTCTCTACACAGGGATAGAAGCCTGTGGTCCTCTCTCTACACAGGGATAGAAGCCTGTGGTCCTCTCTCTACACAGGGATAGAAGCCTGTGGTCCTCTCTCTACACAGGGATAGAAGCCTGTGGTCCTCTCTCTACACAGGGATAGAAGCCTGTGGTCCTCTCTCTACACAGGGATAGAAGCCTGTGGTCCCACCTGTATCAGGGCGGGTGATGGGCGGAGGGGGGGGGGCAGAGTTCTTGGCATGACTGGTTTGGGCACAGGGGGCCGGGGACAGAGTTCTTGGCTTTCATGACTGTTTGGGGCACCAGACTTGTCCATGTTGGGCTTTGTGGGTAACTGACGAGGGTTCTGGTTCAGGAAAGGGTTTGTCTTACCCTCCATATCATTGTCCTCCATCAGAGTCTGAGGTTTGGGGACGTTTAGTCACACGTCCAGGGTCTAGGTCGGGGTCCACACATCTGACCGGCTCAGAAGCATCCACGATCCCAGGGTTATCTATGTGAAAATAGAAAAAAAAAAGATACGGCAGTAACTTGCCCTTTGATAGATTGCGTGTGCGTGTTTGCGGGCATGTGTGTGTGTGTGTGTGTGTGTGTCGTCGCGCCTATACGCCTCTTGATAGAGTATTCAGGTGGTTCGATTGGGTCTCTTACATACATTCATGCTCTCATTCTGACTTTCCATTCGCTCTCCACACAGACTTGTATTTCTTTGTTTATCAGTCACTCTCACAGTCATTCTCGGTCACTCCAGTTCAAGTCTTATCACTCCTGGCTCGCTTCACACATCTCATGTCACTTTCATACCAGTCTGAGTCGCCCAGGACTGTACTGGTTCTGGGCTCTGTATGTGTTTGTAATGTGTGTATGGTTACATTTCCCCCAATGTAATTAACTAACTAATTAGTTTAAATCAACTACTCTTATTTTCTTTTCTTTTACTCCCTCTACTTCATCCGTTCACACACTCAAACATTCATGTTTTGTCAAGAATTTGTACACAGTACGCCAGACTCATTATTACATACATCAGAATCTATTTGGTAGGTTTCATTAGCTAATTTTCTAAATGTTTGTAGTTTATATACTTGATTTAAGTTTGAAGACCTACTGTCCGGGAAACCCTATTTTTCCAGACCATACATTTGAACATTCAAGGGCCGTTGGCCCATATTTTCCGGCCATTGCCTTCGTCACCGCGGTTTGTGGGACCTTGTCCCTGTCAGACGACAATGATCCCTGCTTTTGACCCATCTTGGCCCACTATGGCTGTCCCTATTCTCCTTACTATGCCCTCACTAGTCCAAGTCAAGCTAGTTAATACACAATCAACCCTTAACTTGCTAGTCCAAAGTACCCTCTGGCTTCACTAGTCCAAGTCAAGCTAGTTAATACACAATTAACCCTTAACTTGCTAGTCCAAAGTACCCTCTGGCTTCACTAGTCCAAGTCAAGCTAGTTAATACACAATTAACCCTTAACTTGCTAGTCCAAAGTACCCTCTGGCTTCACTAGTCCAAGTCAAGCTAGTTAATACACAATTAACCCTTAACCTGCTAGTCCAAAGTCAAGCCAGTTAAAACATCTGTACACAGGAAAACAGAAACCATTTAACTCTTAAAACTCACTAAAGTCAAGCCAGTTAATACACGATTAACTCTTAAAACTTACTAGTTAAAGTCAAGCCAGTTAAAACATCTGTACACAGGAAAACAGAAACCATTTAACTCTTAAAACTCACTAAAGTCAAGCCAGTTAATACACGATTAACTCTTAAAACTCACTAGTTAAAGTCAAGCCAGTTAAAACATCTGTACACAGGAAAACAGAAACCATTTAACTCTTAAAACTCACTAAAATCAAACCAGTTAATACACGATTAACTCTTAAAACTCACTAGTTAAAGTCAAGCCAGTTAAAACATCTGTACACAGGAAAACAGAAACCATTTAACTCTTAAAACTCACTAAAGTCAAGCCAGTTAATACACGGTTAACTCTTAAAACTCACTAGTTAAAGTCAAGCCAGTTAAAACATCTGTACACAGGAAAACATCTGACTCTGAGAACAGGACAGCCAAGGCCTCTCGCTGGGTGAAAATGGGGCTTTTAGTTTTGCGCGGAGAGATAAAATACGGGGTTCTTTTGACAGTTTGAAAAAATACAGCTCTTACCACACTGGTTGTTTACGTTTGTCCGTTTGATAACCATGCGCTGGACGGCATCGCCTCGGCCCGGCGCCAGGAATCTTCTGTATCTCAAACACGCGAGGAGAAGACCATGCCAGAGGCTGGGGAGGCCACCCTTCCTGGGCCGGGTCCGCGGCGAAGCCCCTCCAGACGATGGGACTGTTCGTTGACGCCAAATTGTTGTAGAATTACTGCACATAACAAGAGTAAAATAATGTAAACAACCCAGAGCTGTAATTCCAAACAAAGTGTGAGTTTATTCATTAGTAAATGTGCACAATTACAATGAATAACACAACCGATACCAGTACCACCGGGCAGCCGTCCGAAATCGACTGCCACGATTGAGGAAATGACTGTACATTAAATAGACCAGAGTAAACAAACACATATCTACTCTAGATATTACATAAATGAAGTCAACATTGATATGTGTTGCTCAAGGCTTCTCTTTACGCGTCCTAACGCTGATACAACTCTGATATATGTAACAATCTGCTTTTGAACTGAACATATTGTTCTATGACCCAGGTCAAAGACATGATGCAGCACGTCTCCATCTATCACTGACCTGAGCCAACAGAGCATTATGGCCTGTATCTGGATCCAGAGTTGACTATTAGTTAATAACTTACACTCATAACTATTTGGTGTTAATTCAGATTGCTTTACTAAAATATTTCTATAACAGTCCGTCCCAATTCTCAACCTTGTCCTTAAAAAACCCCTTTGCACATGGCTAACATAATCAGGCCAACGCGCGACACACACAGCGTTGCCACATTAAAAACATGTCACCTTGAGTCATGTAATTTCTTTATCGTATATAATTATATAATTTCTTCTCCCCTCAGGAGATGGTTCACTCCCCAAAGGGTCATTGAAAAAGTGACGTTTTCAGCGATTGGCTAGATCTGGCAAAAGCCACGCCCTCATCCGGAAGACAAGGATGACGTCTTCCTTTAAGACTTCTTCCGGGTGATGAGCGGATTGTCGACTGTGGCTTTTTAGCAGATCAAACTTCTTTTTTCCTCAAGTGAGTTTCCCAACGTGAATGTAATAGGACTTTTTGGCACAATTACACAATTGCGCACATTCATATGAATTTTCTGCTTCGATCTGTCACAGCTGCAGACTGGGCTGATGCCGCTGCCGATCAGTGTGCTGCTCACTAACAGTAGACAACGAAATAACAATAATGTCAAACTGCGTGCATGCTCTCAGAAATGGTTTTTGCCGTTTACACTTTTGCTCCTGTACATCTAGATTGTTTTGTTTTGTTTTTTTATCACACAGCTAAGTGAAGTCATGTTTCTTTCACAAAAATCAAGTGTTAATTCTAACCTGGTGTTAACATTACTATATTCCTTTACTACTTCCTTAATCTTTCCTCACAACATACTCAACGGTCTCTGTACAACTCCCTTCCCAATGTTCCCTCTTTTTAATCATAAATCTTTTTACTTTTGTCTATTTCACTTTCCCTTCTAAACTGACTCCTCTCTCTCTCTCTCCCCTTCGCCTCCCAGGTGAATCGTGCACATGAGTGTGACTGCGACTCTCTCTGCTGCCTCTCTCATCTGACAAACACAAGACAAAAGGAAAGCAGGCCACAATGAAAGAAAATAACATTAAAGAAACAAACGGGCGCGAGTTTGTGAGGAACATGTAGAAGCTTTCGAAGCGTGTGCGAGTCATTCAGTGGGGATTTTAAAAAAGCGTGTGTTGGTGCTGTATGTGATGACGTTCGCTCGCAAAGTGGCGAACTCTTCTGCTGAGGGCCCTTACAACTCGAGTGCCCTCAGAATTGGGACGAGACCAAAGTAGCTGTCGGGCAGGGCCGTGCCATAATGAGAAAACAAGAAATGAAACGCATTAAACAAACGGGCGCAAGTTTGTGGTGAATGTGTGGAGCGTGTGGGAGTCATTTGGAGGATTTTTTAAAGTGTTTTGTTGCCGTATGTGGTGACGTTCGCTCGTGAAGCGGCCGTAGAGCGTGGCGTTCACTGAGTCTTCAGAGATTTGGATCCATGTTATTATTATAGATCCTTGATGTAGTTCAGAGACTGCATTATCGCTTTGACACAGTTTGCTTTGTGATCTGTGGCTGTACTAGTCTGTCTCTGAACAGAGACTTTCCACGGGCTTTATATAACAGTAGTATGTTATCACGGAGGTGCGCCATACGTGTTTTCATATTATTCAACGGTATTTCCGCATCGGCGAACACACTAGAAGCAGTTGCATAAGTTGCATGATCCGGTCTGAAAGCACCATTTGTCCACTGGTAGCTGTCCCACTGTTAGCATTTTTGGATATTACAATGTACATTGTGGTGAATAAATCTAAGGTAACCAAAGTGAGACTGGCATAATGTAAAAACGAATATTAGCCTTGTAAGCATGTTTTAGGATATCTTGATTTCAAGTAGCTAACTTGCCCAACACTGGGAACTGTTAGGCCAAGTAATTAGCTTGAATCTCACATACATAAGGCTAAAAGGTTAAAAGAGTTGCACACTATTATGTACAAAACTGATGAAAATATGTTCATACCTTGGGACTACAGGTGGAAATTAGCATCTTTGCTACAACCTGGTACATGCATCTCTCCTTTTGTGTTAATGCTTAACTGTACACTGTCCCCGTTCAAATAAAGTACATACAATACAATACAAGATGACAGTGAAACCTCCGATTCTTCCTACTATTCTTGTAGTTGACGTTTGCTCTGCTCCACAGGATGGAGACGGGGCGCACATGCGCACTGGTTTTTCTCTTCATCTGGTGTGGAGGCCTTACCCTGACTGTCATCGTCATGGCAACAATGTTAACAACATTGAACCAACAGCAAACTCAGGTGAGTGTGGCGTAGCCCGTCTCATACATACAATCAGACATGGCACTTTTGTTTATCACAGACACAAATCTGTTTCAGTGAGCACTTGATCTTTGCTGAGATGATATTAGCAATTAATCTACGAAACTCTAAAAAATAATTACATTTAACTGCACAGTAGGCTTTGGGGAAGTCTAATCCTCCTTGATGTCCTGCTACTGAGATTGGAAACTGTGTCTCAGATCTTATGGCCCTGACTGTCACCTCCACACTCTCTCCCTAAAACCTGAAGGGAGGTCAGAAATCTAGGGATAATCATTGACTCAGACATAAATCTTAAAGGTCCCAGGTTACGCTTTTTGACTTTTTTCTGCTTTAAACCTCATTACAGTGCTATTTGACAATACGTACTTGGCTCAAAGTAGTTTTTTCATTGATTACCTCAAGCTTTAGTTTGAGAGCGATCTTTCTCGTTCATTTTCCAAAGGAAGCAAAACAACCCAATTCACTTTGTTACGTAGCACACTTTCTTGCGCAGCTCGAGCTCCAGAAGCCCGCCTCCAAGAGGTGATTGACAGGGGAGAGAAACCAAAACAGCGAATCAGCATGAAAAACCTTTCCCAGCGTAGGGTATGGTCTCGCATCTACCATAGTATGTGTTCACTTCTATGCTGTTTTTTGGCTATTGTCAGCGACTAAAAGTATTTTCGTATTTTTAGGTGTAAAGTTCTATGTGAATTTGACCCAAAGACAAAGAATGCGCGAGTGTAGCCGGACTTTCTATTCACGGGATCTGCCTTTGAATTCCGTGACAAATCTGCAAATGACACTTCCCCAAAGACTGGTGTTTACCATAATTACCATGAAACTGGACTTACTCAAAAGCTGATCTGGAAACCTGTGTTATTCCCACAATAAAAGACGCTTACGAAGATGGCCCCCATCAGTAAGTACGATGAAACTAACCATATACTGTTAACTACAGTACAGACCAAAAGTTTGGACACACTTTCTCATTCAACAAGTTTCCTTTCTTTTCATGACTATTGACAATAGATTCACACCCAGGCTGTGTAAGGGCTATTTGACCAATAAGGAGAGTGGTGGGTGCTGGGCCAGATGACCTGGCCTCCACAGTCACCGGACCTGAACCCAGTCCAGATGGTTTTGAGGTGAGCTGAACAACAGAGTGAAGGCGAAAGGGCCGACAAGTGCTGAGCATCTCTGGGAACTCCTTCAAGACTGTTGGAAGACCACTTCAGGTCACTACCTGTGTGCGAAGCAGTAATCAGAGCAAAACCTAGAATATAATTCAGTTGTTTCATACTTTTTTTTTTTTAGAACGTACATAATTCCACACTAGTTAATTCATAGTTTCGATGCCTTCAGTATGTATCTACAATTTTCATAATCATGAAAAAAAAAAACTTGAATGAGTAGGTGTGTCCAAACTAACCCATCACTCAAATTATTATCACACACACAAAACTAAGACAAGTGAAATATAGGCCCTTTAACAACCACATCAAATCAGAGTTTGAAGTCAGAGTTGTTGCTCTAATGGCCCATGGTTTGCGGGGGCACTCTGGATTGCTGCGTACAACAGCGTGTTCCAGTTCCTGCCAATACCCAAGTCCTTCACAGTCGTTGAAGAGCAGTGCACCATCATTCCACAGGCCACTGATCGACTTTGTGTCTCACCAGATACCGTCATGGCAAAGCAAGGCAAGTTTATTTGTATAGCACAGTTCATGTAACACAAGACAATTTACAGTACATTGAAAAAAATATAAAATCAGTCAGAAACAAGCCGCTAGCTTAACTCCGTTAGCATCAAAGCCCGCCGGCTACTTCCGCCACTTCCTGCGCGCACCCCCGCTGGCCAGAACTTCTGGTGTGAAAACCCCTGCGTCTAAAAATTAGAGAATGTGCGTCTGGTGCGCGAGGCTTCAGCGTTCCAGCATCGGCGGTGTGAAAGCAGCTTAAGCCATGTGTCATCGCTTCATGGGGCTTCTATTGCCATCACTAAGCACAAGCATAATACATTGAGTGAGTCGTCTGTTGCGTGTGTTCCATCTTTGTTTTTCGTTTAGCAAACGGACAAAAATCGCCATAGCCGACAAAACAGGCAGAAGCGTTGAAATGTAATTCTAATGAGGACCCCCTCGAAAAAGAGATAATGAATAAATAATAAACAATAGTACTTTTGAAGATATATAGCCCCTTTGAAGAAATATATTTTACTGACATCCATTGGACTGGGGTGAAATCAGACACGTCAGACGCATGTGCGTCCATTGGCAAACTAGGGGTATCCCATTTCTCAAGATGATATCTTGCTTGCACCTCCCTATTGGAGGCCACTTTTCTGTTGAGGGAACTAATAACAAGTGTTCTCAGAGCAAGGGTCTGAATTGGGACTGACCCGAAGTGCTCACTGAAACATTTAGACAGATTTGTGAACAACATTTGATAGAGATGGGACTACTGAGCATATACATATATTATAGAGTGTAAACTTGTGAAAACATATTTCTTTATATTTATGTTCAGTATCTACTTTATATTTTTATTTCACAGGTAGTAGTCTCCACACTCCAGCCGACGATGAACCCGTCAGGTGAAAGTCCCATTTAATAAAAGCTTAATTATGTGACATATGTTGCCCTCTGTGACACTGTTTACACACCAGCAATCAATCACCAGCGTGGGCCATGCCCGCAGCACCATCACGGCAGAAGTTTGGTAAAGTAGCGTCATTTTCCCAGATTCGGACTTCCGCGATCAATAGCTCACGAAAGCTACTTTGTTAAACAAAAGTAATTGTGCTAAAATGATCATCTCTACGTTGATTTTACAAATTCAATTCGCTGTTTTAATGCAGAGAAATCCTCTGAATCCAATGCACAGCAAGCGCCGAGAAAAGCACTTAGGGACCATCAACAAATATCCAGACCAGCTTTGTAAACGAACAATAGCTTTTACTGAAGCCACAAACCTGCAGTACCTGCACAAAACTCAGACAATATAAATAATGATTTTATATGTAGTCAATAAATTACAATCTAAAAACTGTGATTATGAAATTACACGATTACTGTGTAGACTGAAATTAGGACTAAAAAGTGCTCAACCCGATCCACCCAAATGGTGTCCCTTATTTTTTTGTCCTCAAGTTGGCAACCCTAGCTGGGGGTTGTGTGAGTGTTGTAAAGTTTCTCTGCCCACTACTGGCTGGACGCTAGAACTACATCGTTTTTCAACCTCATGTGAACGCTGAGAAATTAGCATTAGGAGCCTGGTCGTTTCTGTTAATAGCCTGGAAACTTCTGCGCAGCGTCTCAGTATAAACAGGGCCTTACTGTCACAGTGTCCCCTTGTAAACAGGGCCTGTGTGTCCTGTTGTGTGGCCCTCTGCCGCTTGCACATATCAGCCAGAGATCATAAACATCAGTTCACAGCGTCATCCAATCAACATCAGCTCCATCAATATAAGTCATACTTTATTTCTATAAACTGCCAGTTGTTTTAGACTGTCCCAAAATTCCATATAATGCTTGCCTAGCAGTGTTGAGATAGTAAATACTTTTTCTATCAAATGTGAATTTATATGGACTCTTCAGACCTCATGTTGAAACTCAGAAACACACAGTTTGATCAAAACTGTTTTAGTGATTGTGTCATTGGTCCTTGGACAAGTCTGGTGATCAAGTGGCCCTCTACACAGGACATACAGAGATTAGAAAAGGGGTTCATTGATCTCCTGTCCAAACTGCAAACTGACCTGTATAGTTGCTGGATATTGTGTATCACTGGTGTGCATAATAATGGAGACTTGCCATTAATTGTGAGAAAGCACAAAAAGTACACTTTAGGAAACCCTCTGTGCTTCAGAGATTTGGACTTCTGTTTTGGGCGGCTGAGTAGATAGCACTCTCACTTCTCAGCAAGAAGGTCCTGGGTTTGAGTCCTGGTCGGAACAGGGCCTTTCTGAGTGGAGTTTGCATGTTCTCCCCTTGTCTGCGTAGGTTTCCTCCGGGTGCTCTGGTTTCCCCTACCACTAAAAACATGTACAATAGGTCAACAATGGTTGCAGATCAACTTGTGCAATTACGATATTCTGTGTCTTATAGGTAAAGCATTTTGGCTTTATTTTCCATGTGAATATGACTACAGTGCCTTGCGAAAGTATTCCCCTTGAACCTTTCAACATTTCGCCACATTTCAGGCTTCAAACATAAAGATATAAAAATTTAATTTTTTGTCATGAATCAACAACAAGTGGGACACAATCGTGAAGTGGAACAAAATTTATTGGATAATTTAAACTTTTTTAACAAATAAAAAACTGAAAAGTGGGGCGTGCAATATTATTCAGCCCCTTTACTTTCAGTGCAGCAAACTCAGTCCAGAAGTTCAGAGAGGATCTTTGAATGATCCAATGTTGTCCTAAATGACTGATGATGATAAATAGAATGCACCTGTGTGTAATCAAGTCTCCGTATAAATGCACCTGCTCTTTGATAGTCTCAGGGTTCTGTTTAAAGCGCAGAGAAAACCATGAAGACAAAGGAACACACCAGGCAGGTCCGAGATACTGTTGTGGAGAATTTTAAAGGCGGATTTGGATACAAAAAGATTTCCCAAGCTTTAAACATCTCAAGGAGCACAGTGCAAGCAATTTTATTGAAATGGAAGGAGTATCAGACCACTGCAAATCTACCAAGACCCGGCCGTCCCTCCAAACTTTCATCTCAAATAAGGAGAAGACTGATCAGAGATGCAGCCAAGAGGCCCATGATCACTCTGGATGAACTGCAGATAACTGCAGCTGAGGTGGGAGAGTCTGTCCATAGGACAACAATCAGTCGTGCACTGCACAAATCTGGCCTTTATGGAAGAGTGGCAAGAAGAAAGCCATTTCTCAAAGATATCCATAAAAAGTCTCGTTTAAAGTTTGCCACAAGCCACCTGGGAGACACACCAAACATGTGGAAGAAGGTGCTCTGGTCAGATGAAACCAAAATCGAACTTTTTGGCCACAATGCAAAACGATATGTTTGGCGTAAAAGCAACACAGCTCATCACCCTGAACACACCATCCCCACTGTCAAACATGGTGGTGGCAGCATCATGCTTTGGGCCTGCTTTTCTTCAGCAGGGACAGGGAAGATGGCTAAAATTGATGGGAAGATGGATGGAGCCAAATACAGGACCATTCTGGAAGAAAACCTGTTGGAGTCTGCAAAAGACCTGAGACCGGGACGGAGATTTATCTTCCAACAGGACAATGATCCAAAACATAAAGCCAAATCTACAATGGAATGGTTCACAAATAGACGTATCCAGGTGTTAGAATGCACAAGTCAAAGTCCAGACCTGAATCCAATCGAGAATCTGTGGAAAGAGCTGAAGACTGCTGTTCACAAACGCTCTCCATCCAACCTCACTGAGCTCGAGCTGTTTTGCAAGGAAGAATGGGCAAGAATTCCAGTCTCTCGATGTGCAAAACTGATAGACATACCCCAATCGATTTGCAGCAAAAGGTGGCGCTACAAAGTATTGGCGCAAGGGGGCCGAATAATATTGCAAGCCCCACTTTTCAGTTTTTTATTTGTCAAAAAAGTTTAAATTATAATAATAATAATAATACATTTTATTTATAATGCACAGCAAACACATAAAATCAGATAAAAGACTATAAAAAAAATTAGCAGTACGCTTTAGTAAAAAGATGGGTTTTGAGTCCCCTTTTAAAAGCTTCCACCGTCTGTGGGGCCCTGAGGTGGTCCAGGAGGGCGTTCCACAGACGGGGAGCAGCGGCCTCGAAGGCCCGGTCCCCCATTTTCTTGATCCGTGTCCTGGGCGGGAGCAGACGGTGCTGTTGGCCTGACCGGGTTCTGCCTGAGGAGTGTGGAGTGAGGAGGTCAGTGAGGTAGGTGGGGGCATCACCGTGGAGACAGTGGTGGGTGTGCAGGAGGATCTTATATTCTATACGGAGGTGAACGGGGAGCCAGTGGAGGGTGTGAAGGATGGGGGTGATGTGCTCATGCTCCCGCACCCTCATCAGGACCCTGGCTGCGCTGTTTTGGACGTACTGGAGCTTTTGAATGCTCCTGCCAGGGTTAGGGTTAAGGAGTGAGGAGTGCGTTGCAGTAATCCAACCTGGAGGAGACAAAGGCATGGACGAGCTTCTCTGCAGCCGGGAGAGAGAGAGAAGAGCGGAGTTTTTAAATATTACAGAGGTGGAAGAAGGAAGTTTTGCAGATGTGATGAATGTGATTTCCGAAGGAAATGTGGGGGTCAAACTTGACCCTGAGATTGGTTACAGAGGGAGAGAGGGGAATGCTGTGGCCAAAATGAGAGATTGAGGGGATGGGAGAAGAGTGAAGTTGATGGGGAGTACCAGTTTGAATGGCTTCTGTTTTTGAGCCATTCAGCTGCAGGAAGTTTTGCCTCATCCATGCCCCTATCTCCTCCAGGCAGGAGGTAAGACAGGAGAGAGATGCAGAGGGAGGGGTGGATGGAGTGACTTTGAGATAAAGTTGTGTGTCGTCAGCATAGCAATGGAAGTGAATTCCATGCCTGCTGAAGTCCAAAGACTTCAAAAAGCTGTAGCTTGGGAGTTATTTGAGATCAGGAAATACTATAAACAGTCAATGTGAAATATCTTTAGAATTAAATGAATTTGGGATAGAAATAAATTCCCTGATCCAGATTATAGATAATGTTTTAGCACTGGTTCACAGCCATATGGAATTGTATTGTTTTCAAAGACCTTCAGTGATCAAGACAGCACACTTTATAGTTTACAGTCATAAAATCTAGAGATTGGTTTCAATATTTCCCTTTCAAAGAAGCCCACCAGGGCTTACTATTTTTCTCAGTGGAAATGAGGCTCCAGGATTTATCATTTAGAAACAGAGAGATGAAATGAATGGGCACAGTACATGTCAGATCGTCTCAACAAGAAACAACAGGCTCTTCAACACTTCTGATCCACTTTTGTGGATTATTTTCTATCAAGAACTGCCCTTGATCCTCATCATCGCTGTTGGTAAAGGCAGTGAACGCGATTAGCGATGTGTTTTTTCCCCGCGGCTCCCCCGCGGCTCCCCCGCGGCTCCCCCAGCGACTTCTCCCGCGTTCCCCATGGATGTTTACCCCTGATACTTTCTCCCACATGCCCGGTGTTATGATCCCCCTCTCCCCTCGACCACGGACCCTGCTTGGCGTTCACAGAATGCTTCTACCGCGGCCACACGGAGGACAAGCAGCCGCTGTACAGGGGCTGATTGTGGACTATGGAGCGCGGTCTCCCCGTCACCAATAATGTCCGTGTCTGCTTCACTGGACACCTGCGTGTCTTCCTCCTCTGAATCTGAGTGAGCCAGTACCAGACCAAGTACTTCTCTGGTACTGAAGACCTCGTGAGTAAAATAAAAAAACACTCTCTCCCTCTGCTCTGCTCTCGCTCCTCTCAGCTCTACCGCTGCTGCTTCGCCTCCGCGCCGCTGCGCCGCAGGTGTTTTACAAACTCATCCATCCATCCATCCATCCGCTTCCCCTTAATCCATTTCTGGGTCGGGGGGGGTGGCAGTCAGAGCTGCACCCAGTACACAGAGCACCAGCCCCTCACTGATCCTCCTGCAGGTGCTGAGTCCACAGGAGCTGAGATCTTTCAGTTGGGGCTTTGGGCAAAGTAGGGTTAAGTGTCTTGCCCAAGGACACAACGACAGCAGTCATCAGTGGGAGTCATGAAGTAGGTCTTACGGTGGGCTTGAACCCACGACCTTCAGGCCCAAAGGCCAATGCTCTACCAACCGAGCTACTGTCGCCAAACTCAATTTACTCAAAAACTTTCAATATAACCACACCCACAAATGCTGCTCATATTACAGGCACACATGTCCACTAACCCCTGGTGAAAAGTATTAACAAGATTCTGCACCAACTTTTTAGATACAGCCTGTTTAAGTGAGCAATGTTGCTTGTCGCAATATTGCGACTTTGGCGCTTAAAGGGTTAACTGCTTTACTGGTCCCCGAATTGAGATGAATCGGCGTAAAGCGTTGATGAAACTGGACGACTCCATTGACTCGATAACCTCGACATGAATGGCTCTGGTACTCAAGCAGGTAAAGATAATGGCCCAGCGTTTAGTGTGAGCTAAACCTCCTCGGGTTCTGCGAGAGTTACCTGTCCAGGGTCCAAAGACATCAACTTCGCCATAGGTAAATGGAGGGGAGACAGTTACACGGTTGATGGGTAATTCTGACAGTTTTTGTGTTTCTGTGTTCCACCTAAGTTTGCGACAAGTAACTGTGCTGATACTTCGCTTTCCACCAACAATCCAGAGCCCTGCTGACCTCACTGCGCCCTCGGTAAAATGATGCCCCTGGGGCTGTACTTGTTGGTGGTAGTGTCGCACAAGTAGAGTAGTGACATGGTGGTTTCCTGGGATGATGATTGGGTCATCAGTTTGCATATCGGCATTCGATAGAAGACCTCCAACTCTGAGGAGGTTTGCATCGTCTATGAAAGGAGACAGCTTCTTGAGGGGGCATGGTTTGGGAATCTCCTTTTGGGTTTCAAGGCATGTGAAAACCTCAGCATAAGTCTTGTGTTGAACGCTGCTTAGAATGTTGCTTTTTGCTTTGTCGTAGTCCTCTGGGCTGAGACTTTTGCAGACGTGCCAGCCTTTACACTTGGGTCCACAAGTGATGCCCTTGAAACATCTGACTATGTGAACAAGTCTTGCCATGGTTCTCTCCAGTGATTCCCATGAAGAGAATGACTCGAAACGTTGAGGATGGAGGAACCAGTCAGAAACATGAGTTGCAAGGGATGTAACAGGTACACGGATCTCAGGATCAGATTCAGGATCAACTAGCTCGAAGGTAGTTTGAGACTCGTCTGTGGTCTCTCTCAGTAGGAAATCTGGTCCTTTAAGCCATGTGCTTGATGAGAGTGCATTCGCACGCAATGTCAGCATAATTAAGATCTGTAGGAACATGCAATACCGTTCAAAAGTTTGGGGTCACCCAAGTGTTTTCCATGAAAAGTCACACTTATTCACCACCATACGTTGTGAAATGAAGAGAAAGAGAGTCAAGACAATGACAAGGTTAGAAATGATGATTTGTATTTGAAATAAGATTTGTTTTACATCCAACTTTCGTCAAAGAATCCTCCATTTTCAGCAATTACAACATTGCACCAAAAACCAGACATTTGCAGCTAGAATAGTTATTTACATTTAAGCAATGTATAGAGTGTATTTCTTTACAGTTAAGACTAGTTTAAAGTTATCTACAGCTTTTCCTTCAAAAATAAGGACATTTCAATGTGACCCCAAACTTTTGAACGGTAGTGTAGTTCCACTGGTCTAGGCTGGATGATTTTCGAATACTCTGCACCTGGTTACATACCTAGACGTAAAATCTTCTGGATTCGTTCTGTATGTACCCAAGAACCACTTTACTGTCAGTAAGGAATCTTATTGAATGAAAAGGAAGGTTGATTTCTTCTAGAATTATGTCGACAATCTCAACGGCAAGAACCACTGCACACAGTTCTAGTCTGGGAATCGTTATTTCTTGTTGAGGGGCGAGTTTTGCCTTGCCAAACATGAATCCCAGTTCCTTCTACCCTTCTGAATCAGTGAGTTTGACATAAGCTACTGCGTCGATTGCTTTGGTAGAGGCGTCGCAAAAAATAATGAGCTCCCTTTTCATTGCGTCACAAAAGAACATCCTCGGTACTCTGACCTCTTCAAGAAGTTTGAGGGACTCTTTCCATGTGCTCCATTCTTCAAGAAGCCTTTCTGGAATGTGTCTGTTGAGAGTTCCCTTAGGAGAGCCCTACCTTTGATGCTGATCGGAGCGGCGAAGCCAAGAGGGTCATATAGACTGTTGACAACTGAAAGCACACCTCTGTGGGTATATGGTTTCTCAACTGGGGCCGGCCCGCGGGCCGTAGTTTGGGGACCACTGTTTAAGACCTTTTGCTAGATTGTCTATGGGGAAAGTCTTCATTACTGTGTTATCATTGGAGGCGATCTTGTGCAACCTCAGGTTAGATGAGGCCAAAGTTTCTTGTGACCTTTGCATGAGAAAGATTGCCTCAGTGCTTGATGAGAAGGACACATGTCCATCGTCGACGTAGAAATGTCGAACCACCAGATGTTGTGTCATGCTGTCCTCCTTGTCTTGATATTCTGATGCCCTCCTGAGTCCATAGGTTGCAACTGCGGGCGATGGGCTGTTGCCGAAGACGTGAACTGTCATTCGGTACTCCATAATTGGTCGGTCCATGTCATTATTCTGATGCCAGAGGAATCTCAATAGTTCCAGTGGTCCTCCCTGACTGAGAAGCAATGGAACATTTGCTTAAAAGGGCATGGTCAAAAATATAAGATTACAAAAAAGGAAGGTTTAAAAGTTACAGCCCCTGGGCACAATGAAAAATCAATACGCTAAAATAAACTAATAACTAAATAAATCCAACGAGGGCGACCTGCGCAGGGAGTAGCCCCACCCGTAACAAAACTAAAAGTGTTACCTTCACTCACAACAAGAACAACTGAAACCCCAATTGTGCAAATAACTGAAAAACACTGGGCTAGGTCCCCCTCAGGCGCGCCCCGGGAGAACAAAAACTACAAATAAACTACACGCCTAAGTTCCAGAGTCTACAACATTAAAACCTAAAAACCTTTTTTTTAAAGTGCAGTTCAAGTAAACTAAAACCACAAACTACAAAACAAAACACAAAACCGTAAACCAAACCAAAACAAAACAGTAGCAGGCTAATCCTGGAGTTAAAAGAATAGAGAAGGTTAAAAATCAATAAGGCTTCAAACCAAGTTAAAAACCCAAACCTGTCCCCACCTCAATGATCACGATTCCCAGGGGAAGTCTGCCACCGCGTAATCTAGCCTACAAAATGATTAAAACTACGTTAAAAACCACACATTTGTTAAAATAAGGGGAAGGGGGGGAAGAGTCAAAACCTTACCTGACACCAGCGAGCAGGGAGCCGAGACTGAAAACAACGCGAGTCGCCATTTTATGCTCAGCTCCCCTCCGGATGCCAGGCAAGTACCAACCCTGTGGCGCCACATTATGTTGGTTATTTAGAGAAGGCCCCGGCACAGGGACAGAGGACACTGTATTTAGTAGAAATGATTGTTGCCGCTTGGATCATCTTTCCATTTTTGTGTTTGTGTGTGGATGAGTGTTTAAATAAAGGAAATTCATTCATTCATTTATAATGCTAATTGCCTCTTTAACCTTGCAGTTTCGTCTTCTCCCGTGTATGTCCAACCAGGAAAGAGGACGTCTTCCGCCGTGACCTACATCCAACTCAGTGCTACGTGTAAGTCCTGGTCCTGCTTTAGACCTGCTGTAGATTGGCTTTAGACCACCTGCTTTATCCTGGCCCTACTTTAGTCCTACTTTAATCCTGGTCCTTCTTTAGTTTAGCTATAGACAGGCTTTGGACCTGCTTTTTGTGGTTCTTTTGAAAGACAATATTAGATGTATTACCTTGTTTACATGTTTTGGCTGCAAAGCTGCGAGCCATCTTCAGAACTGTCACCTGCCTTGGTGACGTGTCATTTATCGACTGATGTTACTTCCTGATTAACAGCCTGATTGACCTGACAGGTTGCTCTGACTGACCACACCCCCTCTCACCCGGTAGTCTCTGGAGGAGGGTGTGTGGGACAGGAGAAAAGCTCCTTCATCCCGATTGATGCTGTTGTTGCCCCGCTATTTTTAGGAAGTAATCAGTTGTAATACATATAAACTTGTCTTTCAAAATAACTACTAAAATGCATTTTAAACCCAAGTCAAAACAAACCTTTTTGCATCATTGCTTTGGACCTGCTTTAGACTACTTTCGACCTAGTCCTGCATTAGACCTGGTCCTGCTTTAGCTTTGGGCCTGCTTTAGACCTAATTTAGCCCTGCTTTTGTCTCGGGCCAGCTTTAATCCTGGTGATGCCTTAGTCATGCTCTATCCCTGGTCCTGATTTAGTCCTGGTTCTGCCTTCAGTCTTGGTCTTGCTTTAGTCCTGCTTCTTTCCTGGTCCTGTTTTAATCTTGCTTTAGTGCTGGTCCTGCTGTAGTGTTAAAGTTGTTGCCATACATACTGACACAACAGTATTGTGAGATCAGCTGTTGTCCTGTTTGTTCCAGGTCAGACCTGCTGGGTTCAGGACTCAGACTTGTCTGAGGACCTGTCCTGTGGCTCCCATTGTCCGCTCTATGGTCTCAACGGCTCCATCCACTGCAGACAGGAAGGACTGTACTGGCTTTACGTTCACGTCTCCTTCGTCAAACAGAACAGTCAAACAGAACCCCGAACCGTCACCGTGAAGAAAAACGCTGTCCCAGGCATGGTTATGTCCCGAGAGTTGATCAAGGTCACGGTGCCGGCATCTCAACAGACTGTTTTTATGATGAAAATAGTGAGTCTTCAGAAAAATGACAGTATTAGTATAAGTATCGATAGGAATATATTTCCGCTTTACACGACCACTTGTTGTCCCACATGCCGTTTAGACAGCCACTCTTGTTGTCCACATGCCACTTTACACGTCCACTTGTTGTCGCACTTGCCGCTTTACACGCCATTTATTGCCCCACATGCCAGTTTTAAACGCCCCTTGTTGGTCCACATGCCGTTTTAAACGGCATACATTGCCCAATGCCGCTTAACACGCATTTATTCCCCTACATGGCCGTTTTAACGCCAAGTTGTTGTCCACATGTCCGCTTTAGCACGCCATTTATATCCCCACGTGCCGTTTTAACGCACTTGTTGTCCTCTTAGCCGTTACACCCACTTGTTGTCCACGATGCCGTTTAACGCCAGTTGTTGTCCACATGCCGCTTACACGCCATTTATCTCCCCACATGCCGTTTTAAAGCGCCAATTGTTGTCCACATGCGCGCTTTACACGCCCACTTGTTGTCCAGGCAAGTCGTTTTAAACGCCACGTGTTGCCACATGCCGCTTTACACGCCATTTATTCCCCTACATGCCGTTTTTATACGCCACTTGTTTCCACATGCCGCTTTAACACGCCACTTGTTGTCCCACATGCCGATTTTAAACGCCCACTATTGTCTTGTCCACATGCCAGCTTACACGCCACTTGTTGTCCACTTGGCCGCTTTAAACACGCCATGTATTCCCCACATGCCGTTTTAAAACCCTACTTGATGTTCCACATGCCGTTTAAACGGCATTCATTGCCCACATGCCGTTTTAAACGCCACTTGTTGTCCCACAATGCCGCTTTACACTGCCCCTTGTTGTCCCCACATGGCCCGCTTTACGACGCCATTTTATTCCCCAAATGCCGTTTCTAGAACGCCACTTGTTCTGTCCCATCATGCCGTTTTAAAACGGCATTCTTTGCACACATGCTCGTTTTTAAACGGCATTCATTGCCCTCATGCGCGTGTTTAAAACGCCAATTGTTGTCCCCACATGCCGTTTTAAACGGCATTCATTGCTGCCCACATGCCGGTTTAAAAACGCCACTTGTTTGACCACATGCACGCTTGAACACGTCCACTTGTTGTCCCATGCCGCTTTACACGCCATTTATTTCCCCAACATGCTGTTTTAATACGCCTACTTGTTGTCCACATGCCGCTTTAACACGCCATTTAATCCCCACATGCCTTTTAAGATCGCCACCATGTTGTCCTCATGCCGTTATAAAAACGGCCACTTGTTGTCCACATGGCCTTTTTAAAAACGCCACATGTTTGTCCACATGCCCGCTGTAACACGCCAACTTGTTGTCCCACATTCCGCTTTACAACTCGCCTTATTATCTCCCCACATGTCCGTTTTAAAACGCCACTTTTGTCACACAAGCTCGCATTACACTCCAATTATTCCCCACATGCCGTTTTAAAACGCCTTGTTGTGTACATGCCACTAAAATCTTCTGTGGCAGGTGCCGTGCCACAAAAGAGCCTGCCCTTTTGGTTACCTGTATTGCCTCACAGCATTTCGTAGTGTGAAGAGGCTGCGGTTCGTTGGCCTGCTCCTCCGCCTGTGCATGTTTGGGGTTAGCCTTATTGCTACCTGAGTCTAGCTTTTTGCTATCTGTGTAATTGTGTGGTGTGAGCTAGCGTTCATTAGCCCGCTCCTCCATCAGTTCTTTTTTGGTAAGAGACACTGTTGCTAACCGGTGTAATTGGTTGTGAGGCTGCGGTTACGTTAGACCGGCGCGCCCCTCCTCCGATCCGTTCGTTAAGTTGAGGTTAAGTTTTTGCTACCGGTGTACTCTGTGGTGTGACGCTGCTGTTACGCGCGCACTAATCGTTCCCGCTCCTCCCATCATTTCTTATATGGGTTAGTTTTTGGCTAACCCGGTGTCCTCTGTGTGTGAAATCTGCGGTTCGTATAGTCCCCCCGTTCCTCCTCAGTTCTTATTTGGGTTATTTTGCTACCAGCCTGTTAGTCTTTTTTTGAATGTGTTATTTCTGTGTGTGAATGCTGCTGTATCGCCGCGCACTTGATATCCGATCCTCCATCAGTTCTTATTTGGGTTAGTTATTGCGACTAGGTGTATTCTGTGGTGTGAAGGCTGCTAGTTCACAGCGCCCAATCTCCTCCATCAGTTCCTATTTGGGTTAGTTTTTGGCTACCAAGTGGTATTCTGTGGTGTGAATGGCTGTGCGTGTTCGTTGTCCCTGCCCACCATTCAGTTCTTGTTTGGGTTTATGCATTTGCCTGCTGTGTTTCTTCTGTGGCCGGTGTATTGTGTTGGTGTGAAGGCTGCTGTTCGCGCGCCCTCTCCTCCATCACTACTTTATTTGAGTTGGCTTTTACTGTCCGGTGTATCGTGTTGTGAAGCTGCTGTTCGCGCGCGCCTCCCTCCAGTCAGCTACTTTATTTGTGTTGAGGCATTTTACTCGCAGTGGCAATTAGTGTGGTGTTAAGGCTCGTTTCGCCGCGTTCCGCTTCTCCACCGTGCTATTTTTGGCTTTTCTGTTGTGAAACTGCAGTACGTTCATTCGTTTCTGAAGTTTGAATACCGTTTGGTATAAATTAAAATATTAAAATTTAAAAATTCTGTAAGAAAGAAATGTTTGACTTTACTTAACTTTTTTATGGCAACCGGTTCCACGAAACTGTGTGTTGAAAATTGGAAATGCAAATCCACAATTTTATTTGAACACAGTGTGTTAGATAAAGTAATACACGGTCAACATTCTCACTTTACAGTAACATGACAGTGTTAGATTGTATAAGCCCAACTTAACAATCTCAAAAACAACCCAGGTGAATAATATTTATGTAGGGGGCTTGTGTTGATTCAACAAAACTCAAGTAGTAATGGCTACATTGTTAAGTTAAATAAATACAACATAAAGTGCTTATTTATATTCAAGCTTTTATTTAAACAGGTACCAGTATGAGCATCAATATAAAAAGGTGTAATTTCTCTCCACCCATTTAACACATGTACCAACTCAAACATTTTAAAAAAATATACAATTAATTAAATGTAAAGTGCATAAATGATCCCACATTTAAATCAAAGTAACTTTTCATGAAACAGTTGAATGTAAATACACATTGCAGTAGTTTAACAACTAGGAACTGCCTATTAAATGGCTTAAATAATAACAGTGGTTGTGTGTAGTTAATGTTTTCACTCTGAAAATTGGCTAAAGACTGCCAACAGAATTGCTAAACCCCAACAGCTACCCACCAGATGTATGTAGACCAACTAAACATTTGTTTTAAACTTTTGCATTTGGGACTAAACTTTGAAATTAACAGCTACTTCCAAATTCTTGTCTGGAGTAAGAAGCAATGCAAAAACATGCAGTGAGTGAGTGAGCAAGTGAGTGTCGGTCCGTTTGAGTCTGTTCGTCTGTGTCTCCATCCGTCTATCTGCGTCCCTGTCTGTCCGTCTGTGTCCCGGTCCCTCTTTCAGTCTGTCTCCATCAGTCTGTTCCCTGTCCCTCTGTCTCCATCAGTCCGTCTCCATCAGTCTGTCCCTGTCCCTGGTCTCCATCAGTCTGTGTCCCTGTCCCTCTGTCTCCATCAGTCTGTGTCCCTGTCTGTGTCCCTGTCCGTCTCCATCAGTCTGTGTCCTGTCCCTCTGTCTCCATCAGTCCGTCTCCATCAGTCTGTGTCCCTGTCCCTCTGTCTCCATCAGTCCGTCTCCATCAGTCCGTGTCCCTGTCCGTCTGTGTGTCTCCATCAGTGTCTCGGTCCATCCATCTGTGTATACTTTTTTCAAAAGAGTACATTTAAGCTAGTCTCAAGAGCACAGCACAACACACATAGTACAGGATGTATATCGAAGAGTCTTTTCAGCCTACAAAGTCCTTTCTTCTCTGTTGCATGTACGGTGTGATATCCACTGATGAAACATAGTCCAAACACATTTTGAAACAGTTAAGTCTTGATTAGATATGTTCGTGCAGTTTGTTTTTCAGAATTTGAACTTTGTTGGAGAGCTTTCTTCTGTCCAATTCCATCAATACCTTTGGAATAAATTCAAAAGTACATCCGAGTCCCTTTCGAGAGTTCATGTCCAGACAGTAGATTAATCCAAAAAGAAGCGCCCATCCAGTTGGAATATGTTTTAGGTCTTGAAGAACTGCAATGCCTTCGATGATTATTCCAAAGTCCTCCAATGAGTCTGATGCATCGGCATGTTGATGTTCCACGATGTAGACACCCAGCACTACTTTCTCAAACTCCTTCTCTGCTCCAACATCGGCATCCTTAAAAAGAAAAGAATGGCAGATAGAAAGCTTCAATTTACAATTTAATATTTTCCCATATTGAAATCAAACCCTATAAAATCAAGCACAAGGTGTGAGATGGTGACATTTTGCTTGTCAGCTGTCAATTCTGGATTAAAGCAAAAGTTCCATACCATAAATTCTCATTCCATCCTTGTTTTACACACTAAAGATTATTGTTTAGCTAGACCCGGACCAGGACATAAAGAGCACTATAAAAGAAACCTTCATGCAGTTTATGAGTTTAAAAAAAGTTGTTTTGGTGTTTAGTTTTCCTTTAAAAGTTAGACTAGCAATTGTGTTTCATTATCATTTAAGGTAAATTATCCATAATAAAAGTAATATTTATCTTTATGTGAATTTTGGTCTTTGCATTATTGGCTCTATGCACATAGTGAACATTTTAAAGTATGAATACTAAGTATGAGTAATAAGTATGAATGTTAAAATATCAATAGTACTTTTCATCCCTACAAGCCTGTTTTGTGAATTCTCACTCATAAGGGGTCTTTATTAGAACATTTGTCACCATTGTTTATATCAATTATACAATGTATAGGAATTGGAGGCTGGGCAAGGTAGGCCTATGAGTTGCGCCGTTGCATTTTTTTGCTTCAGTGTCTACATTACAAATAGCTAGTTTGTTTCGTTGGTGGTGACAAATCTGGCCTGTTTATAT